GATTACCACCACTGCTGTCTTTCACTACTAGTTCGGGTTTAGCACTATCATCTGATGATAGGTGGGCTACATGCTGATCAATTACACTGACGGTCTCACAAGTATGCACACCTTTTGGAACTGCATCTGCGTTCAATTCTACTTCACGTTGTAGTTGTACAGAACCTTTATTTAACTTAGCAGTAGTAGGCATATCCCTCATCTCATAATGATCAACCAAAGACAACTGTGAAGTATCATGATCATTATCACAAATATTCAATTTACCGTCAAGTTCATCATTTTCAAACTCTTTAATAACAGAAGTAGACAATTTTGGTTCCTCCTCACAAATCATAAAGGGTTTTATAACTTCACTCTGACTAGTTATACTTTGTAAACTTTTGGAGTCAGAACTGCACTCTGAAGCAGTAACTCTATTCTGTGACACTCTATTCAACAATGGCTTACCAGTTGCAACTACAGACTTCTTCACAACACCGTTATCGTCACACAATTCGGAGTCAGACCTGGAGTTTACATTTAGCTTATCACTGAACTTGCTCACCGGTTCACAGTTCACTTCTGTATGCACCTCTTGCACACGTGTAAAACAAACCGTGTTTGTCTTGCATCTTGTAACTTATCTGTTGAGGATGTACTACGAAACCTGTTACACTCACTAGGTCTATATGCATTACTAGACATCATGGAGTCTTCTCGATATCCACCTCTCTGAGGCCTACTCGTCATCAATGATTGCGTTTTACCTTCAGACTGCTCTATTCTAGGGGTGAGATCTAACAGACTGGCGAACTTGCTCATAGATTGATTGACACTAGTATTTACCAGTTTCAGGATATCATCAAACTTTGGCTCGATACCCTCATCCTCCATACGGGAGCTCATCTTCACCCACTTCCTTTGCAGTCGAGTAGGTAGACGTCTTGCTATTACTTCTAGTATAAAACTCGAGTTGAGGTCACTCATTCGATTCATCGAAATCATTCCATTCTTGTAAATTAGCAAATTATCTAAAAACTCAGTGAGTGCCTGGGAGTCATCCTGTAATTGACCACCATTACCCTTAACAGCCTCGAATAATTTCCCTGCAATCATCGAAGGTCTTCCAAACCTTTGACGTAATATGCTCATAGCCTCGTAGTAGCCCTCTTTTGGCTTCATAAACTTACAGCACTGTATAGCTCTTGCAGCATCTCCAGTGCAATATCTCATCAAATACATTAACTTCAATTCATCATTTAATAAAAAACCACTCAACATGATCTCAAACTCCTTTACAAATTGTAAATAATCAGCCGGGTTTCCATCAAAACATCGTGGTTCAAATTTAGGGAGTTTGATGTTCCTATTATCCCTGAACGGCGAAACAGTAACATCAACCATGTCATGCTTAACATCAGACACATCGTTACAATTAACAGACAAGTCACCATGACTTACTTTCCTGTTTGCATCCAAGACACTCTGTCCCTTCTTTGACCCAGGCATTGTTGAACTTGACCCAATTCCAAAAAGTTCCAGATATTGCTTGTTCAAAGAGGACTTGACCGGCACCAGGAAAAATGAACGGCGACTATCCAAACTTTCACCAACTGTTTGAATCCGCCAGATCTGTTTCTATCGTCAGAAACTGTCAATCACGTCTCATAAACCGTTAATGCCCAGCTCTCGCTACGCTCGGGCCCACGCTGTTCCTTGGAGTTTCAGAAACGCTTAGTTATAACGGACGCAAAAACCAAAACACCGATCTGCCGCTTTAGATTTGTTTATTGTTACACCAACATATAAAAGGAATAAACGAACTAAGGTCTGTAAACAAATATTACAATAATAAATCGTTATATTACTTCTGACGATGTTTCACTCTTCTTTCTGAACAGCGACCGATGAGACGATGACTGTCGTATTGATGCCTCCGCGAAAATCGGGGAAGTTGATTTTGAGCAAACAACCAAGAATTGATCGTTCAATCTTCAACTCCATTGACATATGCGCTTGCTTCACGCACGGGAAACCATTCATCTTTGCAGATAACCTAAAAATAGCTTATACATTCCAACGTGATGACTTAGGGATCTTCGAGAATGTAGTACAGAAGGAATTAGGTAAAATGACCGCTTGGTCGTCCCTATGGAATTTCCAATTCAATCTGGACAAATGTGGCTGGATCTGCTTTGGCGCACCCTCAATTGACCTGAAATTAACGCTTCAATCCGCTAACCTAACCAGACTCAGAAGTGTCGTTGACCTAGGCCTTAGGTACTCTAGTGACTTGACATTCTCTGAGCAAGTAGCATCACAGACTAGAAAATCGAGGATGCTCTTAGGATGCATACTCAGGAACTTTCACGACAATGAAGCCAAGCTAATTCTGTACAAAACATGTGTCAGACCACTACTAGAATACTGTCCATTTATTATAAGCAGCACTCGCACACGTGACAAGCTAAGGATGGAAAGTATTCAACGATATTTTACCTCAAAACGACTTGGCTATGATTGTAAGAAAGACTACATCTCACGGTGCATGATCCTAAAACTTGACACACTTTGGACAAGGCGACTTATTATAAACCTAATATTCTTCTTTAAGGTCCTTCACAAAATATCATTCTCAGGTAACAGGGACATACAATTCGCACAGGAAGGTTCTTACGATCTGCGTAACCAAACTTCCACAGTGACAACTCATTCATTTAAGTCAACACCGTGAAAACTTCTTCACAGTCATGTATTCTAAAATATGGAATAGCCTGCCCCTAAATGTCAGAACTTGCTCTTTGGTTACAAGCTTCAAACGCTCTCTATACAGACTGTTTCACTCTACTGATTATATTAATAAACTATTTACTCCTAGAACGAATCAACTACTAATCTACTACAGCACCTAATAGATGCACTTCAACACCCTTAGCAATCTAAAAACTAAATAAACTAGTCGCATGGACTTAGCACGGAACATACTGGAACAGTTTACTCCTGTAAATAGGACCTGTCACTCTACTGTAACCTTCAATCGCTTGCTATATAAACTTTTATCCCAATGACTATCCCTACCTGAACCCATCACTTATTTCTAAAAGGCATTAGTCATTAGAACACTAAAACGCTCAGACACATTATTACACATTATGACACTAAACAAACTCTAAGACTTCGCATAAATACGTGAAAACACAACTACAATATAGGTAAATGTTTACTAAAGTATAATATACAATTGACATAAACATTTATAAGTGCATAAAATATTAATGTCCTTTTCATGTTCACATACTTTCTCTTTCTGGTATTCTGCTGCTCCTATTTATCTTCTGGTCGAGGTCGAAAAACCCTGCATCTAAACTGAAATGAAGATTAATTCCAAACCATTTATCTAATAACCACTCAAATTCCAGGAACGATCCAATTCTACCATTTGAAGACGCTGGCGAACATGCTGTAAATGAGTATTCATGATCTGAAATGAAGAAGCAACTGGTTTTCAAACAGTTTTCAACATTTTTCTGAACTTACGAATACAGTCCGCCATGCAGACACAAATGGCGCAAAGGGAGAGTTCTGGAATCGACCTCGGCACCATTTGATGCAGTAAAACAATCCAACATGACCTCATCTAGTTTTCGCCTCCACGATCGAATTTCTTTCCTGTTATAAAACTACGATAAGACTGCTGAAAAATGGAATAAATATATCACTGATCTCAACATAATACATCAATAAACTGTAAGCCAAGGGTGCTGTTCACAATAAAGTTATATAGGAGAATTGACTTCAAGCTTTATTTTTCCGAGATATTTGTATTACATTCATGTGATGTCTGGGTTTTTTGTTAATGCCAAGACAATATTTCTATATCTCTTTATGTGCTACACAGACAGACTTTATAGCAGACTGTTTCCACTGACTCTCATGTCAGAGAGAACAACCAAACTGTAATTCCATCATACATCGAATTATGTGTAATTTATATAATAACTTATCCATGCCTGTACAATTGGCATGTTCCTGGATGAACAGGAAGAAATATATATAATTTAAACAACCTTAAGCCCAAGTAACTGTACTTTTCATCTCTTGGTGTGTCCCAAAGGGTCGGAAACATTGCCCACTTAGGATACAGCGAGAGACTCGTAAGTTACTCAGGCGCAAGCACAAATGTTGGAACTTGTTTGCCACGCTTGAGACTCCTGAGACCAAAAAATTACCCAAAACTGCTAGAAACAAACCTATTGCAGAAATCCGCTAATCAAGAATGCAAAGGAACAACCAAGGAAATTTCTCTCGAACATGAACATCAGGAATAGGACATCCAATGGGATCTCAAGCCTGACTATTGACAACAACACAATCCAAGAGGATCACGAAAAGGTAGAAGCAACGACAGAGTACATATTCATAGTCTATACACAGGAATCGTCATTCCCATAGGATCAGCTCTGGCCGGATCAAAACACAGGACAGGCTGTGTTGATGTCGCCCAAGGCTCACATAAAATGGATTCAAAGAAAGGCAACAGGTACGATTCCCGGCATAACTAATTTATCATACGAAAAAAGATCAGACAGTTTAAATCTCTTCTCCCTGTCCAACCGTAGGCAGAATGATCTCATTACAATGTTTAAAATTTTAAATAATGATTACGGACCTGATCCACTCTGTTTTCCCTCCCACCAGGTTTGAACACCTTAGATGACATAGCAGGAGAGTTCAGAAGCCCATGAGGAATTATATTATTGTGAAGTATTGTTTCGCCGAGTCATAATCTCCTGGAACCGACTCCCATAAGAAGTGGTTTCAGCAACATCAATTGACCAATTGAATTTAATTGTGAAAAGCACAAAAACTTACTAGAAAAAGATTAACATAGGCTTCAAGCCTTCTATACATAATCAGCAAATGTAAATATGTTTTCCCCTGTGACCTTGAGAACTGACGTTACGTATTGCACCTTATTCCCTCCCACTTCAATCTCTAGGTCAGTTTTTGTGTTCTTGATGAGAGTTCATCAAATAATAACTGGTTCTTGCAATGGTGACTACTCACACATTTCCCAAGCAAAAGTACGGGGTTCTAATTATATTGTAAGTTCCTCTGGTTGGTTTTCTATCCCTTATCAAAAGGTGTATGCCAGTGGATGTGATATAGTTATATTGAATGAGTCCTTTTGCCGTAGTCAGGTAATTTCAGGGGTGAATTGGGAAGTTCTGTAGTCACAGCTGTCAGTTTCAATCATTGGGATGGAAAGGTTTGTTACATAATTTATCTTCTTATTCACTAGATTGCTGTCGCTAATGCTAAAGGAATATATGTCTATGTCCCACAGGTACGTCTGTCGAGTGTTTTCTGTATTTTTATAATACGTCTATAAATTTCATTTGGAATCGTTACTTCGAGAGTTATGATACCTGGCCTTAGGTCATCATCTGATAGTAGGGTGAACTTTAGTTATTGTGGTTATAATATATTATAGCATTGACTTCGGGCGCATTGTAGAACGTTCGGGCAGACTTAGTGGCCTTTTCACACGTTCTGCGATGCACTCGAAGATTCTGCAATGCGCAAGAGAAGAAATACTGGCTGGGAATCATGCACATATAAACTGTCGGTTGAGTGCGCAGTGGGAATGTCAAGTGACTTGTCTGTTTTAGATTCAAACAATTTGTTTAGGTCTCGTTTTGACGTGAGCGTACTATGTTGCTCTTAGCCTCTGTCCATATTTCCAAGTCATCTGCGTATAGAACCGCTGGGGAATCGGTGAGCGCAGATAACTAACTGATATAGAAAACAAATGAGAGGGGTCCGAGTACAGTACCTTGTAGCGATCCACTACTTACTTTTGTCCAGGAGGAGAGTTTTGAATTGATCTTGACCTTGTGTCTCTTACCTGTGTGGAATTTCCCAATCCATCATTTTATAATTTTAATGGATATGTTGTCAAATTGACCAGTTTGTCATGTAATGTTTCTGTTTTGTGTTATTTAGCACATTTATTTGTATGCTGTGTGATTGTCTTTCTTCCCAGGCAACAACAGATGGTCTGCTAACCAATTCATCGAAGTTACTTTGGAGTTTTTCTAGTTACATACCATTACCTAAATCTGAAGTGGTTTGTCTTTGTTGGTCGCATAGACCATGTTTTGAATTTCCAAATTTTGGCTTATTGGCTGGTTTTGAAGATGGACAACTATGCATGTGGAGATCTGATACAGTCAGCAATGTTGTTCATTCCACTCCTCGTTTTCACATAGGAACTGATTTAATAGATTTACAGGATGAAACAGGCTCAAGTGGCTTGATAAATTCTACACCGGATACTCAATCAGAATGGAGAGTTGTTTGGCGTCATCAAATGAAAGGTATTGTTTTCGTTTTGTTTTATCGACTAAATAAATGATCATATACCTGCACTGTAATGGGAATAAGGTTGTGTGCTTGCCACTATTTTATTATTTTATTCCTTTGCGTCCCGAGTGGAACATAGGGCTTCAAGCTTGAGCTATGAATTTCCATTAACAGTGGTGTTTTTGTAATTAATAAGGAACAGGGTTGTTAGCATCTCGCCCAATCTTTCCTCTTTGTTGGGCTTAAAACCGGCTAGGAGGTGGTGGGTAAAAATGTCCACCGGTTGGGAATCGAACTCCGGACCACGTGGGTGCTTGGCGAGCATTATACCGCTGAATCACTGACGTACCGACGTGGTTGTGTGTGTGTGTGTGTTTGTGTGTAAACTTTCCTTAGTAATGAATTTTTATATAATTTATAAACGGGGAAAATACTTTTGGCGTTTTCTACCCACCACCAGGTGAAACAAATATAAAAACGATATTGACAGATGTAAGATTCCGTCACGATTCCCTTCTGCATCTTACTGATGTATATTCACAGACTGACTAGGTTTCAACATAGAACTTTGTAGAAAATTGCCCACAAAAGTAGAGAAAAGAGGAAAGAAAAGAGATTTGAAAACACTAATGAGAAGAAACGTACAGGGGCGGAAAGGCAGAGTAACAGAGAAAAATATGAGGGTTTATTAAATTCAGGGGATTAAAATGAGCGGATGCATATGCGCCCGCCATTACTTCTTAGCATCTTGTCTGACTTGGAGCATCCACTTTACCCTCAGCTTTCACCTTGCATCTCCTCAGGTAGAACAAGAAGTAACTTCAGAAAACTGTATGCTCGCACGTCTAGGTGTAGAAATTCTATGATACCCTACTTGTCACGTATTTTATGTGATGAAAATATTGTTAGGCAAGAATTAACTAACCTTTTTTCATCTAGTAAATAAACAATTTCCTCCATCCATCTATCCTTATATACCTTCAAGTTTTACTTTTATTATTTCTATTATATTTATGGTCCTGTTGCTTATTTGTTTGTTTTACTCTCATAATTGCAAGCACAAACTTATCTCTATGACTGCTGTAATCTTTGTTTTTCCCCTCACCATATTATGTAAAGAGAAAGTTATATTCAATATTTTTAGACATGCTAGGATTTCTATACCATTTTGACAATACTGTGTGTAACAAGCACACGACGATTTTCACTTGTATTATTATTATTACCTTAGATGTTATCATAATTATTATTTCCAATTTAATATGCTGCATGTTTTTGACATTACCCCTGTTGTTGTAAATGTGGAAACTTTTCTGTATGATTAATTTTATTTATAATTTGAGCAAATTAGATGCAATATTGTGAATAATGCTGAAAATTCCATTCTCTATTCCAAGTACTGTTTTTGGAATTAAGTAAATCATTATTATTATTCTTAGTAGAGATTCTCAGAATGCTAAAAACCAGTGGTTGGAGACTATTAGTGATATGTTTCATAATTGTTCTCATCGGTGCAGATGCATTCATAGTCCCACACAGTTCCATTAAACTCATGTTTTTCCTTGTTACTATGTCAAGCGACCAACAGCGGAAAACTCAGCGGAGCGCTTCAAGTGAAGACAAGGAGTTAAACACGGCTGCCTAGTATCGTAGGTGAAATCTCTAATTGGGATCGACTGGACTATGCGCTGCACTGTGGAGAGTGAAAAGACAGGAATACCTTTTCTTGTTTGATTACACATAATTACGACGGGAAATAAAAGGTGACAATTATTTTCAACTAGATATGATTTTTCACGAGAGGCTTGGAAACAAAATCACACAGAATTAGAACGGATAACAAGTGTGTAAAAATGAGGATGGAAACAAAATTGAAATAATAATAATTTTCAGCTTGAGATGGGAGTTAGGAGGCGTGAATATATAGATTACAAAAGCCTTAGAAACACAAAAATTACACGGGATTAAGATATAATTGTAAAATAGTTAATCTTTAAACGAATTATAAATGTGAGCAGGAAAAGCATGGAAACAAACTTAAAATAACTGTTTTTATAACTAAAAAATTGGGGTGAAGCGAATGAAGACAGAAGGAGTAAGAATCACACACACACACACAGCGAACGAAAAAAGAAGAGGAACAAAAAAACGGAAGCAAAGGGAACATACCGAACTAGGTTGTCCATAGTAGTTGTAGAGGTTGGACTTATTTCTTTCGAACACACAACTCCGGCTTCTCGATGCATATTGCGAGGGCTTCTGCAGTACAGAGAAGTCGGAAACATACTGCTTTCGGTGGGTTTTTGTTGACTTTGTAAATTACTTCGAATGAATCAGTTGAGATGTTGTGGGAGGTGCTGATCAGATGTTCAATAATGTGACTTCTAATTTAACCGGTGCCTCCTATTTGCAGTCATGCTGGGTAATGTTCTCTAACACGTTTTGAAAGGACGCGCATACAACGACCTATCTACCTAGCTCCACACGAGCAGGTGAACTGGTATATGCACATTGAATTGGTCATCTGGGATACTTTGTCCTTTGCGTTGTTTCGAAGTATTGGACTGCTCATTTTCTATACACCTGTAATTCGTTGTAACCCTGTATAATTTCTAAGGCTCTCGTAATCTTTATTCACACCTGCTAACTCTCATCTCAAGTTGAAAATTATTATTTCAATTTTGTTTCCATCCTCATTTTTGCACACTTGTTATCCGTTCTAATCCTGTGTTAGTTTTGTTTCTAAGCTTCTCGTAAAATACCATATCTAGTTGAAAATAATTGTCACCTTTTATTTCCCGTCGTAATTATGTGTAATCAAACAACAAGATGTATCCTTGTACAGCTTTTGAAAATGAAATCGCCGAAAAGATCATCGTCTTTACTGAACTTTGTGTACTCTTCTTTCGAATTTCGTTTTAAACCCTCCTCTCTACATTTACTGTAGTTTTCAAGGCAGAAAGCTTTGTCTTACGGTTCACCTACATAATTAAGCTGTACTTTTACTTTCTTTTTATCCAGGTACCCCGCTACAAATTGATTTCAGTACTGATGGTTTATATTTTGCTAGTATAATTAAATGTAATGAACCAAATAATAATCATGGAATTAAATTCAATAATATCATGCATGTATGGTTTCATGATCCTTGTTATAAAATGAATCCTTTAAAAAGTCATAATCATGAAGGCAAGTTTCAGATGACAGAAAATTGGGAACCGATTCATCTACCACATCCTTGTGATGTTTATTCATTTAATTGGCGTCGTACAAGTCGATATCTTCCGAGGTGAGTTGTTTTTCTCCGTAAATCTGTCAGTTCTACTTTGGGATATATGTGAAGCGCGGTAGTAATTAAAGTGCTAAGTGTTTCCTGAATTCGGTCACAAACTATCTTTAAAGAATCACTGGACATCTGTCCTCGTTTGGAACTCTTCAGCGTTATGCTATCAGGGATCAGACGCAGGACCTTCAGGTTACAATGTAAGCTCACTGACTGTTCAACCATTTTGGGTTTTCTTTGGTGAAACGAAGGTATAAAATCCAACACTTGAATATCGATGAGATGGTCACTAGCGACTTACCCTATTGAGGTAGGTAGTTATCTGGGGTTCTAGTGAAAAATCGTGACCAGTAGGGTGCAGCAGGTCGGGGTGTGTGAGGACAAATACTCGCCGAAGACAATGGCTAGTGGTCGCGTTATGTCGTGAATTGACAGAAGTTAGAATTCATGGCCTGGTCATTGGATCGGGTCCCAGTGGCTTAATGATATACGAGCTCGCTGGCCTTGTAACCAAAGGGTCCCGGGTTCGAACCCCTTTGGTGGGTGGGTACTGATGAAGAGTCCCAAACTAGGTCTAAACAACTGTCCAATACTCCCTGACAGGTTCTCCAATGGTTCTCTAACCAATATCAGCTCATGATGAAATCCTGTAACCAATCAAATCCCTACAAACCAACACGTGAACCTGGCTGATTGACCACTTCTCATCCAGTATGCTTAGTTGATTACTTTCAATCTCACCGTTTTGCAGTACAGTATATTTAGAAATCCACTTTGGTACTAATCATTAAAAAGTTCAAGTATGTAATTTGATCGGTAATGAGATTTTGGGCGAATTAATTTAGTCGTAAAGTACTTTTCTTGGTTATCCCATATCTTGTTGTTCATTTCTAAGAAAATGTTCCATCTGACCTACTCTACATTAAGAAGTTAAGACAATCAGAAATCAGTCAACGTCTCCTTTTACACTTGACTAACTGTCGCATTTTACTTATTGTTCTTTACTGCCTCCCCGCTTAGTCTTTCTTGGGATCCTCAAAAAGGGCTATGTTATATTGTGAAGGTTATCAGTAGGGCTGGCAAGTGGTGTCCCAGTAAGTCAGCTCGACATATACCCGAACTCATGCGAGAAATGGTCTAAATCCTTCCTTGCATTTCATCAGGTAGGATTAGAAGCTACTGTAAATCATTGTGCTTGCTCGCACATGAAGAAATACAAAACTCAATGATACCCTTGGAAAACCTGTGAGTACTGGACAGCTCGTATACCATCATGCCACTGGGACCCGATCCAATGACCAGTCCGTGAATTCTAAATCCTGCCGATTCACGGCATAGCGCGACCCCTAGCCAATGTCTTCGGCGAGTATTTGTCCTCACAACCCCCAACCTGCTGCATCCTATTGGTCACGATTTTTCACTAGAACCCCAGGTAACTACCTACCTGAATAGGGCAAGTCGCTAGTGAGCATCTTGTCGAGGGGGTCGCGCTATGTTGTGAATTAACAGAAGTTAAAATTCGTGGGCCATTGGATCGGGTCCCAGTGGCATGATGGTATACGAGCTAGCTCACCTTGTAACCAGAGGGTCCTGGGTTCAAACGCTGGTGGGTTGGCACTGCTGAAGAGTCCCAAACGGGGCTGACGAAACAGCTGTCCATTACACCCAGCTGATCTTCCAGTGGTTCTCTAACTGTTATCACCTCATGATGAAATCCTGTAACCAATCAACCTAATCCCTACAAACCAACACTTGAACATCAGTGATACCCTATTTGGCCAGACCGCATTCTCTGTGATAGGGATAGTGTTAAGCGTAAGACCTACCACTTACCATGTAACTTAGCAAAATAAATGGCTCTTTTATATTCTTTCATTTATGATTCATGGTTACACTATTCTAGTTAAATTATAATTTTAGGTATTAACATTATATTATCATCATTTTAAACTTTTTCTGCATTTTTGACTTTACTTTTATTCTTAATGGCAAAAAGTTGCGATTATCAACTCAATTATTACTATTAAGCCCATCAATTTAAGCCTAAATTACGTCAGAAAATGAAAATGTGTATTTAATGAAAGAGAGAAACACAAGATGATTTAATTTAGGTAAAATCAGGAACTGCACGTGTTTTCTGTGCGTATAGGTCAACACACTACTTCATCATTAGTCAAGACCATCATTGATTTAATGGAGTTGTGAAATTATGCAATTGTTAGAGATTCAGGTGAATCTTAGAGTTACTCGCAATCTGGACTAGGGGGGGCTAATTGATATGATAATCGATGGCCAGTCTGGAAATAAACCAATCAGAATTGGCCAACGATAAGTGATCGATATTCAGCTTGGAAATAAACCAATCAGAGTTTGGTCCACGTCCTATATTTTATTGGTGGTGATTATAGATAAATTGATGTATCTTTGGTGATGTTTTAAATCTCACATTATTGCGTGAAATATGCTTGGCGACTGACGTCTTTGTGTGTTGTTTCAGTGGTGTGGGTTAGGGAAACAGGTTTAGCTGTCGTACGAATGTTGTTAGCATAATGGAGCGATAGTCGTGATAGTAGCGCATCTGTCATTAACTCGGCGTCTCCAACTCAATCTGCACGTATTGCGAAGCACATAACACTGATGCAAGTCGATCAATGTTTAACATTCAATGAATAAACCTCTTAACAGCCTTCCATTCACTCACAGTATGGCAATATAAAGCGTGCTCGCGTATGTGTGAAGAAAGCATTCTACAGATATATGTATGTTATACATTGCGTCACAGGATAAAGTCGACTGATAGATACACTTGTAGGCGATCAGTAGATAAGGCAAACACCTTTTGTCACTAGCAGCAGACAGTTAAACGATAGTAACATTTAGTAAGATTATGATCATTACTTCCAGGGACGTTTCTTGTTCAACTTGAAATCATCATTATTAACTGGTGATATACAAGCTCTTCACTATACTGTTATTACTATTCCATTGCGTTCCGAGTGAAACTTAGGGCTTTAGAAGCTCATCTCCACTTAATTGCATTCTCTGCAGTATTTTTTTGTAGATAGCTCCACGATTGCCAATCAGCTTTCATTTTCTCCACACCACATGATCTCCTCTATGTCAGCTTTGGACCCACACCCACGTCACTCAACGGTACCTTGACGTGGTGGTCAGGCTTGAACACCGCAATGTTCTATTCAAGCTATGCTGGCTGAGACTTATGTCTCTTGAGGTTCTACCATGCCAGGCAGGTTGTTTGGATAGCGGTTAAACAAAAAGCAGCTACCCCATCCAATACCATGATTCAAACAAATTCACAAAATTTCATGCCGGATCGGCCGTGGTCCGGATTAACAACGACCGCGCTTCCTGCTGCCGTGTCACAGGGCAGGAGTGATAATTATGCTACTGAGGCACACCAAACAAAAGAGAACAAACAAAAACAGGCCGCGTGTGACCGGCCTCAAGCAGTTGTCCCCTGGGCTCTGCGTTCACGCAACCAACTTCCACGTTGTGGGCAGCCGGGAAGTAACAATCGCCCTCACAATCCGAAACGCACGCGAAACCTCTCTATTGAGCCGCAATCTACGAATGTTTGGCATGTGATTCGCTCCCGCCAAATGCAAGATGATGTTACAGGACTGGACTACATCGACGCCTAGTTTAAAAATAGGAAGTGAAGTGGTAGAGCACGTTAACCGCTTCACTTATTTGGGAAGTACCATCAGCCCCAACGGGTTGATCTCTGACGAAATCTCACCACGAATACAGGGGGCTCGTTTCGCATTTGCCAGTTTACGCCGACTCTGGCGTAGACGAGATGTTCGACTATCGACCAAAGGGCGGGTGTACTGCTCATCAGTCCGCTCCGTCCTCCTTGATGGCCAACTGTGAGACCTGGCCACTGAGAGTGAAGATATGAAAAGACTAGCTGTCTTTGATCATAGGTGCCTGTGCTCTATTTCCCGTGTAAAGTGGCATAATAAGGTGAGCAACATGGAGGTTAGGCGTAGAGTTCTAGGTAAACAGGGGAAATCAATCGACGAAGTCGTGAAGCTACAAAGACTGAGATGATTAGGACATGTGTTACGTATGCCAAGTCATCGCCTCCCTCGACGAGCAATGTTAGCGGATATAGGGTCAGGCTGGAAAAAAGCTAGCGGCGGTCAAACAAAAACTTGGCCTCACCAGTCAATGAAATCCACAACAGTTGGTCTAAGCCATGTAGGAAGGTGTAGACTTCCTGGTTGGTTGGGGTCCTCGGGACGGTAAAAATCTATGGTTGGAAACGATTGGTGACATGGCTCAAAATCGTTCTTAGTGGCCAGGGCAGATGCATCCACTCCCTGTGACTTATGATCTCCAATGAAACTGTTTTGTTCTTCGTTATTACCCCTCCTTTGTCTCACACCTCTGTTTACTGTCTCTATTATGCTTTTCTTGTACTTTCTTCTCTTGCTTCGCGTGCTACTTGGAGTGTGGCGACTTGAACTTCCGCACATTTGTGCAAAGTTCTATGTCGAAAGCAGACAGACTTTCAACGGTATGTTCAATCCATCCTCATTTCCCTCTGCAGCATATTTTCTGGTTCGTTTTCAGAAATCCTTGTCACTTGCCTGTCCTTTCTGGCCAGTCATTTCATTTTCGGTATGGCACAAAGACGTCTGTTGAAGAAAGTCTGAAATTTGTTGGAAATGCTCTTCGTGACATGAACGCTAAGTCTCTGAACCATATACAAATTCTGACTGATTTCATGTTACCGTTGAAGATCCGAATGGTTTTCCTTAATGATGCACGCAGTAGTCTTCTGAGCTATGAAAGTCCGTCGTGATTTTCCGATTCTAACTTTGAAATCCTCATCTGTGCTAATTGTAGGTGAAACTTGGTTATATTAATTCCTCCATTTAGCTACCCAATGATTATCTGAAAATTGACCATTATCTTACTTGATTATGATGTCACGAATTGGCAGAAGTTGGAATTCACGGTCTGGTCAACGGATCGTGTTCCAATGGCTGAATGAATGGTCTGAAAGCTTGACTTGTAACCGAAAGGTCCTGCATTCGAATCCTGATGACTGGGTACTGGTGAAGGGGAGACCCAAACTAGGGTGAAGTTTCCGTCCAGTACTTTCAGGTTCTTTAGCTGATGCCAATTCGTGACTGAACCTTATGACATATAATCAGCATGCTTTCTATATGTGATATTTTTGTGTTTTAGTGGTTGGATCCCGAATGTATTACTCACCGCTGGTGAAGATAATCTATGTCGTGTATGGGTGGAAGTTACTCATCCTCAGCCGGGCTATTCTTCATTGTCAAATACTCCACACAAGGCTGGTAATTCTTCATTGTTTGGATCAACTCAAATGGGAAATGAATCAGATATTCCAGTAAGTTATGCATGTTTGTTATGTATTTTAAGACTTTTACTCGATTTTCCAAGGTCTAGTGGATATGAATTGTTAAAAAGGATCTTTTAGAGATGATTGCACAGTACGGTCATTATTATTATTTCCCTCGGTTCCAGGGTGGAGCACGAGGCTTCAACAACAGACTTCCATTTCATCTTGTTCTCCGAAATTCTTCCTAGGTCTTTCCACGATTGAACATATGCTTCCATCTCTTCCTGACACGATCTCTCTGTGCCCCTTTGACTGACGCCTAATTCGTCGTTCCCAAGTCGGGTTTCACCCGAGGGCGTGACACATGACTTCACCCAACGGTCGGCTATTAGATGCACATGCAATCGACCAGTAGGTGAGGCAAACAGCTTTTGTTAACAGTAGCACACTAGTAAACGATAGTAATATCTAGCGAGACTATCAGTATTATTTCCGGTGATGTTTACAAAGAAAATGATTTCCAACCAACATTACCAATTGTCACCATCCACTGGTTCTTAGAATCCCAACGACACTGGCAGCGTACATTTCCCTACCTGGTTCAAACTAACAGTTGTGGTTTACGAGTTGATCACGGATTGATATCAGTTAGAGAACCATTGAAAACCAGGGAGTACTGGACAGCTGCTGTTTCATCCTAGTTTTTGGGAATCATCGGCAGTACGCACCCACTAATCCTTACAAACCAAAAACTATAGAAAGTTAACAGTTGTGGATTTCATTGACTGACAATGAAACCATGTTTTGGTTTGACCACCACCACTAGCTCTTTTCTAATCTGATCGTATATCAATTAACATTGACAGTCTTGGAAGGAGATGGCTAAGGATGTGTAACACATGTCCTAACCATCTCTCTCAATCGATGTAGCTTCATAACCTCATCAACTGACTCTCCTTCCATATTACTTACCCCATGATACCACCAAACACACCGGTGACACCTTTTTGATCAAAGGCATCTAGCCTTTTCATATCGTGAGATTCCATTGGTCATGTCTCACAGTCATAAAGAAGGCCGAAGTGAACTGCTGGTTATCAAGTTTACTAAGCCAGAGATGACGTAAGTTGGCGAAATTCACACGAGAAACAACTGTCAACTGCATACAGATAAATCTCTTCTACCTAGCTATCAAACACTACTGTTTGACGTGAGTGGTTTTCAACTGTTATCATATCGATCGTTGAAGGGTATTAGTCTGATTTGTGAAATTTATTTGATCATTTGGTCTCTTGAAGAATGCATGGAATGCTGTTTGAATGAAAGCAAAGTACGAGTGGTGGTATGATGTCGGTGTAAGCTAAGATAGAGAGAAAAATCCTAATGCTTTTACTTAAAACGTGTTTTATTTACAAATTTATTTCCTGAGGACTTCCACTTCTTTGGATGTGTTAGAAGCAGAAGGTTGAGCCTCGGAGTGCTTTCACCTTATTGTGGTCATTATTAAGTGTTATTAGGCCTCTTTTATCTGCTACCTGTTGTGTTTCAATTCTCAGTGTGTATTTCCCAGTATTGTTCTTCGCTTCCTTGTTCAATGCGTTGTAGCTTCTCGTCTCGTTGTATATCTTTGCACTGTTTCAAAGGCCAGATGAATCGTTGAAAGCACTTCCAAAAGTCTACTGCAGACTTTTATCAACAGCTGCCTTCACTGGCTCCATACTGAAGATCACATAGTCGATACAATAGTAGTAGAAACAAGCAGCTCTGGCAGGCAGCGAACTAACCAGGAACCAATCACCTAACAAATATGGATTGGGCACACGCTGGGTAGACTGTTGAGTGATATCACACACCAACCAGACCCAATCAGCTTAAAGGTAGGCAGTGAAATGATAGACAGAGCGTGTTCATCACTTGACTTTTCTAGGAAGTTGGACCAACTCCAGTGGGTTGACACCTGATGGAATTTCAGCACGGATACAGAAGGCTCGTTTTGTATTTGTCAAATTACTCCATCCCCGGCGTTTAACTCAACTCAAAGAAGTTCATGTCAGCTATACAGTAGAACGCATAAATCAGTTTCCTGTACGTTCAGACCACAATACGTTAGATGTGGAGTCACTACAGTTTTGAGTCCAGGTGACAAGTCCCCAAAAGGACTAAATTCTCATTGTAGAATCCACTGATAATCAGCAGCATCCTCAGACGTCGTCAAAGAATCCATCTTAGAAGCCGATATGTTAGCAGACTCCAAGTATTCCAGTCTAACATAATATATCTAAGAGAAATTCAAAAGTGACCACCTAAGGCAATAAATCATATCGATCTAATCTTCACATCTTCACTACCAGAACGTACAGAAGACTCGTTTGGCATACGCCTACTCACGCTATTTCTACCGGTATGTTTACATCAACCTCTAAAAGACGCCGTTTATGGTCACAAAATCACAAAATGAAATCCGTATCGGTTAGCTTAAGTCATGTAGGAAGATGTAGACTTCATGACTGTTTATGATCCTCAGGATGGGAAAACCAATGAAGGCTGGAGACAATTGGTGGTGATACAGCTCAAAATCGTTGTCAATGGCTCGTGCAGATGCATTCACTCTTTGTAATTTGTCACATCCAATAAAAAGCACTTTATTGTTCCTCCATATTATTACCATTCTTTTTCCCTCACTCACACTTCAGTTTATTATCTCTCTTACTGTTTTGAATCTCTCTTTACTCTCTTCTCTTGCTTTTTGTACTACGTGGAGTGAGTGTTGCACCTCAAACTGCTGCAAATCTGTGCAAAGTTCTAAGTTGAAACCAGTCAGTCAACCAGGCCCTCGAGTGCAACTCACATAGGAGGTCAGCAACGAGTTCAACTTTTTTCCATGAAGTTCACGTGAGGTTGAGATCAACGCTTATAGGCAATTGTGGTGCTGCCTAAAAATACCTACAGTGAACGAAGTGAAATTAGAGATCTGTTGTTGAAGCTCTTATGTTCCACTTGGAACCCAGGGGGATAATATTAATACATCATTGTTTGAAAATAGTTCATCATCAATCCAGTTCAAATACGCTGACATTTCATTGCTTGTTTTCATCTCTTTTTAGATTTCGTCTAAAGTCAAATTACGAATACCTCAAGGTGGTAGTATAGATACCGAGGTAAAGTACAAAGCAACTTATGAATCAACTAAAGAGATGAATGAATCTCATGGATTACCATCTTCGCTGTCATCATGTGAAAATTACATCACCGTAGAATTACCTGACTGCTTTCTGAAACATCCTCTTTTAAAGCATTTTCTAGATCTATGGTAAGTTTTATTTGATTATTGATTAAGATTTTTCAAGCTTTAGTTCATAAGGGTAAAACTATCCGTATACTACTGATAGATTGCTATGAGTAGTAGTTGTATGCTACACCACTCATATCCGTCAGTAGTGACTCCTAGTTTAGAATTACGCACGGGTGAAGTGGTAGAGCACGTTGATCGCTTCACTTATTTGGGAAGTTGCATCAGCCAACGCCAACGGGGGTTGATCTCTGACGAAATCCCATCACGAATACAGAGGGGGGCTAGTTTCGCATATGCCAGTTTACGCCGTCTCTGGCGTAGACGTGACATCCGGCTGGCTATTGGCCAAAGGGTGGGTGTACTGTTCAGCAGTCCGCTCCATCCTCCTTGATGGCTATCTGTGAGACCTGGTCATTGAGAGTGGAAGACATGAAAAAGCTCGGTAGCTGTCTTTGATCATAGGTGCCTGCGCTCTGTCTCCGGTGTGAAGTGGATTAATAGGGTGAGCAATATTGAGGTTAGGCGTGGAGCGCTAGGTAAGGAGGGGAAATCAATCGATGAAGCTGTGAAATTACATCGACTGAGATGGTTAGGACATTTGTTACGCATGTCTAGTCATCACATTCCTCGACCGACAAGCGATGTTAGCTGGCATAGGATCAAGCTGGAAAAGAGCTAGTGGCGGTCAAACCGAAACATGTCACCAGTCGACTAAATCCACAACGGTTAGCTTAAGCCAGGTACGTAGGGAGGTGTAGACTTCCTGACTGGTTTGGGTCCTCGGAACGGTAAAAACCAGTGAAGGCTGGAAACAATTGGTGATATGGTTTAAAATCGTTCTCAGTGGCGCAGATGCATCCACTCCTTGTGACTTATGATTTCCAAAGAAACTATATTGTTCTTCGTTATTACTATTCCTTTGTCTCACACCTCTGTTTGCTGTCTCTATTATGCATTTCTTCTGTTTCTTTGTGTGCTACATGGAGTGTGGCGACTTGAACTGGTGCACATCGGTGCAAAGTTCTGTTTCGAAAACAGGCAGACAGTCAGTAGTGCTTGCTAGCCAGCCAGATCGAAACTATGTAAACACCACAGAATGGCCGTTTTGCTTGTTTTGCGCCGAGCTCATCAACAGCTGTATACCGCAGGTGTTTGACTGGGCACACAGAATCGAATCACTTCAAACTACATCTGATTTACTCTTAGCTACTTGGTCGAACTGGTCATACCACTAGTCAAATTCACCATTGATCATGGGTTCACATGTCAGTTATAAAAATATTGGGAAGCATCGGGGCGTACCAGATTGTTCTTTCTTCCTAGTAAATTCTGACTAGCACACACCCATGACCCTACTGACTGATCGGTTTCAACATAGAACCTTGCACCGATGTGCAGCAGTTCGAGTTGCCACACTTCACTAAGCACACAAAGGAAGAGAAGAAAGTGAAAGAAATGCAAAATAGCGACAGTAAACAGAGACATGTGGCAAATAAAATAGTAATATCGAAGAACAATATAGTTTTATTGGGGATTATAAGTCACAAGGAGTGGATGCATCTGTGCCAGTAATTGACAACGACAATTCTGAACCAAATTACCAGTTGTCTGTAGCCCTCATTGGTGTTTACTGTCCCGAGAACCCCAACCAGGAGGTGTACACCTTCTACGTGACTGGCCTAAACTAACTGTTGTGGATTTCATTGACTGACGATGAAGCCATGTTTTGGTTCAACCACCGCTAGCTGTTTTCCAACCTGACCTTATGTCAGCTAACATCGCCTGTCAGTCAAGGAAAGCGATGGCTAGGCATGAGTAACAAATGTTCTGATCATTTCAATCGATGTAACTTCTTAGCCTCGTCAATTGATTCCCCCTCTTTACCTAGCACTCGACCGATGCCTAACCTCAATTTTACTCACCCTATTATACCACTTCACATGGGAGAAAGAACGCAGGCACCTATGATCAAAGGCAGCCAGTCTTTTCATGTCTTCCATTGTCAGCGGCCATGTCTCAGAGATATAAAGGAATATCCACCTAACTGCTGCTAAGCAGTGGACACGACCTTTGTTCGATAGGTAGCTGGATATCATGTCTACTAAGCCAGGGATGGCGTAAGTTGGTAAGTACCAAAGCAGCCTTCTGTATCCTTGTTGAGATTTCGTCAACACGCTCTATCACTTCACTCCCGATTTCTAAGGTCGGGGTCAGTGTATTCCAGTCATATAGCATCATCTTATATTTGACGGGAGTGAATTGCATGCCAAACATTCGAAGATTGCGACTCAAGGTGTTCAGAAAACTCTGCGCTATTATGTCAGCGTACTTCAGCCAGAAGAACTTTATCATATGCATATTCTAAGTCAATCCCTGAGTTGCTGAAGTCACTTAGGGTTAAGTCCATTCGTAAATCTGTAATGAAATTAAATAGAAACGGGGATAGTGGGCATCCCTGACAGACACCACTAGTTGTCTCCAGTTCAGACAACCGATCGCCGTAAGCCCTCACCTGGCTGGCTGCATGAGTTCGAGTAGAGTGCCTTGATCAGTGAAATGTATTTTTTCGGGATTCCTTTCACAGCCAAACATCACCGTAGTACCTCTCAGTCGACAGAATCTAACCTACCTGCGATAGAATTCAGGAACTTCAAATTCAAAGTCCAGCTGGTAGACCATTCAGTTATTGGGACCCCGGATTCAATGGTCTGCGCATGAATTCCAAGTCTTACCAATTGGGCATTTTAGCATGACTGGCATCAGTCAGTGTCATCAGCCGGAGTATTTGTACTCACTCCCGACCATGTCGGCCCCACTCGTCGCGCTTTCCCGCTAGAACCGCAGGCAACTAACTTTGTCCTGTAGCCAGTTACCAGCGAGTATCAGTTTTTTTTATTTTCAAGAGTTAGTTTCTAAGGATTTAATTTGTTTCAAGTTTGTGACCACGCATGGATTGATATCAGTTAGAGAACCATTGAACAAACCAGTGCAGGGAGTACTGTACACGTCTGTTTCATTCTAGTGTGGGAGTCTTCGTAAGTATTGATAATCTGTAATATCTATTATTATTGTTATTGTTCCCTTGGGTTCCCAGTGGAACATAGGGCTTCAACTGCACGTCTCCACTTGCTTCTGTTTTCCTTCTGCTGTACCTTTCACCTGCATCCATGTTAGTTAGTCCATACTGTTTCAACTCCTCTTCACACGATCTCCTCCATGTTACCCTTGCACTGACGACCCACTCGCCGCTTCTCTTTCGGCCTGGTTCCACTCGAGCAATGGTCTGACGCGCGTCCAATGTCGCCCATCGACCTCCTCAGCGAGTGTCCAATCCATCTTTCTTCACTTTCTCCTGCATATTTGTTGGCTGGCGATTGGTTCTTGTTTTGTTTGTTTGTTCCCATAGTTTCTTGTTGGTGATTCTTTCCGGCCCCCCGGCCATCTGATCTTCAGTATAGAGCCAGAGAAGACAGTTGTTGGTTGATAAAGGTCTGCAACTGGCTGTTGGAAATATTTCTTGCGACCCGCCCATCAAGTTTCTGATCCGTATAGAAGAGCTGACTGACTGACTGACTTTACGTTGTTTGTATTGAAAATCCGACCGAATTTTGTTGTTGATGCTGGCTGAGTGACGAAGATTGGTTTCCAGATTGGTTTCAGGTTGATGAGTGAATGTGTGAATGTGTTTCTCGTTTGCCTTGCCGATCTATGATTTAACAAATTTGATCTAAACCTTCGATTGTAGTAGAGTTGAGATGATGTGATATATTTTGAGTTGTTGGGGTTTTTTGATTTGACTTGATATGTTGTTGTCGTCAACTGTGATTGAATATTTTGCACTCTAATCATTCAGATTTTCCCTTGATAGTCACAGTCTAGTATATATATAAGCATTTGTCATTTACGCAATAGATTTTTTTAAAATTGTTTTTATACGTGATAATGCAATCAATTTTATTGCAGGCATGTATCTTCTTTTAATCTTTGATTTATTTTATTTTTTTCAATCACATACAACAGTGTGATTTTATCCTATGTGAAGATTGACTGACTGACTGATTAGACGGTCAACGTAGAACTTTGCACAGATTTGCAGCAGTTTGAGTCGCCACGTTCCAAATCGCACATTAAGGTAGACAAGAAGATGAGTGAAGAGAATCAATAGAGTTTGACAACTATAAGAGCGAAACAGAATGGGTAATTGTAGAAAGGAATATGAAAGATTACAGAAACTGAATACATCTGAGCTGGCTATTGACAACGATTTTGAGCCATGTCACCTATCGTCTCCAGCCATTGATTCCTAGAGTCAGTCCCGAGGGCCCCAACCCGGAAGTCTGCATCTCCCTACCTGACTCAGTTTAACTGTCAAGGACTTCATGGATTGATGAGGCCATGTTTTTGTTTGGTCATCACTGGCTCTTTTCCAACCTGCACCTATATCAGCTAGTAATGCCCGTCGGGGGAGGCAATGGTTAGGCATCCGCAGCACGTGACCTAGCCATCTCAATGTATGTAACTTTATAGCCTCGTCGATTGATTTTCCCTGTTTGCCCAACACTCTACGCCTAACGTCAACATTACTTACCTTATTAAACCATCTAACGTGAGACAGAGATCGCAGACATCTATGATCGAAAGGAGTCAACCTTTTCATGTCTTCAACTCGTATTGGCCATGTCTCAGGGCCACAGAGAAGGACGGAGCGAACTGGTGAGCAGTACACACGTCCCTTGGTTGATAACCGGATGTCACGCCTACGCCAGAGGTGGTGTAAGTCAGCGAAAGCAGCTCGAGCTTTTTGGATCCTTGCTGAGATTTCGTCTCCAATCAGTCGGTTGGTGCTGATACAACTTCCCAAATAGGTGAAGTGGTCAACATGTTCTATCACTTCACTCCCTATCACTAAGTTAGGGGTTGACGGGGTCCAGTCCTGTAGCAGCATCTTACATTTTGTAGGAGCGAATCGCATGCCAAACATACGAAGACTGCTGCTCAAGGTGTTGAGAAGACTCTGCATTTTGTCAGAATCCTCCCCTAACAGGACTATGTCATCTGCATATTCTAAGTCCATAAGACTATTCCTTGGTAACAAGTCGATTCCTAAGTCGTTACGTTCAGTTAAGGACACTTTCATTAGCATATCTATGATGAAGTTAAACAGAAATGGGGAAAGTGGACATCCCTGTCGGACACCACTGGTTGTTACCAATTCAGACGACAATTCCCCATAAGCCCTTACACGGCTACATGAGTTTGAATGGAGTACCTTGATTAGTGCAATGTACTTTCTTGGCACTCCCTTCACAGTCAGACATTGCCATAGTACCTTTCGATCCACGGAGTCGAAGGCCGCCTTCAAGTCAAGAAATATGGCAATTGTTGGACGCCGAAAAGTGTGTCTATGTTCTAGAATCTGTCGGAGAGTGAAGATATGATCTATGCACAGATTTGCAGCAGTTTGAGGTGCAACACTCACTCCACGTAGTACAAAAAGCAAGAGAAGAGAGTAAAGAGAGATTCAAAACAGTAAGAGAGATAATAAACTGAAGTGTGAGTGAGGGAAAAAGAATGGTAATAATATGGAGGAACAATAAAGTGCTTTTTATTGGATGTGACAAATTACAAAGAGTGAATGCATCTGCACGAGCCATTGACAACGATTTTGAGCTGTATCACCACCAATTGTCTCCAGCCTTCATTGGTTTTACCATCCCGAGGATCATAACCAGTCAGGAAGTCTACATCTTCCTACATGACTTAAACTAACCGATACGGACTGCATTGACTGATGAAACCACGTTTTGGTTTGACCACTACTAGCTTTCTCTTTTCCAATCTGATCAGTCCTATGCGAGTTAACATTTCCCGTTGAGGATGACGATGGCTTGACATACGTGAATACACATGTCCTAACCATCTCAATCGATGTAACTTCACAACTTCTTCGATTGATTTCCCTTCCTTGATTTACACTCTCTAAGCTTAGCCTCAATATTACTCATCCTCTTATACTACTAAACACAGGGGAGATCGAACACCCAACACCTGAGATCAAAGACAGCTAGGTAGGCTTTTCATGTTTTCCACTTTCAATGGGCATGTTTGAGAGCTGTGAAGGAGGACGGAGCGAACTGGTGCTGAGGAGTACACACATCCTTTGATCGATATCTAAACAGTTGTCATATCTATGCCAGGGATGGCGTAAGTTTGCAAGTGCCAAACCAGTCCTCTCTACGTTATAGCAGTGCAGACGTGAAGATTTGGTCAATAGGATTTGTTTTCTTAGTTAACTTTTGCATTTCTTGTAGATATAGTATGTTAGGCGAGAATACTTAGACTCTCTTGGCATATCGGCTCCTAGCACGAACGCTTTGGCAATATTTGGGGATTAATGTGGAATTATTCAGGATATTGGTGACTAACAGTGGATTCCAGGATGAACATTTAGTTTTACTTGGTGCAAGGATCATGCACCAATCAATTCCCACAGACAATTCAAGGTTAGAATGATTTTGATTCACTCAAACAAAATGGCTTCGTGAAACAGCACATTATCATCATCTTAACACAATCGCGAAGAGAAACATTCAAAATCGAGATCAAACAGGATCAAAGACAATGAAGATTCAGTCAACAGATGATATGCAAACATTAGGGTAATGGTGTATAGTCTAGGAGGAGAGGGGATAAAAATCAGAAATACAGTTGATTAGATGCTCACTGGCGACTTGCCCTATTTAGGTAGGCAGTTACTTGGGGTTCTACTGAGTAGTCGGAACTAGCAGGGTGCAGCAGGTTGGGTGTGAGAACAAATACTCGCCGCCGAAGACATTGGCTAGTGGTCGCGCTATGTCGTGAATTGACAGAAGTTAAAATTAATGGCCTGGTCATTGGATTGGGTCCCAGTGGCTCAATGGTATACAAGCTCGCTGGCCTTGTAAGCAGACGGTCCTGGTTTCGAACCCCGGTGGATACCTACTGCTGAAAAGTCCCAAACTAGGACGTAACAGCTTTCCAGTACTCCCTTGTGGTTTTCCAATGGTTCTCTAACCAATGTCAGCTCATGATGAAATCCGGTAACCAATCAAATCCTTACAAACCAATACTTGAATAGTTGAAACATTGAAATAAGTATCAAGGCTGTATACAAGATTTCATAATGAGCTAACATCGGTTAGAGAACCATTGGAAAACTTGCCAGGTAGTACTGCACATCTGTTTGGTCAGTCTAGTTTGGCACTCTTCACAGTATTACTTACTTTACTTCGGCTATCTCCTACGGGAGGATGAGCCGGCTTCATGAACGTCTCGAATCATCGCTGCCCAGGCGCGGCAATTTTTAAGAGAGTTCATGAAGTCTCATGGGAATTTGGTACGAGTGATGTCCCCAGAATCGCTCGGCCTTTTGTTTGAGAGTGCAGCTCTAGCCTTTACACAGCCAAGTGTGACCTACAAGGCAGTAGGAGTGGAGTAAGGAGTCCACTATCCATTGGCAGCCGGTGACCACAGTTCGGTTCATACGCCTTTTCGAATGGGGCCAGACATCCAGGACATCCAACAAGCCCTTTGTCCATACGTCTGCCGGTGAGCTTCATACGCCAGTCGTTGGAGGTGTGGGATCAGGGTTTAGCCATCTCCCCTAGACTGTAATCCAATGGACAGTCAACCCGGTGGAGAGCGCCGGGCATCCGCTTTCGCCCTCTCACTTCGGTGAAAAAACACCTCCACCACGTGAAGGCAGTGAGTAGGACTTCCTCAGGAGAGGCTATGTAAGACGCCCGGTCATATGGGAGCATTTCAAGAGGTGTGCGGAGGGGTGGCCAACCCGCAGCGCAAGGCACCCACCCCGACCATCCTGAGGCTTTGGAGGCTCTTCACAGTATGCACCTACCCATAGTTTCAAACACCAAAGTATTATCCTCTAGGTCTCAAGGATAACGACAGCTATCTCTTCTTCAGGTACATGCAGAGATAGAGAGGGTCCCTATAGAGGTCGAAATGCTCATCGTGGTTCCATTACTAGTCAGCATCAGTTTAAATAACTTCACATTGAGTCAGTATGTTTATTTTTCTTGTTTTATCTATAAATTTTTTTTATTAATTTTATGATGATCACAAACAATTCAGGTTAACTGATCCATTGTCAAAAATTCAAGTAGATTATCAAGGAACAACAGCTAATAATGACGCCGTTGGAAAGTTGAATTTTCCTGTCAATCTATCCTTCCCGCAATTTACATTTACCACCTCTTTACCATTGGATAATTTTCCTGAGATTAGTTCACTTCATAGTACTACTACTACTACTACGAATTCTTCAAATAGGTAAGTCTTCATTGCTAGTCTCTCTTGTCTTTTTTATTGGTGCGTTTATTCCTCAGTTGTGTAAAATAGTAGATGGGGGAACAAACTGGTGCTGAGTATAAATATGTATGTATGTATGTATGTATGTATATTTGATAGTTGACTGGTTATCACACTTGTGCCGAAGATTTCACAAGGTGTCAAACGATAAACCATCTTTCTATGATTACAGGATTTCATCATGAGCTGGTTGACATTGGTTAGCGAACCATTGGAAAACCTGTCAGAGAGTACTGGACAGCTAGCTGTTTCTTCAGTCCGGTTTGGGACCCTTCATCAGTACTCACTCGCTACAGGGGTTCGAGCCCAGCACCTTTTGGTTACAGGGCGAGCGAGCTCGTAGACCATTCATCAGCCACTGGGATCCAATCCAATGACCAGACTGTGAATTCTAACTTCTGCCAATTCATGCATGACATAGCGTTACCGCTAGCCAATGTCTTCGGCGGCGAGTATTTGTCCTCACACCCGACCTGCTGCTTCCTACTGGTCACTGGTGACTTGCCTTATTCAGGGGTTTTGGCGAGAAGTCGTGACCAGTAGGATGCAGCAGGTTGGGGGGTGTGAGGACAAATACTCGCCGAAGACATTGGCTAGTGGTCGCGCTGTATCCTGAATTGACAGAAGTTAGAATTCATGGGTTGGCCGTTGGATCGAGTCCTAGTGGCTTAATAGTCTATGAGCTAGCTCGCCTTGCAACCAGAAGGTTCCGGATTCGAACCCCCCTGTGGTGGGTGCGTGCTGTTGAAGAGTCCCAAACAGGGCGGACGAAACAGCTGTTCAGTACTCCCTGTGGCTGGTTTTCCAATGGTTCTCTAACCAATGTCAGCTCATGATGAAATCCTGTAACCAATCAATCAAATCCCTACAAACCAACACATTAATCTTCCTATGATCTGGCTAGGTTGTATAATAGGACAGATATAACCTCTTAAACATTTAGCCATACTACGAATTGAGATGCAAACCATTCGTTGAGAATGTTATTGTGCAAAATTACCCTTATTAGATGGTTGGAGGCAATCATCAGGGGAAAGCCTTGCGTGACTCAGGTGTCGTGCTAGTTGACACTCACCAATAAACAGAGTGTATCTGCAACCTTGAAGGAACTTATATCCCCCCCTCTGGGATTCCAACTTGTGTCACTCAGTGCTGCAGTTAAAGACGTTACCACTGAGCAGCTATTCAGGTTAGCGTTTGACCTCTGTAGGACTGTAGTGAATACTTTGGTTGGAGGACATAATGTAGTGAGTGACTAGTGTAGTGTGTTCAGTCCTTCGTTCGGACTGGAGATTGAATTCTGTCAATCAAGTTGTTATTAGATAGTAACGTTTTTGATGACTATGGAGAATCAACTCGCACAGACCAAATACTTAATTATAACAGCAACAACCCAATAACACACAAAAGGGGCTGTATACAAACACTATTCAAGAGAGCTAGGACTCATTGCAGCCCTTCTACCTTAGGGAAAATTGAAGAAAAATATCTCATGGACGTCTTTCAAAAGAATGGATATTCGAGTTTCATCAAAAGACATATACCCCGAGTCAACCTACCAAATCAAAGGGCTTCAAGGGAAGTACAAAGAAAACGCCCTACGATACATAAAATACATCTCAGAAATCATTGCAAGACTCTTCAAATCTTTAGGAACTGATGTTGCACGCAAACCAACAAAATCACTTCACTTGGCTGGCTCTGTGTCAACCAAAAGACTCAGCGGTGAAAGAAGATAAAACCAACATTATCTACAAAATAAATTGTAACAACTGCGGGAAACCCCTAGATTGGCCAAAGTGGACGTTCTCTTCGTCATCGTACTCATGAACATAGATTACCTGTCAAAAGACATGAAATTCACTCCCTCAAATTACTGCATACAGACAACCACGGACATCAATTCAACTGGGACAACCAGCGTTCAAATATTAGACAGAGGAAACAACAAGAATGCTAAAGAATTTTTAGAAGCCTGCCGTGTATTCCAGTGAATCGTCAATCAATAGACACATTGACGTAGACAAAATTTACCGATCGATATGAAGGCAATCTCACACACGCAGAGAATCAAACTTCAGGTCAAGGAAACAACCAGTCATGTTCAGGGTCACCAGGAGAGATGATTAATAAACTCGTGGAGAAATCTAAAAGCTCACTTCAACAAAGTGAAGTATGCGCTGAAGAAGTCGCCTAGTAGGGCTTCGTAAATTAAATATCCAGCTCAGAGAACACAAATACATCAAAATCATCCATCTAAGCTACAAATCTCCATCATATTAGATAGTAACGTCTCTTACCTCAGCACTTAGTGACACGGGTTCGAATCTCGGAGTGGGCATAGGTTCTTTCGGGCTTGCGGATACGCCTAGCTGATTGGTGAGTGCCAACTAGCACGAAACCTAAGTCACACAAGGCTTTCTCCTGACGATTTCCTCCAACCGTCTAATATCAACAATTCAAAGTGCAGCGTGATGATGAGCCACATTACAAAAACTTGACTACACCAAACAAAGTACTAGACGCACGACACCAGTCACTACCTGTACTGTCTCTTGCAGGTGAACCGCTTGAAGTCTTTGATGAGTTTGTGTATCTGGGTAGTTGTGTGAGTTCTGGCTGGGAGGGGTGACGGATGAGATTTCCAACCGTATCATGAAGGGTAGGGTGGCATACATGAACTTGAGCCACCTATGGCGCCGTCGCGATGTTAGCCTGGTTGTCAAAGGTCGGGTATACACAATGCTTCGGTGCGGGCTGTCTTGCTCTCTACGCCTGTGAAACCTGGCCTCTCCGAGTTGAGGATGTGCGGCGACTGTGCGTGTTCGATCACCGCTGTCTCCAGAGGATTGCTTGCGTTCGACGGCTTCATCGCGTGAGTAATTCTGAGGTTCGGCGGCTTGTGTTTGAACACAGTGGAGATCACTATTCATTGAGTGTCGTTATCTGGAAACACCGGCTCCGGTGGCTTGGACATGTACTGCAAATGTCATCCCAGAAGCTTCCGTACAGGTCTCTGTTCGCGAAGAGGTGGTCAGTCCATGATGTGGCGTCGTAGGATGAAGGATATTTGTACTAAATTAACATCGGTTGGTGTGTCATGGCTCCCTAGTTGGGGTCTGTCTGGATTCAACATAGAACTTGGCACCGAAGTGCAGCAGTTCGAGTTGCCACGTTCCAATTGGCACACAAGGTAGACAAGAAGATGAGTGAAGAGAATCAATAGAGTTTGACAAGTATACGAGTGAAACAGAATGGGTAATTGTAGAAAGGAATATGAAAGATTACAGAGACTGAATACATCTGCGGCCATTGACAACGATTTTGAGCCATGTCACCTATTGTCTCCAGCCATTGATTCCTAGAGTCCCGAGGGCCCCAACCCGGGAGTCTGCATCTCCCTACCTGACTCAGTTTAACTGTCAAGGATTTCATGGATTGATGAGGCCATGTTTTTGTTTGGCCACCGCTGGCTCTTTTCCAACCTGAACCTATATCAGCTAGCAAAGCCCGTCGGGGGAGGCGGTGGTTAGGCATGCGCAGCACGTGACCTAGCCATCTTAGTCTATGTAACTTTATAGCCTCGTCAACCTCTGGTTGGGGTCCGAGACATAGCTGGAATCTCTGGCCAGGAATCGTAATCAATGGTGAATCAATGTTTCAATTTCTTTCTTCCCTTACTGATGATAGTTGACGAATACTGTTTGAACTTGTTAAGTATGACTGTTTTCTTTCCAGATGAAGTTCTTTATCCGTTCTCCATCCATATTTTTACTTTTGATCTATGTTGTTTTATTATTATGCGGAGGGGGGGGGCGCATCTTCTTGGTTCCATATTGTACCAAGGTTTTCTGCGTTTAAATAATAATAATAATAATAGCGTCCAATCAAAGTTATTTCCTCTTTTAATGTTCAGATCATATATTGGTCGATTTACAACACATTGGTTCAATAATAAAGAATATCGTTTCAATACTCAATTAGAAATATTTATGATGGATGCAATATCACGAATTCTAGCCATACCTGTGCATATTTGTAAGTTTATCTTATCTTATTTCAAATGACTAAGGTTAATTAATTTTTGAAAACTCCGCCTTCATCAGATTCATATTCATAATTCACGTTGATGTTTAAAATAACGAATTAATAATGTCGATTGATTACAGTTCAAAAGCATCTTCAAATGATAATATGCTGCTTTTCTACAGTCTGGTTTGTAAGGGTTGGCTATGTTTTAATGAATTGATCAAGGATAGATATCAGTTAGAAACCATTGAAAATCACGGAGTACTGGACAGCTGCTGTTTCATCCTAGTTTTGGGAATCATCGGCAGTACGCACCCACTGGGATTCGACTTTTGGCGACTTGAACTGCCGCACATATGTGCAAAGTTCTATGTCGGAAACAGATAGACAGACTGGGATTCGAATCCAGGACCTTCCGGTTACAAGGCAAGCTCGTATACCATTCAGCCCCTGGGACCCTATTCAATGTCTCATGAATTCTAACTTCTACCAATTCGTGATTTAGAATTCATGAGCCATTGAATCGGGTCCCAGTGGCTGAATGGTGTACGAGCCAGCTTGCCTTGTAACCGGAAGGTCGTGGGTTCGAACCCCAGTGGGTGCGTACTGCCGATGATTCCCAAACTAGGATGAAAGAGCTGTCCAATACTCCCTGATAATATGCTGCGTCAGATAAGTTAAAGGGAATTAACACAGAATTTATGAATTTATCGCCACACTACGGATCATCATTGAATAAAGCTTGGAATGGCAGTCACCTCTCTATCTCAACTTCATCGACTTTGGAAAGGGCTTCGACAGCGTCGATCGAGAGGTGATTTGGCAAGTACTCCGCTACTACAGGGTGCCATCGACAATTATGCATCTCATCCAACAGTTGTATGACAACACTTCATGCCAAGTAATCCAGAGCGGGAAACTTACGGAATCCTTCGAAGTGAAGACGGGAGTTAGGCGAGGCTGTCTACTATCGCCAATGATCTTCCTGATTACAGTATATTTGATAATGCGACAGACAACGGGCAATTAGGAAACAGGCATAAAATGGACCCACACAAAAACTTGGAGGATCTGGACTTCACCGATGTGAAGTTTGTCTAATTTCCCACAAACTGGAAGATATGCAAGTGAAAAGCAACAAGCTGGCAGAAGAAGCATCAAAGATAGGCCTTCAGGTGAACATAGAGAAAACAGAGGTAGGTGATGGAGATTCCTGGCCAACAGCAACAACAACAGACAACAATCAGCATAAATGGAAGGAACCTGAAAGAAACAATCTCCTTTGCCTACCTGGGAAGCATCATTTCAACTACAGGAGGACAGAACTGACGAGGATATCAAAGCAGAGAGGATGGGAAAAGCAAGAAAAGCTTTCACTACTCTTAAGTCTGTGTGGAGGTCAGCAGCACTCAGCATCAAAAATATCCGGATTTTCAACTCCAATGTGAAACCAGTCAGTGCTACTCGGTATACGGATCAGAGACTTGGCGCGTCATAAAGGGCGTCTCAAACAAACTACAGACCTCCATTAACAGCTGTCTTCGCTCAATACCACTCAAGATTAGGTGGCCGGTCAGAAAAGATCAGCAACAGTAGCGAACCAACCGGGAACGGTCGTGAAACAAATAGGCAGGAAGAAATGGAGATGGATTGGCTGGCCATACGCTGAGGAAACCATCAAGTGACATCACTAGGCAAGCCATCGCTCGAGTGGAACCCGAAAGGGAAGCGGTCAGTTGGTCGTCAGTGCAAGGGTGACTTGGAGAGGTCATGTGAAGAGGAGATGAAAGCATGTGGGCAGACTTGGAGCCAGGGGAAAACTTTAGCAAAGAACCGAACACAACGGAGACGCGCGGCTGAAGACCTACATTCCTCTAGGAATTAAAGGAAACAATAATAATAATAATAATGTAAATTAGAGTAAGGCCTGAAGAAGATCTAATTGAAAACAACAGTATTGTACGCTTGCATGTCTTGTTCCCTCTGATTATCATGTTTTTCTGGTATATCTTTCTACTAATTTTTTGTACTTTTTTATAGCAGCTGATAACACATCTTCTTCTTCTTCAACGTCATTGCCATCACTATCAGCAAATAACAATACTGTCTCTCCTGAATTATCAGATCAAATAGCATTAATGGATCAAACAGTCTTTAAGCTATTAGGTGAACTGCAACATGCACCAGATGTTGTATTTGCTATACATCCAATTGATGGAAGTTTAATTGTTTGGTAAGTCAACTTTCTGTGATCAAAAAAAGCGCGCGCATTTCATCCTCTGTGGGACTCGTCAGCTACATTAATTTGCTATTCCTAGCAAGTGATGTTGTTCTCATTGAAGCTGGAACTCAGTAACTTTCACCAAGGCAAGTTATCCACTGAACCATCTCTTTTGCACTGGATATGTATCTGACTGTGATTAATCTGAGTTTGAAGCTCTGGGGGGCGCTGTATTCAGGTCCCAATGGGAAGAAGATCACTCAAAATGGGAGGATAAGTGTATCCAGTTAGCGACTCCTAAATAGAACTAAATGTGTGGTGTGTGTGTTTGTTTTAATGGTTTTCTTTATTCCTTTCTATTCGATGCAGGGGTAGAAGAATTTTCCTCGAAAGCGTATGGGCAGGGGGATGATGACACAGTCACACAAATAAACTTTTCGAGCACATAAACTCATAAGTAGAGGCATTTCAATTTATTTAAGAATTGGGAATTCATCAAGAGGAGTTTCCAATGTTAGCTTGTGGTATAAAATGGAAAGAAGATGGGAAGAGTTAAACACATTGGTGTTTACAGAACCCGCCCCCCCCCTCACACACACACATTTTAACCGATATTTGTGTTATGTACTAGTTTTCCCCGTCGCCAAATTGTTATGTACTCGTCGCTGAATTATTGTTATGGACTGGTCGAGAAACTAATAGTCCTGACGCGAGAAGGCGGAAATCAGAAGACCACTAGGTTTTCGATGATACTTCTATTGTCCAAACACAAGGAGACGAAAATAAATGGTCTCACACCAAAGTGGTAAGTAAGTAAAGTAGTTGTAAAGTAAAGTAGTTCACACAAATTGTGAATGCGAATATATATAAATAATTCAGACAAGCGTGGGGAAAATCATTAGACAGTCTTAACATGAATGGCTAATTATAATGGAGTGTCGATCCAATTATACATAGCGAATATAGCAGACATGCCAACAAACATATATGGATATATGTCACCAAGCAACGGACTGTCAACAAACACTCATATTATATATAATATAATATAAGGAGAATACACATTATTAAAGGAGACAAGTCCATACAAGTGAAGTGGTCACAGACTAACCGAGCAAACAGAAAGAGAGACCAACATGCACACACACACATAAATATATATATGTGGATATATATCAATTTGGCTTTTGGATCATGCCACCCTATATCAGTGGAAATAGGGTTGGTGAAATATTTAAATAATAGCTCAGAAAAATCGAAGACAGGAAGTGATGCATATAAGAGAGAATCATTAAAACCTAGTAGTTGCCCTGATAAATTAATCAAGAAGTATGTAGGAAAATGTAAAAATAAGATTAGTACTAATGATAAACATACACATAATGGTGGCAACGTCGACAGTGAGGAATTAAAATCATCAGTACTGCTTCCACATAAAAAAAGATTTCCAACAGTCAGCTACAGAAATTCATCAACGGCCACCTTGGCTAATTCCATGGTGAAGTTCAAATGGCTAGAAAGAATCAACAACAAGAAACTCTAGCTGACAAGGAACCAACCAAGAGCCGATTTCGCAACAGATATGTAGGAGGTAACAGAGATGGATTAATCGGGTATAACATTGAGGAGGTCGTTGAATGACATCGCGTTCAATGCAGGCCATTGTTTGAGTGTGTCGTCGTCGGTGTGAGTGTAACATGGAGGAGAGATCGTGTGGGGGAGGAGGACTATGGTCAATCGTGGGCATGGCCAGCTGAAGAGGACATTAAAGACGAGAAAAATGTGGAGGTGTGTTGTTGGAGCTCTATGTTTCACTCGGAACCCAACGGGGAATAATAATATTTTCATACAAACAAAGGAACCTGGAAAACCTCACATAGAATTCTTAACATTTCAGGAGTAAAGGTGACTTTCAAGCCCACAAATTCACTTAGAAACAAACTTTGTTGGTTAAGGGATCCCTACTGGAATGATTGTTAGGTCAAATACATAGGTCAAACTGGTAGAACAGGGTCAGTGAGTCAGACTAGCCGAGCACAAAAACCTAGCAGCAAAATCTAGATTAGTTGATCCTGATAAGATAAGAAATCTGGAGAGTATTTCAGCTGTAGTACTACACCACATGCAATTACACACGCAAGCAGACAATAGAATGGGATAGGATAAGATGACAGTCTTAAAATTTAATATAACAGGATGGAGGGAGAGACTGAGATATCGGAAGTTTCATTTATCGGTTCAACTGAAGTGAATACGTGTAATAGGAATGATTCAACTCTTATCCACTAGAATATCTGGGGAATTCTACCACCCCTCCGACGACGAATAGGAAAGAATAAAGAAAACCATAAAACTAAAGTTTCAAAGTTGTGTGGTTATAATTGGAGATATGATTATGAACAGCAATAAATTATGTTCGAAACTATGTCATCCACTAGACAATAATACGATTTAACTAACTATGTGATGTCTAATTAACAAATTAATATGAAATTACACACTACCACAATGCTTAAGTTCTACAATTAGTTGTTCCTGAGAAAATCTGAGATACTATTTAAGAACAATGGCAACAAAAGTCGAAAATTACCTCAACGATGTGCTGTTAAGCAGCTATACAGATCCAGTTCCAACTCCGTTAGAAACTAAGTAAGTATCGTACAACAAAAATAGTTTATCAAAATTCAGCCGTGTGAAAAGTACCTGAGAATGAAGTGGAATGATATTAGATGGTTGAAGGCAGTCGGCAGGAAACCCCGTCTTACCTCGGTTTCGTGCTAGTTGGCACTTACTAGTCAATCAACTAGGCGTATCTGCAATCACTTTGTAGGAATTCATGTCCTTTCTGTGATCCGAACCTGTGTCACTCAGTGCTGCAGTCAGAGACGTTACCACTGAGCTATTCGGACTCTCTATTGACACCTCCAATAGGACTGTATTGGACACTAGTAACCAGTGTGATGTGCCTAGTCCTTCGTTTGGTTCAGACTGAATTCTATCAGGTAGTCAGGTTTGCAATATGGCCACCATTCTAGGTAGCAGCACTGGGTGACACGGGTTTGAATCTCAGGCAGGGCACATGAGTTTCTTCAAGGTTGCAGATGCGTCTTGCTGACTGGGGAGTGCCAACTAGCACGAAACCTAGGTCAAGCGCGTCTTCCTGCTGATTGCCTCCAACCATCTAATGTCATCAAATCAATGTGCACCGTGATGGCGAAGCTACCTAGAATGGTGGCCACATTGCAAGCCCGAATAACGGATAGAATTCAGTCTGTACCAAACAACCAAAGGACACTAGACACATCACACTAGTTAGTCACTAGTGTCCAATCGAAATCAAGTAGAATTATTCCCAGCAGGATGAGATCAAAAACTCTGTCCACAAGAATCACACCACATTAAACACGTCTCGAAGACAGTCCAAGGTTAGAATAACTTGATTCATACAGTCATAATCGCAGTTGCAAAACAACAAATAATCAATATCATTATCATAGAACTATAAAGCGAAGCATTAAAATTAGAGATTAATTAGGGACAAAGATAAATAATAAGGAATAAGTCAGTACATGATATACAAATGTCCGAATAATGCTATATAGTCTATGTAGGAATATCCAGAACAATATAAGAAGTATGATTATGGATTTTCCAAACAATAATTCCGTTACAGTATTATTTATTTTTAATTAAAATTATAATTTTATTCCTTTACATAACCAGTAAAACATAGGGAGCTTTAAGCTAGTGGCTTGAAGTTTCTGTAGCAGTGTTTATTTTTACAGGATGGGGTTGCTAGCCAGCCTCATGCCCAACCTTTTCTCTTTACCAGCATTATTTCTGGCTTAGCACACTCCTAAACCTCACTAAACTGGTGGTAGTAAACTCAGTGGCAAAGAGGGGGGGAGGTGCGTCCGTGGAACAGTGGTTAGGACTCTCTCCGACCATGCACATGGTCCGGGGTTCGATCTTCTGCCGACCCACACCTGATATCTATGGTCTGCCTGCAAAATGTGGGCTTTCGATATCACATTATATATGTCCAAACCAAGTTCACTTTTAACGGTTTGAAAAAAATTTGTTCATTGGGTATATGATATTCATTATAATAAAGGTTTTTTGTATTTCCCAATGAATGAAAAACAAAACGATATTTTTTTACTGACGTTTCGCTATTTAATGCTAATAGCTTTCTCATGTTGAAAATTCGAAACCTGTACCAAAAATACGGTGTGGAATCAAGCTGTAATAAAAAAATCAAAAAGAAGTAAAGGAGTGCGTCGGCTGGGGATCGAAGCTCGGACCATGTGCATGGTCGGCGGGCGTCCTAACCACTATACCACCGACGCACCTCCCCTCTTTGCCATTGAGTTTACTACCACCAGCTTAGTGAGGTTTAGGAGTGTGTTGGCAGCCGGGGATCGAATCCCGGACCAGGTGAGGTGTGTTTGGCGAGTATTCTACATGTAAACCACCGAAACACTTAGTCACAATAAGGTTTCATTTAATATATATTCCGGTTTAATGGTTCCCTTCATCACTTCATTTAGGTATATACACGGTTTGGATATGTCTGTACCAAATTCAAAGGGTATACGTACTCAAAAAGTCTCTATCCCACGCGAAACAGCGGGTCGTGATGATGCCAAATTCAATTGTGAATCAGCCTTCACTTTAATCCCGAATATGGGCGGTCGATTGACACAAGTCACCTGTAGTGTACGATCACGTTTACACCAGGCAATCCCATTGGATGCTGCGTATTCTATCTCGCACAGACTATTCACATATTTAACAACGGATCATTTAAAGAGTAAAATGAATCAAAGCCTATATACTACTACTAACAAAAACAATTTCAGTAGTATCCATGCGACGAAGGACAGGAGAAATCCTCTGATGACAATTAATTATCAAGATAATTTGGATATCTTTTGTCATCTATTTCTTTTAAAGTATGCTGTGAATCAAGTTTTTGCGCAATTTTCAAAATTCGCATTGAAATATACTACACCTGCTACCACGACTAATAGTAGTGCTACTAAGATATTAGATCAACTTAAACAAAAACAATTGAAACCGATATTATCCTCATTGGCTGAAGTGAGTTCGTTGAAAAATTCATTAATTATTATCATTATTTATTGTGTATATTTATTGATTGCATGCAGGATTTCATCATGAGCTGTGACATCAGTTAGAGAACCAGGGAGTACTGGACAGTTGTTTCGTCCTAGTTTGTGGGACTCTTCGGCAGTACGCACCTACCAAGGGGTTCGAATTCAGAACCTTCTGGTTACAAGATCATTGAGCCACTGGGAACCGATCCAATGGTCCTTGAGTCCTATTATTATTATATATTATTATTATTATTGTTCCCTTGGGTTCCCAGTGGAACATAGGGCTTCAACTGCACGTCTCCACTTGCTTCTGTCTTCCTTCTGCTGTACTTTTCACATGCATCCATGTTAGTTAGTCCATACTGTTTCAACTCCTCTTCACACGATCTCCTCCATGTTACACTTGCACTGACGACCCACTCGCCGCTTCTCTTTCGGCCTGGTTCCACTCGAACAATGGTCTGACGCGCGTCCGATGTTGCCCAGCGACCTCCTCAGCGAGTGTCCAATCCATCTTTCTTCACTTTCTCCTGCATATTTGTTGGCCGGCGATTGGTTCTTGTTTTGTTTGTTTGTTCCCATAGTTTCTTGTGGGTGATTCTTTCCGGCCCCCCGGCCATCTGATCTTCAGTATAGAGCCAGAGAAGACAGTTGTTGGTTGATAAAGGTCTGCAACAGGCTGTTGGAAATATTTCTTGCGACCCGCCCATCAAGTTTCTGATCCGTATAGAAGAGCTGACTGACTGACTGACTTTACGTTGTTTGTATTGAAAATCCGACCGAATTTTGTTGTTGATGCTGGCTGAGTGACGAAGATTGGTCTCCAGATTGGTTTCAGGTTGATGAGTGAATGTGTTTCTCGCCTTTCCGATTCTCGCTCGATTTGACATCCTCGTCCGTTCCGACTTCCTGTAGTTGAGACAATGCTCCCTAGATAAGTGGTGAATGAAATATCCTCTTTCAAATCCCTCCCATTGATAGTGATTAGCGCTGGATGTTTCTGCTGTTGTTGTTGTTCGGTTATTTTCGTAATCTCTGTCATGTCTGTGTTCACCTGGGGTCCTGTCTTCGGCGGCTGCTTCTTCGACCAATTTGTCGGTTTTCGCTTGTAAATCTTCGATTTTGTGTGACATCAAACATAAATGTCACTCTTGAATTTTAACTTCCGCCAGTTCATGACTTAAGGCGACCACTCAGCAATTTCTACTTCGATGAGTTACTTCCTCATTTTCAATCTGCTGTAGCCTACTAGAACCCCAGGTTAGCTGCTTGATTAGGGCTAGTTGCTACTGGGTGCGTATCGATGAGGAGTCCGAAACTAGGCTCGCGAAACAGCTTTCCAGTACGCCATGATGAAATCCTCCATGCAATCGAACAAAATCCCTACAAAAGCAATGCTTGAAAATATATTTATTGACACTAGTGAGTGCAATTTGTGTGTGTGTGTGTGGGGGGGGTCGCTATAAATTCTGACATTCCTTCCGATTCGTAAGTTAATTGTACGTAAGTGACGCGCAACACTCCCGATAGTTTCACTTTCGATGGGTAGTTTGCGTTACGAATTGATATCTCTTAGTAAACCAATGGAAATCGGGAAGGTTGTGAACTCTATCGGTAGTGAGGGTATGCTTTGGGTAGACATTGTTGAATAGTCCGAAAGTGGGACGAAACAGTTGGTTATCTCTACTCGATGGCTTGTAATTATTCTCTAAAGAATGAATGCATCTGGGGCTATTGCGATTGATTTCGAGCTATATTACCATTCGTCTCTAGTTATTAGTCCTTAGCATCGCTGGGACCCTAACTAGTCTGGCAGTATACACCTCCTTACGCAACTAGCTCAAACTAACTGTCAAAGATTTCATTGACTGATGAAGTCATGTTTTGGTTTGACCATCACTATCTCATTTCAAATCTGATCGAGCCTATGTCAGCTTACATTTCCTGTTGAGGAAGACCATAGCTAGACATCAAGTGCCTTATTCTGCTTATCTAACAATCGAAGCCTAACCTCAGTATTACTCATCCTATTTTACTATCTAGCACACCGGGAGATAGAACGAAGGCACCTGTGATCAAAGACAGTTAACCGGCCTTTTCATGTCTTCCACACTCAATGGCCATGTCTCACAGCCATAAAATTGGTTGGTGGAGCAAAGTGCCACACAGCACGTGCGTCCTTTGATCGGTAGTAAGCCGGAATTCATGTCTACACCAGAGCTTTTTGTATATCTGTTGAAATTCTGTCAACAATCTATTGGATAAAGAGTGTAAAATCCAAATCTATTTCCATCTTCAAACTATTTGGATTTGTAAACATACTGTTGAATGCAAAGCCCCTTTATCATATGCATATATTTTTTATTCCTTTATGTTCCCAGTGGAATATAGGGCTTCAAGTTAGAGGCTTGAAGTTTCTGTAGCAGTAGTGATTATTTTTATATGATGGGGTTGCTATTAGCCTCATGCCCCCCCCGAACCTTCCATCTTTTATCAGTCTTACTACTGTCTGAGTGAGGTATAGGAGTGCGTCTGTGGCCGTGGATCGAACCCCGAATCACTTGAGTGGTCTGTGTCACCGATGCACTCCCTTTTTTTCATCATATGTTTTACCCAATTTATGCTTTCTTTTGGTTTCTTTTTATTTTGTATTACACTATGAATTAGATTCAATTGAATTCAACCATGTTTGAATCACGTGTTCAGCATTCTTCACATGTAGCTATGATTACAATGCATACGAATGGATCATTACGGTATTGGCGTATAGATGTTTCAGAGCATAGTCAGTAAGTTTAAAGTCTTTTCTTTTTTCTTTTTGTTATTTCTAGTATCGGCTTTGTATGGATTTTGTTTTGATTGTTTAGAGGATTTCACCATGAGCTGACATCAGTTAGAAAACCATTGTAAAACCTGTCATGGAGTACCGGACAGCTGTTTCATCAGCCCTGTTTAGGACTCGTCGTCAATACGCACCCACCACAGGTGTTCGAATCCAAAGCCTTCTGGTTACAAGATTAGCGAGCTTGTAGATTATTGAGCCACTGGAATCCAATCCAATGGTCTTTGAATTCTAACTTCCGCCGATTCACGACATAGCTTGGAAGTTAGAATTCAAGGACCATTGGATTGGATTCTAGTGGCTCAGTGGTCTACGAGCTAGCTAGCTTGCCTTGTAACCAGAAGGTCCTGGGTTCAACCACCTGTAATGGATGCGTACTGATGAAGAGTCCCAAACTAGTCTGACGAAACAAGCTGTCCAGTACTCTCAGGTTTTCTAATGATTCTCTAACCAATGTGTCAGCTCATGATGAAATCCTCCATGCAATCAGTTATAAATATATCTTTGGGTCATATGATAGTGTAACTGTTATTATTATTATAATTATAATTTAAGCATATTTATTGAACTGTAATTCTATTGTGATCTTACTTAACAAATCGATATTATTTAAGAAGCACACTAATATTGCTATTGACGACTAATCTAGAATATTCTATGTATATAAACATGCATATGTATAATTGTAGAGCCAGAAGAGGAGGAAATTATCGAAAAGGGGATATTCTTTGCTCATTTATACTTTTATTATTATGCCATTTTGATTCTTAGTGGTGCAACACACGGCTTCAACAGGACATTTTAGTTTTGTCCTTTCCTCTGCAGTGCTCATCGTTTTCCATTCGGATTCCATTCAAGCTATATATATATATATATATGGCCTGCATTGAACGCGGTATCATCCAACGGTATCTCCTTAGCGTTGTGTTTCGCATCCTTTTACCCATTTTCGGAGTATTTGTTGAGCAATAAGTTCTTGATATTAGTTCGTTCCCAGGGTTTCCCTTTTTGTTGATGATGATTCTTCTCGGCTGGTCGACCATCTAATCTTTAGCAGGGAGTAAACGTAGAAGGCAGTTGTTGATAAAAGTCTGCAATAGCCTTTTGGAAATACTGTCATGATCCTGGATGAAATTGGTTCCCACTTCATCATTAGGGCTTTGTCTGTCACTGGTGACATCATAATTTTGGCTCACATTAAACAACATGAGATAGAATGCTCAAATACATACATATAGTGTATTCTGTTCCCAATGCAGTAATTAACTGTGGAGAAAAAGTATTCTGTCTGTAACATCAAATAGAATGTTCAAATAGACATATCGTGGTCTCTTGTTAGCGCCGAGTTGAACTGTGAGAACATGTGAGAATAACATTCCGTTGTTTGTCTGTTTTCGACAGAGAACTTTGCACATATGTACGGCAGTTCAAATCGCCAAAGTCGACAAAGGAATAGTAATAACGAAGAATAATATAGTTTTAATGGAAATGATAAGTCACAGGGAGTGGATGCATCTGTCCCAACCATTGAGAACAATTTTGAGCCATATCACCAATTGTTTCTCAGGACCCCAACCAGGAAGTCTTTACCTTCTTATGTGGCTGGCTTAAACTAACAGTTGTGGATTTCACTGACTGATGAAGCCATATGTTTTGGTTTGCCCACCACTGGCTAACTCTATCCAACCTGACCCTATGTCAGTTAATATTCCCCATCACTCGAGGAAGGCGATGACCACGCATACGTAACACATGTCCTAACCATCTGAATCGGCGTGACTTTACAACCTCGTCGATTGATTTCCCCTGCTTACCTAGAACTCGACGCCTAACCTCAATATTCCTCACCTTATTATACCACTTCACACGGGAGATAGAACGCGGCCACATATAATCGAAGACACCTAACTCGGTTTTTCATGTCTTCCACTCTCAATGGCCAGGTCTCTCTCACAATCATAAAGGAAGAGGACGGAGTGGACTGTTGAGCAGTACACACACCCTTGGGTCGATAGACAGCCGGATATCACGTCTACGCCAGAGACGGCGTAAACTGGCGGGTATATGTGAAACTAGCCCCCTGTGTTGAGATTTCGTCAGCGACCAACCTGTTGGCATTGCCTGATGGTACTTCCCAATTAAGTGAAGCGGTCTACGTGCTCTAAAAATTTGATTCCCTATTTCTAAACTAGAAGTCAGTGTAGTACACATGGAAGAGGCGAAATCAGGAAGTTCATCTTTTACTCCCGAATGTCTTTTTTTCGACACAGAACTTTGCACCGATGTGCACCAGTTCAAGTCGCCACACTCCCTCCTTGTACCACCAAAGCAATAGGAGAAAGTAGAAGAAATACATACTAGAGCCAGTAAACAGAGTTGTGAGACAAAGGAATAGTAATAACGAAGAATAATATAGTTTTAATGGAAATGATAAGTCACAGGGAGTGGATGCATCTGTCCCAACCATTGAGAACAATTTTGAGCCATATCACCAATTGTTTCTCAGGACCCCAACCAGGAAGTCTTTACCTTCTTATGTGGCTGGCTTAAACTAACAGTTGTGGATTTCACTGACTGATGAAGCCATATGTTTTGGTTTGCCCACCACTGGCTAACTCTATCCAACCTGACCCTATGTCAGTTAATATTCCCCATCACTCGAGGAAGGCGATGACCACGCATACGTAACACATGTCCTAACCATCTGAATCGGCGTGACTTTACAACCTCGTCGATTGATTTCCCCTGCTTACCTAGAACTCGACGCCTAACCTCAATATTCCTCACCTTATTATACCACTTCACACGGGAGATAGAACGCGGCCACATATAATCGAAGACACCTAACTCGGTTTTTCATGTCTTCCACTCTCAATGGCCAGGTCTCACAGCTAGCCATAAAGGAGGACGGAGCGGACTGATGAGCAGTACACGCGCCCTTTGGTCGATAGTAACATTCCCTTGGCACATATTTTCTGTATCACACCACCGCAATAATAGTAAAACGCACTAAAGACCATATTTTATCCTGACAAGTAACTGCTATATACTTCCCAATTACATTGAAGGGTATCATTAGCTGTTAAGTTTCATAACTTTGATAGTCTCACATCTATATTATGAACAAACGAAACCCTCTCCTCCCATTTAATTATTTACAGGAAAAAGAAAACACCTGAACCCTAATACTAATCTGAACGCTAACGTGCTATCAACCTTATTGTCCTCCAAACAGTTCCTAAAAATTAGATCAGGCCAGTCTCGTAGGAAGGTGTGTACTTCCTGGTTGGGGTCCTCGGGACAGTAAACACCAATGAAGGCCACAGACAACTGGTAATTTGGCTCAGAATTGTCGTTGTCAATTACTGGCACAGATGCATCCACTCCTTGTGACTTATAATCCCCAATAAAACTATATTGTTCTTCGATATTACTATTTTATTTGCCACATATCTCTGTGAACTGTCGCTATTTTGCATTTCTTCTACTTTCTTCTCTTTCTTTGCATGCTGTATTGTGTATCTGCGTAGTTGCGTGAGTGCTGGCCGGGAGGGGTGACGGATGAGATTTCCGACCGTATAATGAAGGCTAGGGTGGCATACATCAACTTGAGCCACCTCTAGCGCCGTCGCGACGTTAGCCTGACTATCAAAGGTCGGGTATACAGTGCTTCGGTGCGGGCTGCCTTTCTCTATGCCTGTGAGACCTGGAATCTCCGAGCTGCGTGTTCGATTATCGCTGTCTCCGCTGGATTGCTTGCGTTCGACGGCTTCATCGCGGTTTGTGTTTGAACACAGTAGAGATCACCATTCATTGAGTGTCGTCATCTGGAAACACCGGTTCCGGTGACTTGGACATGTGCTGTGAATGTCATCCCAGAAGCTTCCGTACAGGTTTCTGTTCGCTAGCCAGCCCTTGGACGGGATGGAAAAGGCGGAGAGGTGGTCAGCCCATGACGTGGCATCATGTGATGAAGGATGTTTGTGCTAGATTAGCATCGGTTGGTGTGTCATGACTCCCTCGTGGTTGCGGTCCGCGAGATAGCTCGAAACGTTGTCAGATATGGCCAAGAATCGTAATCACGTGTTGCAATTTCCTTCTTTCTACCCTTCCTGATGATAGTTAACGAATACTGTTTGAATTTGTTAAGTATGACTGTTTTCCTTCCTAGACGAAGTTCTTTATCCGTTCTTCACCCCTATATTTTTACTTTTAATCTATGTTATTTTATTACTATTATTGTGTGGCGCATCTTTCTTGGTGGCATATTGTACTAAGTTTTTTCTGCGTTTAAATAAACCAATAAATAATATGCTGAATGGAGTGTGGCGACTCGAACTGCTACACACTGGTGCAAAGTTCTATGTTGAAAGCGATCTGTCAGTCAGTCAGTTACTCATGAACTTCACTTCCACATGCATCACAATATCGAAGTATCTCACGGATATTTAGTAATAAAATAATTGAAGAGTATAAATATTTTACTCAACAAACTATTTATACTACCCAAATATTTCTGTATTTAACGACTTTTACAATTTCTCTTAACCTGTCTTATCTCTAGCTATCAATGGATTGTAAGTATATCAGGTTGTTCACGTCTAAGTGGACATCGTTTTCATACGAGTACAATTGTACCGCATCCTCTGCTACCACTTGCGCTAAGCACATCACAATATGCTCATAAAGTTGAAGAAAAATTAATGCAACATCATCATCCGTCGTCTACAAGCAAGGCTTGTCAAAGTATAAATTTTAATGAAATTATTTTATGGCATATCTCATCAGTTGGTCCTTTAACTACAGGTTATACATCTTCCCTGCTATCTACAAATTGTCAATCTAATTGTCTACAACATTCCCAGCTGAATCGTCCCCTACACACTGGTGGTGGTATGAATTCTTCACTGACTACTAACAACATGGACATTAGTGGATGTGGTAATATTTCATCCCACGGTGGGATATCTGAAATAGCAAGATTAAACTTTTCAAATATCTCGAATAATTCATGTTTAACATTCAAGCATATTGCATGGTTTCCGTGTATGGTGACAACATCAGCGACATCGTATCCTGTCGCCTTATTCGTCGCATCACTGGATACTACTAATACTACTAATATGAGTAGAAATATCAGTAGTGTCAATGCTGTTGGCGATGATCAACTTGGCTTATTTTTAACTTTTTCAAAATTTAAACAAATTAATAATCATAATAATAATAATCATAGTAACAGTAATAGTAATAGTAGACCAATGAATGAGACCAATTCAGATGAACATCGTCGATTGTTGTATAGTTCACGGAATTCAGATACGCTGGGATGTATTATCCAATTGGATTATGATATACCTTATTCATCAAGTCGAATGAAAGATGATGATGTAAGTAATTTGTGTGTTTATTTTTTTTGTTAGTTTGTTTTTTTCTTATTTCATCTACCATGGTGAAAAGAGCATTCCCTGCTGCTGCCGAATTATGCTGTGTCTTCGGGAGTAAATTCGCTTCCGCCAAATGTTAGATGATGTTACAGGGCTGGACTACACTGACTTCTAGTTTAGAAATAGGGAATCAAATTTTAGAGCACGTAGACCGCTTCACTTAATTGGGAAGTACCATCAGGCAATGCCAACAGGTTGGTCGCTGACGAAATCTCAACACAGGGGGCTAGTTTCACATATACCCGCCAGTTTACGCCGTCTCTGGCGTAGACGTGATATCCGGCTGTCTATCGACCCAAGGGTGTGTGTACTGCTCAACAGTCCACTCCGTCCTCTTCCTTTATGATTGTGAGAGAGACCTGGCCATTGAGAGTGGAAGACATGAAAAACCGAGTTAGCTGTCTTCGATTATATTTGTGGCCGCGTTCTATCTCCCGTGTGAAGTGGTATAATAAGGTGAGGAATATTGAGGTTAGGCGTCGAGTTCTAGGTAAGCAGGGGAAATCAATCGACGAGGCTGTAAAGTCATACCGATTCAGATGGTTAGGACATGTGTTACGTATGCGTGGTCATCGCCTTCCTCGAGTGATGGGGAATATTAACTGACATAGGGTCAGGTTGGATAGAGTTAGCCAGTGGTGGGCAAACCAAAACATATGGCTTCATCAGTCAATGAAATCCACAACTGTTAGTTCAGGCCAGCCACATAAGAAGGTAAAGACTTCCTGGTTGGGGTCCTGAGAAACAATTGGTGATATGGCTCAAAATTGTTCTCAGTGGTTGGGGCAGATGCATCCACTCCCTGTGACTTATCATTTCCATTAAAACTATATTGTTCTTCGTTATTACTATTCCATTGTCTCACAACTCTGTTTACTGGCTCTAGTATGTATTTCTTCTACTTTCTCCTATTGCTTTGTGTGGTACAAGGAGGGAGTGTGGCGACTTGAACTGGTGCACATCGGTGCAAAGTTCTGTGTCGAAAAAAAGACATTCGGGAGTAAAAGATGAACTTCCTGATTTCGCCTCTTCCATGTGTATCTACTCATTTAACTGTTCCTATGGATTGAGCCAGTTAGCTGCATAGGCCGTACAATTAGGCGTGTTTCTCGTCGGATTTCTGAACATCATCCTGCACAGTGGTTTGTTAGGTAAAGGACAAACAAAATTTTTTTCTTAGAGCTTTTCAGTCTCATCTTGTGGATAGAGAACACAAGACTGATGTTAACCATGGTTTCACGGTCATTTATCGCATACCTAGGAATCTCAATCTCACCTTAAGAGTTCGACCACTAAGTATATTGCTTCGGCCATTGGGATCCACATCAAAAAGCCTAATTTGTGCATCCAAAAGAAACTAGTTCAGATCCTATCCTTACTTTGCCCATCTAGGTTGGAATGGTCCTGAATTTTTGTAGAAATTCCCCTAAACAATTCAGCCACTGGGACCCGATCCAATGAATTCCAACTTCATGTCGGTGTTCGTCAAAGAACCTGTCTTCTCAGTATCTCTTATAAATAATTGCACTTCGTGAAGACTTTCACCTTCTCTTGAATTCATATCTTGCTTTTTGTGTTATTAATTATTTGTTCTCACTGTGCATGTTTGCCTGCTATCACCGATTATATTCCTAATTGTGGTGGACTGGATTATGTCGAATACTAACTATACTTGCGGAGTGAGAAGACAGAAATACGACGAACCGATTTGAAGACTCTAGAATATCTGCACTTTGTGGACGATTTGTCTCTAATGTCACAGGCGAAAACTAACAGGTTGACAGAAGAGGCAGGTTACGAAGACTGGACTTCAAGTGAATGCACAGGTGATGGAGGTGGTCTATCTATCTATCTTTTTTCGACATAGAACTTTGCACAAATGTGCGGAAGTTCAAGTCGCCACACTCCAAGTAGTACGCGAAGCAAGAGAAGAAACTACAAGAAAAGCATAATAGAAACAGTGAGCAGAGGTGTGAGACAAAGGAGGAGTAATAACGAAGAACAAAACAGTTTCATTGGAGATCATAAGTCACAGGGAGTGGATGCGTCTGCGCTGTTACTGAGAACGATGAGTTTGAGCCATGTCACCAATTGTTTCCAACCATAGATTTTTACCGTCCCGACGACCCCAACCAGTTAGGAAGTCTACACCTTCCTACGTGGCTTAGACCAACTGTTGTGGATTTCATTGACTGGTGAGGCCAAGTTTTCGTTTGACCGCCGCTGTCTAGCTCTTTTCCAGCCTGACCCTATATCCGCTAACATTGCTCGTCGAGGGAGGCGATGGCTTGGCATACGTAACACATGTCCTAACCATCTCAGTCTTTGTAGCTTCACGACTTCGTCGATTGATTTCCCCTGTTTACCTAGAACTCTACGCCTAACCTCCATGTTGCTAACCTTATTATGCCACTTTACACGGGAAATAGAGCGCAGGAACCTATGATCAAAGACAGCTAGCCAGCATTTCATGTCTTCCACTCTCAGTGACCAGGTCTCACTCACAGCCATAAAGGAGGACGGAGCGGACTGATGAGCAATACACCCGCCCTTTGGTCGATAGTCGAACATCTCGTCTACGCCAGAGTCGGCGTAAACTGGCAAATGCGAAACGAGCCCCCTGTATTCGTGGTGAGATTTCATCAGAGATCAACCCGTTAGCACTGGCTGATGGTGCTTCCCAAATAAGTGAAGCGGTCAACGTGCTCTACCACTTCACTTCCTATTTTTAAACTAGGCGTCGATGTAGTCCAGTCCTGTAACATCATCTTGCATTTGGCGGGAGCGAATCGCATGCCAAACATTCGTAGATTGCGGCTCAAGGTGTTTAGAAGACTCTGCTTTTCGTCAGCGTCTTCGCCTAGAAGGACTATATCGTCTGCATATTGCAAGTCAACGAGATTATTCCCCGGTAGCAAGTCAATCCCTGAGTCGCTGAAGTCACCTAGGGTTAAGTCCATTAACACATCTATGATGAAGTTGAATAGAAAAGGAGATAATGGGAATCCTTGACGGACACCACTGGTCGTCATCAGTTCAGATGACAGCTCGCTGTAAGCCCTCACCTGGCTGTATGAGTACGAGTAGAGTGCCTTAATCAGTGCAATATATTTTCTCGGAATTTCCTTTACAGCTAAGCATCTCCAGAGAACTTCTCGATCGACAGAGTCGAATGCTGCCTTTAGGTCAAGAAATATAATGACTGTATGGAGGTGGTGAAGATAACCAACCAACTGACCAACCAACAATTAAACACTAGTCACTAGCAGCAACGGGAGAAATTTGGAAGTGGTCACACTATCTCCACTTACACCCGAGAAGCATCCTTTCGATTACACAGACATAAAAGAAGGAAGATATCAAAGCCAGTCAGAATCGGAAAAGAGGAGGCAGACAAGATTTTCAAAAACACCAATGTTCAGTCATTCAGCTCTTCTTCTATATGGGTCAGAAAATTGGCGTTCTCGTCGTCAAAAGCATTTCGAACAGGCTACTCTAGACCTTTATCAACAGCTGCCGTCTTCGTTGGCTGAATATCGAATATCAAATGGTGGCTAGCCCGGGAGAAAGAATCATCAAATAGAAACTATGAGAATAAACCAACCAAGAACCTGTCTCTCTCAACAAAGATGTAGAAAAAATGGAGATGGACTGGGGGCAGACACTGAGGACACGGTTGAATGACATTCAGTCTATCATTCAAGTGGAACCCTGATAGGGCAATACCGAGTTGGGCGTGCATCCAAGGGTGACATGAAAGAGTTTGTGTAAAGAGAGGAGTTGAGAGACTATGCTCAATCGTGGAGCCAACTAAGGAAGAATATAGAGAAAAGAGTAAAATGACGATGTGCTGTTGATGCCCTATGTTCCAGTCCAAAACAAAAGGGTATTGAATAATGATTTGCATAGGACTGATGTATACTCGATGCTTAGTTAATGTGTACATCCTTTGTGCTCTTTATTTTTAGCAATCTTATACTGCAGAAACCTTACTGTTACATGTTTTTCCAAGTCAATTAATTATGATGAATATGGACAATTGTAAGCCAAGAACAAATCCATTATCTGTTGTCTTACATACTACTGATAATCCATTGGAGAGTAGTGAGACAGATTCTGACTGCCTAGAGTCAAATTCTTCACTATCAACCTTTTTAATTGTACGTATGACACGATATACAATGAATGGTAATGATGATAATAATAAGACAAATTCTACAATTTTGACTACTGAAACTAAAGAGGTAGGTTTATTTTAATTTTGTTTTTTCTTATGGTATGTTATTGGTTTCAAGAGTTTATGTGAGTGCTGGGATATTGCCCGGATGTCCAAGCCCATATAGATGTTTGTCTTAAGGCGTCACACTCCAGCCAAGCCTTTGAAATGAAGTCTGGTCTGCGTGACAGTAGATCAGAGTCATGAACTACCTTCCCACGGTTCCCAGTATTTTAAACAGGTCCATACACCACTCGATCCTTTCTAATTCTGGAAGTCATTCACGTGCATTACAGGATTTCGAAATCAGAGTTTTCTAGCTCCCCCTAAGTTGGCCGGGATTGCCAGCAGTCTGGTTGTGTTAACGCCAGAAATTCTCATTCACCCGTTTCATTTGTTACCGGGACTAGGGTGATCACGAATGCCTTGGCCCCAGGTGGAGATTCACCTTTGCAATTTGGCGTATTGAAGCCTGCGATGATCCCTAATCGGGCTGCTTCCCAGAACGCATAACTTTTGCTAGTGGAGGGGGGGGGGAGGTCTTCGGTGACAAAGTTGTTAGGACTTTCGCCGACTAATGCTTATGGTCCTGGGCTCGATCCCCTGCTGACGCACCCCTGTTATCAATGGTCGGCCTGCAAAATTTGGGCTACCGATATCACATGCTGAAAATTCCATACTTGTACGAAAAATACTGCGTGGAATCAAGCCATGTGAAGGGAGTGCAAGGGAATTTCTTGTAGCTGACCTGAAGTTTATCTACTGTCGGCTGTACCATGTTGTTTATGCTGGGGAGGGTGTGAGAGAGATGCTCAAACGTGTATAGTTCCATGTTTTACGGAAAAATAAAGCTGTTCTTTTTAAATGTTTCTAGAGCCTATACTACAGTTCATATCGACCGGTTTAAAACTCTAGTGTTAAAAATTCATGACCGACAAATGCATCATGCAACTGTTTGTCTCTGCTTGATTGATTGATTGATTGAACCGATGCTTCGACGATGTCTGAGAGTTAGCGCAATCAATGTCATTTGTGTTAATGGTGACTAGGCAGTGGAATCCACTAGAAGTCGTATTTCGCCCTATTTGGGACCCGTTCACCAGTGGATGTGCCTGCATTTCTCAGTGAGTGTGATCGGACTGAAATATTCAGCCTCGAGGCCAGTGAGTGACGAGTCCCAAATACGACGAAATAAACATCCTGAATTCCACTGCTAGTCACCATCCACCAAATTAATGTTAGGTGTTGGTTTTGAGATTTTGCAGTATGTTTTTATTATTTTAGCTTGATTCCGTACCGTATTTTTGGTACAAGTATAGAATTTTCAGCATGTGATATCGGTAGCCCAAATTTTGCAGGTCAACCATTGATATCAGGTGTGCGTCGGCAGTGTATCGAACCCCCAACCATATTCATGGTCGGCAAGTTCATCGTTGTTGCACTGTGTGATTCCAATGAATTGAAACATACTGTAATAAGGAGTTAATTTTAGTCATTTTGCATCCCTTCGCTTTCAGAGTGGAATATAGGGCTTCTTCAAGATTGAACTTTAATCTTTTAGTAGCGGTGATATTCTTTTAACGGGGGAGTGGTGTTCCTAGTCTCACACTGAACCTTTTGCGGTCAAAGGGCTTACTAGTCACCGACTAAGTAAAGCTTAGGAGTTTATTGGAGGAAAGTGTACAATTCCCGAATGACACATTCCTAGGAGTATAGTAACTGAAAGTCATTTACTTCAGAGTTTTCGCTGTTTTAAAGTTTCTGTAGTATGATTGAACTGACTGTACCGGAAAGAGTCATTCTAGCTCCATACTCAACGTCCTCTGTCTCTCTTTCTGGTCTTATGAACAACTGGTAAACTAGTAAGGTTATTGTACAGTGTTGTACATAACTATTAAGAGCCTTAAGTATATCTTATCTGATTTAGTTTGTAAGAATTTGATTGATTTATCAAATTTGACCACGGATATTGATGTTAGTTAGAGGGAACTATTGAAAACCAACTAGGGAATACTTGACATCCAGTCACCAACAAGGTTCGAACCCGGGGCATTTCAGTTACAGGGCAGGTTCATATACCGTTCATTCAGCCAATCAGACCTGACTCAGTGACCCTTCCATGAATTTTAACTTCTACCAATTCATGATTTTAACGCGACAGGTACCAGTCAATGTTATCGGTCCGAGTATTTGTCCACTCCAGTAGTTCTCGGTGGGTGCATACTACCGATGAGTCTCAAACCAGGACATAACCAGGTGGCATACATCAACTTGAGCCACCTCTGGCGCCGTCGCGACGTTAGCCTGGCTGTCAAAGGTCGGGTATACAATGCTTCGGTGCGGGCTGCGCTGCTCTACGCCTGTGAAACCTGGCCTCTCCGAGCTGAGGGTGTGCGGCGACTCTGCGTGTTCGATCATCGCTGTCTCCGCAGGATTGCTTGCGTTCGATGGCATCATCGCGTGAGTAATTCTGAGGTTCGGCGGCTTGTGTTTGAACAAAGTGGAGATCACTATTCATTGAGTGTCGTCATCTGGAAACACCGGCTCCGGTGGCTTGGACATGTGCTCCGAATGTCACCCCAGAGGCTTCCGTACAGGTCTCTGTTCGCTAGCCAGCCCTGGGACGGTATGGAAAAGGCGGAGAGGTGGTCAGTCCATGACGTGGCGTCGTGGGATGAAGGATTTTTGTGCTGGATTAGCATCGGTTGGTGTGTCACGACTCCCTGGTTGGGGTCCGAGAGATAGCTCAAATCGATGGCCCGAAACGTTATCGGATATGGCCAAGAATCGTGATCTTCAATGACGAATGTGTTGCGATTTCCTTCTTTCTTCCCTTCCCGATGACAGCTTACGAACACTGTTTGAACTTGTTAAGCATGACTGTTTTCCTTCCAGATGAAGTTCTTTATCCGTTCTCTACGTATATATTTTTTTTCTTTTTCTTCTTTGTTTTCTTTTGATCTATGTTGTTTTATTATTATTGTGTGGCGCATCTTTCTTGGTGTCATATTGTACCAAGTTTTTATGCGTTTAAATAATAAAACCAGGACAAAACAGCTCTTTACATTACTCCTTGCTGATTTTCAATGGCATCAATCTCTGGTCAAACTTCAAACAAATATACTAGTCTGTAAGCTTGAGAATATGCCTGGGAATTATTATTTTCACATTCTACAAAGGGAACCAGGAGAACCGACTACTAATCAGGTCATCAATCATTTCGAATAATACCCAGGTATCATGTAATTTCATGCTACATTCATTCATTTATTCTCATACAGGAACTGCCGCCCATTGTCTAGGTCTACTCCTGTCGTCAGTTCTAATCAAACTGAAAGTAGACGAGTAGATTATTATTATTATTATTATTATTATTATTTCCTTTAATTCCTAAAGGAATGTAGGGCTTCAGCCGCACGTCTCCATTGCGTTCGGTTCTCTGCCAACGTTTTCACGTGGCTCCAAGTCTGCCCACATGCTTTCATCTCCTCTTTTCTGCATGACCTCCTCCAAGTCACCTTCCCAATGACAACCAACTCGCCGCTTCCCTTTCAGGTTCCACTCGAGCAATGGCTTGTCTAGTGATGTCACTCGATGGTTTCCTCAGAGTATTTTGTTGCACAATCAGTCCCTGCCGTGTTGGTTTCGCTCATTGCCAGAGATCCCTGTTAATAATCATTTCTGGCCATTTGATCTTGGACGAAGTATTGAGCAAAGACAACTGTTGATGAAGGTCTGTAGTTGGTTTGAAGTGCTCTTTATGACGCGCCAAGTCTCTGATCCGTATAGCAAGTAGCACTGACTTCACATTGGAGTTGAATATCAGGATCTTATTTTTGATGGTGAGTGCTGTTGACCTCCACACAGACTTACTTGAGAGTAATGAAAGCTTGTCTTGCTTTTCCGATCGTTGCTTTCATATCCTCATCAGTTCCGTCCGCCTGTAGTGGAAACGCCACTTCCCAGGTAGATAAAGGAGGTTGTTTCTTTCAGGTTCATTCCATTTATGCCGACTGTTGTCTGTTGTTGTTGTTGGCCGGGAATCTTGATCACCTACCTCTGTTCTCTCTATGTCCACTTGAAATCCTATCTTTGATGCTTCTTCTGTCGCCAACTTGTTGCTTTTCACTTGCAATTCTTCCAGTGTTTGTGGGAAATCAGACATTATATCACATCAGCGAAGTCCATATCCTCCAAGTTTTTTGTTTGGATCCATTAGACGAGGAGATGATCAGATTCTTAATTCATACTGAGACTATCCTCGAGTGATCTAGAGAGATTTTCATCATACCGACAATCATCCATCACCGTGTACATCGAAGAAGGCGGTGATTTGGTATGTTTGCTAGTAACACGTGTTCTAGCCATTTCAATCAATGTAACTTCTACACAGACACTCTCCTCCTTTTTTTTGTAGACTGAATTTTGTCGTATGGAAATGTGGCGTGTGCTTGTTTCAACTAATACGAGATCATGTAGTCAAACAACACCAACAATTGGGAGTCTGCTGAAAGTTGTTGATATTGATAATTTAACGACATATAATAATTTAATCACTAATGCTACAAAGGTATGTTCAGTTTATGTATGTATATATTCTTATCTTATTTGTCATCTAAATGTCATGCTGCTGTTGTTGTGTTGATTTTAGTTTCAGATGCGACACAAGACTTGCATGGTGACTGATATTTGATGGCACTGTGTCATAGGGAGTAAATCGAATGTCTCTTACCTCGACACCAGTAGTTTCCTTACGAATCGCTGTTGGTCGTCATATATATCCATCCTGTTGATTTCTAAGAAATTATTGCGTTTTGATTTATAACATAAAGAGGTTGAAACTTTCTGTCGGTATAACCCAACCTCTCTCTTCTAATGATTTATTAATTTATGTATCCTACCAATTCTTCTTTATTCTTCTGTGGACTTCTCACAAAGGCTATGGCATACATATTACGTAGAAAACTGAAGGCTATAAGTAGGGGTTGTTAGTAGTGTGCCACTTGACACAATTAACTGACATTGTTGTTAGTTGGTAGGCATTTAATTTCTTGCAAGCAGTTGGCTAAAGTTATCTTGTCTGATACCGGACATCCTCTTTGCTATTCGCAAATTTTTCCTTGTAAAACTTCTCTTTGACTCTTTTATGGCTGTGAGACCTGGCCATTGAGAGTGGAGGACATGAAAAGGTTGGCTAGCTGTCTTCGTTTATAGGTGCCTGAGTTCTATCTCTCGTGTGAAGTGGTATAATAAGTTGAACAATACTGAACAATACTGACACTTTCATCCGTGCTTCCCGACTAGATAAGTGAAGAAAGTAACCTCCATCAAATCAGTCAAAGCCACCCAGCCAGAATCGTTAAGGTGAGATACGCCTTCATCAACCTGAAATCAGTCTGGAAATTCTCTTTACTCCACTTCAGCATAAAGAACGAAATCCGAATTTTCAGCACAAATGTCAAGTCAGTAAGTCAGTTAGTTCTTCTATACAGGTGACAAACTTGCACAGCGTGTGCGTCACGAAAAGGATTTCAAACAGCCTGTTATACACTTTTATCAATAGCTCCACCCACCCACCCCCGCCCCTATTGGCTGGCTCCATACTGAAGATCAAATGGCTGGCTAGTGGACCAGAAAGAATTAGCAACAAGAAACTCTAGGAGGTGACGAACCAAACAAGAACCGATTGCTCAACAAATATGTAGGAGAAGATGAAGATAGATAGGGCAGATGTTGAGGAGGCTGTCGAATGACATCGCGCTTAATATAGGGCATTGCTCGAGTAGATTGTTAATGGGAAGCGACGAGTGAGTTTTCAATGGGAAGGTGAAATGAATGAGATGAGCGAAGATGGGCAATCGTGGAACTAGCCAGATAAAAAGAGTACAACGGAAAATAGAAGAAAATGAAAATGTGTTGTTGAAGCCCTATTTATCACTGGGAACTCAAGAGAGTAATGATAATATGATAAGGGAGTACTACACACAGCATTTTCGTCCTATTTTGGGATACCCACTGGGGATCAAACCCATGACCTTACTGTTACACGTCAAGTTAGCTCGTAGACGACCATTCAGCTATTGGGATATAACTTTTGTCAGTCCGTGATGTTTAAGGTGACCACCAGTCAGTGTCATCGGCGAGTAGTTGTCCTTCCATGTAAATTAGTGGATTCACCTGCCCACAATTTTCCACTTGGATTGCAGGCAGATTTATCCTATAGACGGTTACTAGTGTGAGCACTTCAGGTTGATGTGAATGGTACACAACCTATCTCATCTCAATTAATCAGTATTATATGATGGTAAGGTGGATATTCTCTCTCGAGGTTCGAATAACAGCTCATATTCAGTATTTTACCTTCAATCTTCGAAGTTACAGTAACCGATCAGTATCATTTACTTGATGACAGTGTTTCGAACACAATTTATTACTGTTCATAATCATATCAATTAGAATCACACGACTTCGAAACTTGAATTTTATAGTTTTCTTTGTCCTCTCCTATTTGTCGCCTTTGGGGTAGTAGAATTTTCCAGATGTCTGCGTGGACAGGGGTTGAATCATTCCTATTACACGTATTCTCTCTCAGTTGATTCGATAAACGAAGCTTCTGTTATCAATCTGTCCCTCCCTCCACCCTGTGACATTAGATTTTAAAACTGTCATCCTATCCCATCCCATCCTATTGTATAGTTGTGTGTAACCGCATGTAGTGAGTGGTATAGCTGAACTATTCTCTAGATTTCTTATTTTATTCAGGTCAATCAACCTAGATTTTTCTAGGTTTTCATGCTCGGCTAGTCTGACTGACTGCCCCTGTTCTACTAGTATGACCTATGTACTTGACCTCACAATCATTCTAGCAGGCAGAGTATTAGATAAACTAAATTGTTTTGCTTTAAAGGCTTCACAGGATTGATCCTTTAAACGACAAAGCTTGTTTCTAATTGAGTCTGTGGGTGCCTTGAATGGCAACTACTTTTATTCCTGCCAGCATTGTTAAGAATTCTGCGTGAAGTAGTTTCCGAGGTTCTATCCTTGTACGGATTTACTAGTGATGATTTAGATTCTTTATTGTTGGTGTTGTCTTGCGTGTATTTCACATCCGTGTCGTCATTAATATTACTATTATTATCACTATCATTATTATTACTATCATTATTATTGTTATCATTATTATTATTATTGGTTGACCCGAATAAGATAAGAAATCTAAAGAATAGTTCAGCTATACCACTCACTACATGCAGTTACACACGACCACACAATAGGATAGGATAGGATGACAGTTTTAAAATCTAATGTTACAGGCTGAACTGAGGGAGAGATTGATGTCAACGGAAGCTCTGTTTATCGAATCAACTACCTGAGAATACATGTAATAGGAATGACTCAACACCTGTCCACCCAGATATCTGGAAAATTCTACTACCCCAACGACGACAAATAGGAGAGGATAAAGAAAACTATAAAATTCAAGTTTCAAAGTCGTGTGATTCTAATTGATGGCATGATTATGAACAGTAATAAATTGTGTTCGAAACCTTTTCATCCAGTAAACAGTAATACCTTTTCACTGTGTGATGTGTGATACATCTAATAAACAAACTAATTTGAAATTACTTACTACCACAATGCCCAAGTTTTGCACGTATAATAACCGATCAGCTTAATTGGAATGATTCATATTAATTGGGACCTTGAAGTGTATGATGAGAACAAACATTTTGTAAAAATTTAATTTATTCTTATACAAAAAGCCAGATTAAGTTGGTGGATGAGGATTAGCACTTTTTGTCGTATTTGAAACTACTCGTCAGCTGGATATACATGCATTCTCCCACAATGGGTGATGATGGTGTTCCTGCTAAGGCTCTAACCCAGTGCAGCTATTGTGTCAAACGCTAAAGCATTATCCACTAGACCAATTGAGACATGATAGCCACCTATTTCGTGTGCAACGAGTATCAATTAATATTTTAAGTTCAGTTTGGACTCTCCTGTTGATGAACTGAACCTGGATTCCACTGCAGCTAGTCACCATTCATCAATTTTACTTCAAGTTTGATAATAAGACATCGTAGAAGCATCTGACCATGGAGTCGAGAGGTCTGAGAACAGCAATCAGGCACTCTATTCGTACTCATACAGCCAGGTGAGGGCTTACGGCGAGCTGTCATCTGAACTGATGACGACCAGTGGTGTCCGTCAAGGATGCCCATTATCTCCTTTTCTATTCAACTTCATCAAAAGATGTGTTAATGGACTTAACCCTAGGTGACTTCAGTGACTCAGGAATTGACTTGCTACCGGGGAATAATCTCGTTGACTTGGAATATGCAGACGATATAGTCCTTCTAGGCGAAGACACTGACGAAATGCAGAGTCTTCTAAACACCTTGAGCCGCAATCTACGAATGTTTGGCATGCGAGCGATTCGCTCCCGCCAAATGCAAGATGATGTTACAGGACTGGACTACATCGGCGCCTAGTTTAAAAATAGGAAGTGAAGTGGTAGAGCACGTTGACCGCTTCACTTATTTGGGAAGTACCATCAGCCCCAACGGGCTGATCTCTGACGAAATCTCAGCACGAATACAAGGGGCTCGTTTCGCATTTGTTAGTTTACGCCGACTCTGGCGTAGACGAGATGTTCGACTATTGACCAAAGGGCGGGTGTACTGCTCATCAGTCCGCTCCGTCCTCCTTTATGGCTGTGAGTGAGACCTGGCCACTGAGAGTGGAAGACATGAAAAGACTAGCTGTCTTTGATCATAGGTGCCTGCACTCTATTTCCCGTGTAAAGTGGCATAATAAGGTTAGCAACATTGAGGTTAGGCGTAGAGTTCTAGGTAAACAGGGGAAATCAATCGACGAAGTCGTGAATTTACAAAGACTGAGATGGTTAGGACATGTGTTACGTATGCCAAGCCATCGCCTCCCTCGACGAGCAATGTTAGCGGATATAGGGTCAGGCTGGAAAAGAGCTAGACGGCGGTCAAACGAAAACTTGGCCTCACCAGTCAATGAAATCCACAACAGTTGGTCTAAGCCATGTAGGAAGGTGTAGACTTCCTAAGTGGTTGGGGTCATCGGGACGGTAAAAATCTATGGTTGGAAACAATTGGTGACATGGCTCAAACTCATCGTTCTCAGTGGCCGGGGCAGATGCATCCACTCCTTGTGACTTATGATCTCCAATGAAACTGTTTTGTCCTTCGTTATTAGTATCCTTTGTCTCACACCTCTGCTTACTGTTTCTATTATGCTTTTCTTGTAGTTTCTTCTCTTGCTTCGCGTGCTACACGGAATGTGGCGACTTGAACTTCCGCACATTTGTGCAAAGTTCTATGTCGAAAACAGACAGAATCAGGCAACATACAAGATACAACCCGATCGATAGCTGTTACCTTAACGTGTGTTGGTGTTGGGCTCGCATATTGCAGTAATCACCCAGCTAGCTAAATTGGTCGGAACTTATTTTCCTGCGGGTCGTTTGGACAAGCTTTCGCGGGTCTGGAGGCAAATTTGTACCCCTAGAGAGTAGGGGTGTAACAGTAGTTAGATATTTCCCACAGATGACCAGGAACCTAGTTATTTTCACTCTAGTCTCTGGGGTGGTGGGAGTTGGTAAAGGTGGATCACGAAAAGTGTGCATCCCGACTTACCGTGAAGTGTAACCATCGACAAAATTGTAATTCTGATACAACTCCAATAATCACTTCAAACAGGCTGCGTGTGACGAGCCTCAAAGGCTAATACTCTTCCTGATGCACGTACTCCAAGAAATTAGATCAGGTAGAGACAAAGAGTCATAGAATTCATGGATTAATGCTACTTTGTGTACCAGCCACCTGTGACATTTTCCGATCAATCTAATTTCATATTTTTTTAAAACCAAATAATTTTAGGTATGTGACTGTAAGCTGAATCTTCCATCGAGTGTATCCATAATCTGTGCTCAAGTGTCAGCTGCTCATGTCAGTTGGGCAGCACTGTCAACCTTCAATGCTCCACCACCGTATTTAATTGTTTCAGCTTGTTCGGATGGTTGTTTACGATTTTGGAAATGTGAATCAAATACACCAGATTATTCAATATCTGATAAAGGTAAGCCTTTTCTGTGGTGAGTGCTACTTATATTCAGATATAAGTAGTAGTAGTATATCAGTAAACAAATTCAGAAAAGTAACAGTATATTTTTTAGGCACTGGAAAAAAAAGCAATCGAAGAAGAAAAGAACTGTATGAGAAGAACGTCACACAACACTGTGCAGAATTAAACAAGCTATCTAATGTGGTGATATTTGACCAGTTTGCAAATGATGTGCAAATAAATACCTAAAGAAATGGTTACAGGATTTCATCATGAGCTGACATTGGTTAGAGAACCATTGGAAACCTGCCAGGAAGTACTGGACAGCTGTTACGTCAACCTAGCTTGGAACTCTGCTTCAGCATTACGCACCACCCACGGAGTTCGAAACCAGGAACTTCTGGTTACAAGGCGACCTAGCTCGTAGACCATTAAGCCACTGGGACCAATGGCACATGAATTCTAACTTCTGCCGATTCACGACATAGCGTGACCCCTAGCCAATGTCTTCTTCGAGTATTTGTCCTCAAACCCCACGTGCTGCACCCTACTGGTCACGACTTTTCACTAGAACCCCAGGTAACTAACTACCTACCTGAATAGGGCAAGTCGCTGGTGAGCATCTCATCAATATTCAAGTGTTGGTTTGTAGGGATTTGATTGGTTATAGGATTTCATGGAGATGGTATACCAAATTTTACTGATAATAGCCTGATTCCACACCGTTTTATTGATACAAGTATGGAATTCTCAGCATGTGATATCGGTAGCAGGTTGACCATTGGATATTAGGTGTGTGTCGGCGGGGGATCGAACGCCGGACTATGTGCATGGTCGGCGATTGTCCTAACCGTTGGGCCACCTACAATGCGTTTGCCCTGATAAACATTGTCTTTGAGCCTCATCGGTCTTCTCTTCTTTACAGTACGGTTATGCGAATTGGAATGTAACGTGTAGCCCTCCTGGCTGTGTTTGACTCTATCAGCTTTCATTGACAGAACTTTAAATTTCAAACTAAGTATCATTTTGAATGTTTTTTCACTCTATGTGCTTGTAGTTATGTTACAGTTTGCATTTCTTTTGTGGGGAGTAGGGCTAACTTATTGGCTTTAGTAGTTAATTTTCACCCTTAACCCTATGAAAATTCTCATGTCAAGTGATCTCCAATGGAAAATTCAACGAAGAAACCTTTAAAGTGAAGACTGGAGTAAGACAAGGCTGCTTGCTTACTATCACCAGTGACATTCCTAATTGTGGTGGACTAGATTATGCAGCGCATCATGCGTGGGGAGCGAAAAGACCCTAGACTATTTGGACTTCACGGACCATTTATGTATAATGTCACAAAAATTTGAAGACTTGCAGGCGAAAACTAACAAGTTAATCACGGATTGATATCAGTTAGAGAACCATTGAAAATCAAAGGGGAGTGCTGGACAACTGTTTCGGCCTAGTTTGGGAATCATCGGCAGTACGCACCCACCACCAAGGTTCGAACCCAGGACTTTCCGGTAACAAGACCAGCTTGTATACCATTCAGCCACCGGGATCCGATTCAATGGGCAGTGCATAAATTCTAACTTCTACCAATTCATGATTTAGCGCAACTCCGACCATTGTCGTTGGTGGGACATCCATCCTCACACGTGACATCTCGATGGATCTCACTGGTCACTACTTTTCACTAGAACTCCAGGAAACTCCATCCTGTAGCAAGTTACTAGCGAGCGAGTATCAGATTCATTTTCTATAGTTTGGTTTATAACCGGAAGGTCGTATGTTCGAGCCCCCTGTGGTGGGTGCGTACTGCCGATGATTCCCAAACTAGGACTAGGGAAACAGCTGTCCAGTACTGCAGTGCTGGTTTTCAATGGTTCTCTAACTGATATCAATGTGTGATCAATTCGTAAAAAAAAGAAAATTAACCCTTACAAATCAAACTATAGAAAACTAATAAGTTGGCTGAAGAGGCTGGCAGCGAAGACAGTACTCTCGATGAACATACAAGACAGAGATGATGAAGATTAACAACGAACAAACCAACCAGCCAACAACAACAACAACAGCAAGCACTGATCACTATCAACGGAAGAAATTCGAAAGAGGTTACTGCCCGGCACTTATCTAACTAATCACTATCATTTCAAATACACAATACAGGCAAATCGGAACGGACGAGGCATGTCAAAACCAACCAGAATTACAAAAGGCAAAAAAGGCCTTCATTACTCTGAAATTAGTTTGGGAATTTTTTTTTTTGCACTCCGCCTCAGCATAAGGAACAAAAATTGTGATTTTCAACAACAATGTTAAGTCATTCAACTCCTTCTTCTATGTGGGTCAAAAAATTGACCAACATATCGTGAAAAGTATTTTCTAACAAACTTCTATAGACTTTTATCAACCGCTGACTTCATACAAAAAATCAGATGGCCATCCGGCCAGCCAGTAAGAATTAGTAATAAGAAGGTCTGCAAACGAGAACCAATCAAGAACCTTTTACTGGAAGAAGGGATATTCTAAAGAAAATGGTGATGAATTGGATACGCAGTGAGCGGACTGTTGATTGACATCGTGCACCAGACTATCACTTGGTGGGTGTCACTTGAATGAGAAACAACGAATTTGGACGTGTGTCCTAGTGTGAAATCGTGGAGTCAGCTAAAGAGAGTTACGAGGGATTAGGACAAAATTGGCGGGGTGGGGGGGGGCATGCTCTCTTGAATCCTCGTGTTCCACTCAAAACCCAACGGAATAATATTATATATATATATATATATAGGTTAGACTACAGATTGATATCAGTTAGAGAACCATTGAAAACCAGCGAGTACTGGACAGCTGTCTTGTCAGCCTAGTTTGAAACTCATTGTAGTACACACCGAACAGGTTTCGAACCTAGGATCTTCAGATTACAAGGAAAGCTTGTGTATCATCCAGCGCCACTGGGATTCGACTGAATGGTCAGCCAGCCCATGAATTCTAACTTCTACCAATTCTTAATTTCTATCGCGACTGGCACCAACTAACGTCATCGGACGGGGGTGGGGAACACCATCCTCGCTCCCGACTAGATATGACCACTTCACCTATTTGGGAAGTTGTATCAGCCAGCATCAATGGACTGATTGGCGATGAAATCTCAATCACGGATCCAAAAAGCTCGAGCTGCTTTCGCTGAATTACACACCATCTCTGGCGTAGGCGTGACATCCGGCTATCAACCAAGGGACGTGTGTACTGCTCAACAGTTCGCTCCGTCCTTCTCTATGGCTCTGAAACATGGCCAATACGCGTTGAAGACATGAAAAGGTTGACTGCTTTCGATCATAGATGTCTGCGATCTCTTTCTCACGTTAGGTGGTGGTATAATTAGGTAAGTAATGTTGACGTTAGGCGTAGAGTGTTGGGCAAACAGGGAAAATCAATCGACGAGGCTATAAAGTTACATAGATTGAGATGGCTAGGTCACGTGGTGCGGATGCCTAACCACCGCCTCCCCCGACGGGCATTACTAGCTGATATAAGTGCAGGTAGGAAAAGAGCCAGCGGTGGCCAAACAAAAACATGGCCTCATCAATCCATGAAATCCTTGACAGTTAAACTGAGTCAGATAGGGAGATGCAGACTTCCGGGTTGGGGCCCTCGGGACTGACTCTAGGAATCAATCAATGGCTGGAGACAATAGGTGACATGGCTCAAAATCGTTGTCAATGGCCAGCTCAGATGTATTCAGTCTCTGTTATCTTTCATATTCCTCCTTTCTACCATTACCCATTCTGTTTCACTCGTATACTTGTCAGACTGTATTGATTCTCTTCACTCATCTTCTTGTCTACCTCTGTGTGCTATTTGGAAGGTGGCAACTCGAACTGGTGCACTTCGGTGCCAAGTTCTATGTTGAATCCAGACAGAGACTAGATATAGACTTTACTGGTCACGAATTCTCACGGGAACTTCAGACAGCTCCATCCTGTAGCCAATCGCTAGCGAGTATCCGATTAATTTTCAAGAATTAGTTTTTTGGGGCATACTTTAAAAAAAAACAGAATCCCTACAAACAAACGCGCTTTGTCGCATAATCTGAGGGATCTAAATTCCATCCCTTGTGGGGGATCGTGTTTTCGCACTGCTGTGGAGTCTCCTTGTCTATAAATTCACTGCAATATTCATTTTAGATATGATAGAGAAGATTTGTACCTCAGGTGGATGATTTTGATGTGGTTGTGTTCTCTTAGCTAGCTGGATAGTTAATTTGCAAAGCTTTCATCACCCGTCCTACTAGGCCACATCTTCAGTGCATATTTCAATCTGTTGAAGTGAGCTTTTAGATTTCTCCATGAGTTTATTAAGCATCTTACCTGGCGGGTGACCACCTTGGACGTGATTGGTTGTTTTTGTGTGTTTTTATTACCCACTAGGCAGCTACTTGTATTGGAACTGTTTGTTTCCTAGACTTGAACTTTGACCCTTTGTGTGTGTGTGAGGTTTCTTCCTTATCCGTCGATAAATTTTGTCTATCTCTATGTGTCTATTGATTGATGATAATCATCAATCACGTCCAAGGTGGTCACCGACCAGGAGAGATGATTAATAAACTCATGGAAAAATATCTAAAAGCTCATTTCAACAAATTGAAGTATGCGTTGAAGAAGTCGCCTAGTAGGGCGATGAGAGGTTCTCAAATTAACTATCCAGCTCAGAGAACACAACCACATCAAAATTTTTATCTTACTTTATCGATGATTCTTCATTGTACATTTTTTCTTCTGGTTTTTCTCCACCTTTTCAAATGTAATATAGCCAAAAGCAAATTTATAAATTTGTTCACGTGGGATGAATGGCAAATGCCTTTGATGCAATCAATGTCAAGTTGTATTGAATTACAATTACAAGGTGACAGTACTACTACCACCACTACGAATAATAATAATAACACTAGTCCGGAAATGACTACTACACCCAATATTATTATATTGGATATGGATTGTGCATATAGTGGCCGATTGGCTGTCGCGTATACTACTCAAGAATTATATGACGGGGGTAGAAGCATTACGACTACTGCTACGAATACTACTACTAATAATAATAATACTGGTACTAGGACGATCTATGTGACTGTATATGAATGTGAATCTAGTGGTAAGTAATATGTATGCCTTTTTTGTGTGTGTTCTCTGGGCTGACTTGTTAATTTTGGTTGTGAAGTTTTCATTGTCCGCCTTGTAGGACAACATCGTGCGTCGGCGGCACAGTGGTTAGGACGCTCGCCGTCCATATACATGGTACGGGGTTCGAACCCCGGCCGACGCATTCCTTTATCTTGCTAGGCAGAAATAATGCAGGTAAAGAGTAAAGATTGAGCATGAGGCTAGCAACCCCATCCTGGAAAATTAAACACTGCTACAGAAACTTCAAGCCCTATGTTCCACTGGGCACATGAAGGAAAATAAAAAAAAAAGAACAACATCACTTCAGCTGATAGCTTTCATATGAAGTCAACTTGTTTGGATTCTTTCGCCATGAGTAGTGATATAATTGTATCGCTTGACAACCTCCTTTGTCGTATTCTCTAGCGGTTTTATTTTTACACCTTTCATACAATGATTCCCTTTTATAAATTTGAACAAAGAAAGAAGAAACATTGGCGCAGAATAATCTCGATCTATTTTATGTCGTCGGTTCTCATCATCAGCTGCGTACAACATGAATTTTTAAGAAAAATGAAGATAAAAAGTGTACAATTTTAACAAACTTTTGTCCATTAGCAAGTACATTGTCAGAGCGTCATAGTGAAATAACGCGTTGCAATTTACGACATATATGTATAAATATATATCTTGTTTGAGAAGCAGCTTGATACAACTACAGCCACTAAGAAGTCTATTTTTTCATCAAACTCGACTACAAGGGATACGAAATTATGAGAATGGTAAATAAAAGATTAAGCGCAGCTCTGCCTAGGACGTATCCTGCAGCATTATTACTCTCTCTACGCCGAACAACCTCCTCACTGGTGCAATCGAAGATTGACAAGTACCCCTCACATGTTACTTCCAACTCTGTATACCAATTCACATGTATTTGTGGGAGCAGTTACATTGGAAGAACAGAGAGTAGCGCCTACGTAAGATTCTGAGAACATGTACCAAGGAGTCTGTGGTTAAAGGGACCGAATTGTTTAAGCTCTTCAATCGCCAAACACCTGATTGACACAAGAGACCGAGTAAATGTGCTGAATTCACTCAAAATAATAATTAACAGACAAAGTACCTCAAGTCTTCTCAGTTTTGCTGAAGCTATAGCAATTAATGGATTGAAGCCTAACTTATTTGTCCAAAAACAATCCGTTGTTGGACCTCAAGTACCCTGGCGACTCACTTCTTAGTAATTCTGTGTTATCTAATTTTGTTAAGTTTGTTAACTTATCTTTTCACTCCACACCCCCGCCCCCTCCATTATTTTTCGCTTGACTCTCTTATGCGATAGCCCTTCTTGATCTTCTGAGTTTTGCTCACTGTATTATTACATCACCAACTTCTCATCTGATCTCCTGTGAGCTGAGAATTTTATCTTCTCTTATCTAATTACTTAACCCCACTATGCAGGATGATGATGTTTGGAAATCCGATGAGAAACACGCCTAATTGTACGTACGGTCTATGCAGCTAACTGCCTCACTCCACAGGAACAGTTAAATGAGTAGATACACATGGAACAGGCGGAATTAGGCAATTCATCTTTTAATCCCTAACGTGAAATAGGACTATGGTTCTGAAGATACGGTTATAGTTATATGATGAAATAGGAATTACTACCAAGGTAACAGACGCCTAATTTGATTGTTAGCTATCGTCTCAGCAGATTTTTCATCGTGAATGAAGCCTTAAGTTTACTAAAAGTATAAAACTTGGGCACTGTGGTAGAGTATAACTCCATTATGGATAAGATTTTATTTTGATAAACTGTCACACACAGTGTTGTACAATTATATTAACTGATGACCGTGTTTCGAGGACAAACTATTGCCACTCATAATCATATCAAGTCACTACTCACACAACTTCCTTGCTTCATTTATATACATGTGTAGAATCGATTAGACATTGGATTAAAATCAATATGAGATAATGTACATTCAGAAATAATAATATGAGTGTTATTCACCAAATACGATCAGTTAAGAAATAAGACGAGTGTTTTTACAGTCATAATAAGCTACTTGTTAGAATGTTGTGTTTGAATGTGTTTGAATTGAAATAGAATTTTAAGATTATTTATTATCCTCTTGTGATTTGACCTGCGGCAATAATATCTTCCATATCTCTGGTACAGATATTTACGCTTTAATTCGTCTCATCCGTTAACTGTTAAGGCAGGCTTAGTGAAGTGTCTAACAAACCGAGCCATAGCACTAAGTAGCACAAGAAAAGACCTAAATGACGAAATAAAGCAGATAGAAGAAGCGTTGGTGTTGAATATCTAGCCTATAGAATTCATTAGGAAGATCAGTAAAGACCAAAAGCAAAATAAAAATAATCGTGAAACTATTAATGATAACACAAATAAGAAAGAATATAAGTCATCCACTGTTATACCATATAAGGAAGGGACATCTGAGGCCCTACGTAGGATTCTTAATAAAGCAGTAATTAGAGTGGTGGCATTCAAACCTACAAACTCACTCAGAGACAAGCTCTGTAGACTAAACGACCCGTTGGATCCAATTGAACAAAATAATATAATTTAAAAAATACCCTGCAATGACTGTGAGGTCAACTACATAGATCAAACTAGTAGATCGGGTGGGGATAGTCAGATTATCAGAACATACGAATTTAGCTAAGGTAAGAATGGTTGACTCTAAAAAGATAAGTAATTTAGAAAAAAGCTCAGCTATTACACTCTATGCAATAACAAACAGCCACACAATAGGATGGGATAGGGTTAAAATTCTAAAAAGTAATATAGGTAGGTGGAGAGAGAGGCTCATCACGGAATCCTTATTTATCGAGTCTATACCCATCACATGCAACAGAAATGACTCAATGTAAATACCAGAGATATGGAAGATATTATTGCCGCAGGTCAAATCACAAGAGGATAATAAATAATCTTAAAATTCTATTTCAATTCAAACACATTCAAACACAACATTCTAACAAGTAGCTTATTATGACTGTAAAAACACTCGTCTTATTTCTTAACTGATCGTATTTGGTGAATAACACTCATATTATTATTTCTGAATGTACATTATCTCATATTGATTTTAATCCAATGTCTAATCGATTCTACACATGTATATAAATGAAGCAAGGAAGTTGTGTGAGTAGTGACTTGATATGATTATGAGTGGCAATAGTTTATCCTCGAAACACGGTCATCAGTTAATATAATTGTACAACACTGTGTGTGACAGTTTATCAAAATAAAATCTTATCTATAATAAGTTTACTAAAGCCGCCATTTTTGTTGCTATCCTATTTTTGCATTACTCTTTCAAAATGATTGTTATACACATTCATCTGTATATGTAGTATACATGTCTATTTATTTGAATTTTAGGCGGTTGTGAATGGATACTAGAAGATACTATTGAATTTACGTCTGCATTTCCATTTCAGGAGAATAACAACAACAACAACAACAGTAATAATCTTGATAAGGTAAATTGTAACAACTGCATTAAAAAGCTTTTTACTTATTATGTGTGATGTCTGCGTTTTTTTAAAGGACAAACACATGAGTCGGTAACGATATTCCCTCATTTCATCACTTTAATTCAAAGCTGTACGGTTAGTTGTTTAGAGAGATTTCTATATACAGTGTAGATTATTGACAACAGACGGCAAAGGTTATTTCAGGATTTCATCATGAGCTGACATTGGTCAGAGAATCATCAGAAAATCTGGGAGTATTACCGGATGGCTGTTTCGTCCCGGTTGGGGACTCTTCAACAGGTGGGTATTTAAATGGGTTCTAGTGGGAAATCGTGACCAGTAGGGTACAGCAGGTTGGGTATGATGAAAAATACTCACCAGCGATGAAATTGGCAAGTATCAGTGGCACTATATCTTGCATGAATTGGAATTGGAATTCATAGACTGGTTATTAAATAGTTGTATCCGAGTGGTTTTAGGGTTTACAAGCCCGTCTTGTAACCGGAAGGTTCTGGGTTCAAACCCTAATGGTGAGTGGGTATTGATGAAGAGTCCCGGGAGGCTAGGACGAAACCTCTGTCCAGTACTTTCTGGATGAAATCTTGAGACCAATCAAATCCCTGCAAGCCAACACTTGAATATTAAAGGTTATTGTCAGTTAGTAACACAGAGTAAATCAGAATGCATGAGGAATGACTGTGTTTGAGAAACTAAGAATAATCTTACTTAGTGAAGAGTATTGAAAACTAATTCATGGAGTGATGAATTGTTGTTTGGAAATGATTAATCAAAGACAAGAGAACAAAATATTGAAAATGAGCAGTAAAAACTGAAGACTGACTGCATATAGCTTATTATACAGTCAGTTATTAAGAAAGACAAAAGAAGGCAGAAAAATAGGGTACTAAGGTACATGCTAGTAAGTAGTAAAAGAGGCTGGATGAAACATGCCTAAACAACACAAAGTTCAGGCTTTCTCTCTCCATTGTGACCTGATCCAATGGCCAGTCCATGAATTTCAACTTCTGCCAATATTAGATAGTCGGAAGCAATCGCCAAGAGGAAGCCTTGGTCCTAGATTTCGTGCTAGTTGGCACTCGTCAGCAAGGTATATCTGCAACCTTGAAGGAACTCATGTCCCCTGTCTGAGATTCGAACCCGCGTCAAACAGTGCCGCCTGCAGTCAGAGACGTTACCACTGAGCTATTCGGGTTTGCGATTGACCTCCTGTAGGACTGTAGTGGGTATTTTGATTGGACAGTAGTCAGTAACTAGTGGAATGTGCCTAGTCCTTTATTTGGTGCAGGCTGGATTCTATTGGTCAGTCAGGTTTGCAATGTGGCTACAAGTTCGAATCTCACAAGAGACATGAGTTAGTTCCTTCAACGTTGCAGATACGCCTTGCTGACTGACTGGTGAGTGCCAACTAGCACTAAACCTAGGTGGTGTCCAAGGCTTCCTCCTGCGCGATTGCCTCCAACTATCTAATATCATCAAATCAATGTGCAAACTGACGGCAAGCTACCTAGAATGGTGACCACATTGCAATCCTGACTGACTGATAGAATTCAGTCTGCACCAAACAACCAAAGGACTAGACACATCACACTAGTTACTGACTAGTGTTCAATCAAACTAACTTCTGCCAATTCCGTGGCATAGCACAACAATTAGTCAGTGTCTTTGGCGAGTTTACGTTTTTGTATTATTACTTATTTGTATTGTCATTATTATTATTATTATTTTCTTATTGTGTTGACTAGTTATCTATCCAATTGGATTGGGTGAATGCAGAAGACGGTGGACACTTATTATCTGTGATCATTGATAATGAAATCTTTGTATTTGCCCCTGTTTGTCAAAATATTAATTTTACGCATACTACCACTACTACTAATAATAATAATAAAAATAATAAACTAAAAGGCCGACATCTATATCAACCTACACTGATGACTACACTCGGTGAAGTTTATATTGGTTGGAAACCGATAGCATGTTCACGTATCATGACAGCTGATTATCCTGGAACATTGCAATCATCATCAAATATAACTGAGTCAAATGATGCTGAAGAACAGTTGGCATCTTATTCATTATATGACGTAACAAAGAAGCAGCCAATTCGTCAGTATCATCGCCACAGTGGAGGACATAAACAAGCAGCTTGGCTACGGGATGGTTTATTATTGGTTGGTGCTAGAACGGAAATGCAATTGTTCAGTCAATGGCCATCTGATAGCCTTTTCAGTGTATTCAAATGGCAGGTGAAAGTTAAATCCGATAGTAAGTCGGTTGGTTGTATATCAAGCGTATATATTATTATTATTATTTTATTGTATCCTTTAATTCCTAGAGGAACATAGGGCTTCAGCTGCGCATCTCCATTGCCTTCTGTTTTCTGCCAACGTTTTCACCCCGCTCCAAGTCTGCAACCCACATGCTTTCATCTCCTCTTTTCTGCATGACCTCCTCCATGTCACCCTCATGATGACGACCAACTCGCCGCTTCCCTTTTGGGTTCCACTGAAGCGATGGCTTGTCTAGTAATGTCACTTCGTGGTTTCCTCGGCTCCCAGAGATCCCTGTTGCTATATATATATATAATTCCCTTGGGTTCCTAGTACAACTGCACGTCTCCACTTGCTTCTGTCTTCTGCTGTACTTTTCACCTTCATCCATGTTACTCCATACTCTTTCAACTCCTCTTCACACGATCTCTTCTTCGTTGTCACCCTTACACCGACGTCCCACTCGCCCCTTCCCTTTCGGGTTCCACTCGAGCAATGGCCTGACGCGCGCGCGATGTCACCCAGCGGCCTCCTCAGCGAGCGAGTGTCCAATCCATCTTTCTTCACTTTCTCCTGCATATTTGTTGGCTGGCGATTGGTTCTTGTTTTGTTTGTTCCCACAGTTTCCCATAGTTGGTGATTCTTTCCAGCGCGGCCATCTGATCTTCAGTATAGAGCCAGCGAAGATAGTTGTTGGTTGATGGAGATTTGCAACAGGCTGTTGGAAATATTCTTTGTGACCCACCCCCCGCCAAGTTTCTGATCTGTATAGAAGAGCTGACTGACTGACTGACTTTACGTTGTTTGTATTGAAAACCTGACTGAATTTTGCTGTTGATGCTGAGTGAGTGACGAAGATCTTCAGATTGCTTTCAGATTGATGAGTGAATGTGTTTCTCGCTCGCCTTCCCGATCCTCACTCGATTTGTGACATCCTCGTCCGTTCCGATTTCCTGTAATTGAGACGATGCTCCCCAGATAAGTAAATGAAATAACCTCTTTCAAATCCCTTTCCTTTGATTGTGATATATATATATATATATATATATATATATATATATATATATATATATATATATATATATATATGTATATCCTGTATATTCATATGTATTCATATATATTTATTGTTATTTGAGACAGGCCATAGTTTCTGGCATACGATTTAAGTAATCCAAGACGTATTCTTGGAAAATTTCCATTTGGACATATGAAAAATGAAATCAAAACAAGTGATGCAACGATGGGACTCTTTTTTCAACGAATTTATTATCAAGTTTTGATAAAGTTTTAAAAACAATTAGTCCTGTTTTGATCATATTTGAACAAGGCCTTCAGAAGACAAATTTCACTGTGAGATGATATCGTCATTTCGTAGTTTCCGCTTTGCAACTAACATGCTTCAGAACAATAATGAAGTAACATGCATATTTAAATAGGTCAAGTATACTCGACATGGTAGGCGAAGAGATTGAAGTCTATTGTTTTTTTATACACATGGAGTTTAGAATGTATGTGATTAATCCCTCATAGTGCTTCCATCACCTTCAATAACCAAACTTGAATTAGGGTTATCTGATGAAATGTAAGATGATGTTACAGGACTGGACTACATCGACACCTTGTTTAAAAATAGGAAGTGAAGTGGTAGAGCACGTTGACCGCTTCACTTATTTGGGAAGCACCATCAGCCAGTGCCCACGGGTTCATCTCTGACGAAATCTCACCACGAATACAGGGGGCTCGTTTCGCATTTGCCAGTTTACGCCGACTCTGGCGTAGACGAGATGTTCGACTATCGACCAAAGGGCGGGTGTACTGCTCATCAGTCCGCTCCATCCTCCTTTATGGCTGTGAGTGAGGCGTGGCCATTGAGAGTGGAAGACATGAAAAGACTAGCTGTCTTTGATCATAGGTTCCTGCGTTCTATTTCCCGTGTAAAGTGGCATAATAAGGTAAGCAACATGGAGGTTAGGCGTAGAGTTCTAGGTAAACAGGGGAAATCAATCGACGAAGTCGTGAAGCTACAAAGACTGAGATGGTTAGGACATGTGTTACGTATGCCAAGCCATCGCCTCCCTCGACGAGCTATGTTAGCGGATATAGGGTCAGGTTGGAAAAGAGCTAGACAGCGGCGGTCAAACAAAAACTTGGCCTCACCAGTCAATGAAATCCACAACAGTTGGTCTAAGCCATGTACGAAGGTGTAGACTTCCTGATTGGTTGGGGTCCTCGGGACGGTAAAAATCTATGGTTGGAAACAATTGGTGACATGACTCAAACTCATCGTTCTCAGTGGCGCAGATGCATCCACTCCTTGTGACTTATGATCTCCAATGAAACTGTTTTGTCCTTCGTTATTAGTATTCCTTTGTCTCACACCTCTGCTCACTGTTTCTATTATGCTTTTCTTGTACTTTCTTCTCTTGCTTCGCGTGCTACACGGAGTGTGGCGACTGGAACTTCCGCACATTTGTGCAAAGTTCTATGTCGAAAACAGACAGACAGATATGTGATGAAATAAATGTGAAACAGTCATTAATTCATATTGATTTTGTGACTTTACATTAATAAATGTTTTGCAATTGATGATGATGATGATGATGGATTTCTATTCAGATTAATAACTGTATTGGGATTTTCTATATGATTTAGTAACCATTTTGGAACATGTTCTTTTCGACGACCACATTAGAACATTCTATTGGTTCTACCTATTATATAGGTGTCACCGCAGCTGCAGGTGAACTTTTAAGTACAGTGTGATGTAGAGTCCACAGAATTACGTCCTTTAATTGTAGGTATTGTAGGATCGAAAATGTTCAGCATGTAAGGGAAAAACATGCAGTGCAGATTGTGCACTTGGTGGCACATTTGTGGAAAGTTCTATGTCGAAAACAGACAGACAGACTTGATGGCTGACCGAAGTCTTTGAGCTGTCAACTGGATAATCTGGTCGCCCTTGAATGGTAGGTTAATAAAGACAGATAGCTTTCTTTGGTACAGAAGCTGTCTTTTCTAGATGCGGTCTATCCTTACTGTGACAAGTGGTAAAGTTCTCTGGATAACCATTAGCTAATAAAACTGACTGTATATGTCGAAGCTCATCCGTCAATGTGTCACTCTCGTGCATATTTGTCGGACCCTTGAGAACAAACATTTCACTAAGGGGGAACGTTTATACTGGATAGGAACAAAACTGGCAAAATAAATATATTTTATCCATGTTAACCATGTTAGTAGTAAAGCGGTTGTAAAGCGGAAACTACGAAATGACGATATCATCTTGCAGCGAAATTTGTCTTCTAAGTGCCTTATTCTAATTTATCAAGTATCAGTTTTGTAGGAATTTTTATTTGATTACTTGGAGGACTCGATCATAAGCCGACATCAGTTAGAGAACCATTGGAAAACCTGCCAGGGAATACTGCACAACTGTTTCGTACTAGCTTGGGATTCTTCAGCAGTGCGCAATCTTGAAAGAACTATCGTCCCTCATAAGATGAAGGCACGCAACACTTAGTAGCACAATCACAGACTTTAGAAATGAAGACTTCTGACAGTAAATGAAGGCGTTTAAGATAAAAATAAAGTGATATCATAAGTAAAATATCAAGAGGGAGGTTTTTGTAAACGTTCATTTTACCTCCAAGTTTCACATAAGAAATAAGGTAGATGCGAGGGGTATCTGTCTGCCTGTCTGTTTTCGACATAGAACTTTGCACAAATGTGCGGAAGTTCAAGTTGCCACATTCCGTGTAGCACGCGAAGCAAGAGAAGAAAGTACAAGAAAAGCATAATAGAAACAGCGAGCAGAGGTGTGAGACAAAGGAGGAGTAATAACGAAGAACAAAACAGTTTCATTGGAGATCATAAGTCACAAGGAGTGCATGCATCTTCGCCGGCCATTGAGAACGATTTTGAGCCATGTCACCAATTGTTTCCAACCATAGATTTTTACCGTCCCGAGGATCCCAACCAGTTAGGAAGTCTACACCTTCGTACATGGCTTAGACCAACTGTTGTGGATTTCATTGACTGGTGAGGCCAAGTTTTTGTTTGACCGCCGCTGTCTAGCTCTTTTCCAGCCTGACCCTATATCCGCTAACATAGCTCGTCGAGGGAGGCGATGGCTTGGCATACGTAACACATGTCCTAACCATCTCAGTCTTTGTAACTTCACGACTTCGTCGATTGATTTCCCCTCCTTACCTAGAACTCGACCGATGCCTAATCTCAATGTTGCTAACCTTATTATGCCAATTTACACGAGAAATAGAACGCAGGCACCTATGATCAAAGACAGCTAGTCTTTTCATGTCTTCCACTCTCAATGGCCACGCCTCACTCACAGCCATAAAGGAGGATGGAGCGGACTGATGAGCAGTACACCCGCCCTTTGGTCGATAGTCGAACATCTCGTCTACGCCAGAGTCGGCGTAAACTAACAAATGCGAAACGAGCCCCTTGTATTCGTGGTGAGATTTCGTCAGAGATCAGCCCTTTGGGGCTGATGGTACTTCCCAAATAAGTGAAGCGGTCAACGTGCTCTACCACTTCACTTCCTATTTTTAAACAAGGCGTCAATGTAGTCCAGTCCTGTAACATCATCTTGCATTTGGCGGGAGCGAATCGCATGCCAAACATTCGTAGATTGCGGCTCAAGGTGTTTAGAAGACTCTGCATTTCGTCAGCGTCTTCGCCTAGAAGGACTATATCGTCTGCATATTCGAAGTCAACGAGATTATTTCCCGGTATCTGATTACTCAAATAATTCAATCAGTAGTATATGGTATTCTGAAATTTTTATCACTCCCAGAAAAGTCAGGCCATATATCTGCGAATCGTATTTGCACACGTTAAAAGTCTGCTGTGATTGGTTGTTGAGTTCTTCAACAAGGCTAAGCTTTGTTTATTGCCTTTTTCTCATGACCCCAATTCGGGAAGTAAACACTGACGTAAATTGTTGTTGTCGCCAATTTTGTCTTGCAGACGCAGATCTCAATACAATATCATTGTCATTTCAGCGTTTTTTTCCAACAACATGTTTTTTTTAAATTTCAGATCCACACGCTGCTAGGGCTGTTACGTCATCACAACCCAGTAGTAGAACTGGATCGTTTGATGCCAACACATCAACTGACAATACAGATGCAACAGTCTCTGGTAGTGCTAGTATGTCAGTAGCACGTTTAGCTAAGGTGTATTCTGCCTACCCGTTGAAATCTTCTCCATCGAAGTCGTTATTGCACGCTGGAAGTCAAAGTAATCTAACTAACCTTACAGGGGTTAATAGCAGTAGTACAACAACAACTACTACTACCACTACCAAGAAGATGTCAACAACAGTTGAACCTAATGAATATCATCGTCAGCTGTCAAGAGAAATGAGTCAAATTGATTTAAGTTGTGCAACAACCGGGGGGATTGATGTTAAATCAAATGAACAAATATTGAAAGATATTGAATTGTTATCAAATCTTGGATTATTTGAAGCTATACAGGTAAGTAAAAACAAAACATCATTTAAGGATCATTATTATTATTATTTATTAGGGTATTATTTGATGATCACTGTTATATGTATTTGAACAAAGCAAGAACTACAGTGGTTTTAGCAGAATAAATTGGTACCATCATTGTTTATTTCGTTGGCTTCTCATCAGCTGCTTACAGGGCAAAGACATTCATTATTTATTATATATCTACTAAAACAATTTTAACATACTTTGCACAGAGTTCATTTAAATCAGTCAATCCATCAATATAATATGCATTACGCATTCAGATGAAAGAGAGGGCGAAAACATCCAGTTACCAGTCAGGGCAAAGAAAGACTGATAACCTCTTCTTTATGGACACAGAGATCACGCTTCAGGCGCTTGATGGAAATGGCTTCGGCAAACTTGAGGACAGAATTGAGCTCTTTTGCCTATTGATAATTTTGAACGACTTTTCGACGTCCACCTCATGACCGACCCGTGTCAAGGAGATACCTGGCGATGTCATTGTTTAAAGCATTTGTTCCATTTAGACAACGTAGGCTTTTTGATACATGTTCAGAAAATCGTAGATATGTCCTTCTACCTTCTGTCCTTCCAATGTAACTGCTCCCACAGATAAATGTAAATTTGTATATACAGTTGAAGTTGTTAACATGAGAAGGATATCTATCGATTTTTGATTGCATCAAAGAGTAATTTGTTTGATAGACGCGAACGAGCTTAGCTAGTGATGTACTCATCCTTCTGTTGATCATTGCTGCAATGTTTTCACCTTTATAATGAAGCTGAATGTAAATTTGCATTTTTTCCCACTGTGATTTGTTTTACATTTGTGACTTCAGATCTTCCATACTTGTTGATGAACTTTTGAGGATACCCATTTCTTTTCAATATCTTTTCAAGGAACTCAAACTCCTCCTCTATTTTCTCTATAGAGCATATTCTCCTCACTCTATAGTACAGAGTCTTGACTAGTCCACGTTTAAAGCTATGTGGACAAAAGCTATTAAATACAAGTATTGTCCTTTCCATGTGGGCTTTCGATAAATTGACTTCTGAAGACTACTGTCTTCTAGGCGTTGTATGACATTGTCATGCAGGTGGAACTTTCCGTCATTTTCATGTTCCATAGTAAATTCAATATTGGTATGTGCGTCATTGAACAATTTGAGTAAGTGTGAAGCATGACTTTCATCATTCTTGCACATTACAAATGTTTCATCAACGTATTGACGGTAAGAATTTATTTCGTCGATTGCGTGCCTCAACTTTATTCTTTCAAGATTGGACATGGATATGGACTGGTTCAAAATTATCAGTAGGCAAAAGATTTCAATTCTCTTCAAGTTTGCTGAAGCCATTTCTATCAAGCGCCTGAAACCTGATTTTTGTTTAAAATGAACTCTGTGTGGGTATGTTAAAATTGTTTGTGTAGATATATATTTAATAATGTCTTTCGTCTGTGAGCAGCTGATGAGAAGCCAACGAAATAAACAATGATGATACCACTTTATTCTTCTAAAACTGTAGTTCATGCTTTGTTCAAATTCATTAAAGGGGAATAAATGTCTGAAATGTTATATGTGTTACCTTTGTTTCACTTTCTGATTGATTCACTCTTTCGACAACTATAGATTCTTTTGGGTTTTGTGTGAACGTGTGGAATTCCCCAAACTTATGGCATCCTTCAAGATAGACGCAGTATCCGGCTATCGATCGTCGGGTATTTGGACTTGATTAGAATCAGTTCGCTTCGTCTTCGTGTATAGCTGTGAGACATGCCCAGTGAAACCGGAAGACATGAGAATACACATCTGGATTCTATCTCCCATTGATATAAGTATAAAACTTGGGCACTATGGTAGAGTATAACTCCATTATAGATAAGATTTTGTTTTGATAAATCACACAGTGTTGTACACCGAATTGTCTAACCTCTTCAATCGCCAAACACCTGATTGATACAGGACACCGAGTAGATGTTCTGGAATCATTCAAAATAATTAACAGACAAGTCTTCTCAGGTTCCCTGAAGCTATAGCAATAAAACGATTGAAGCCTGACTTATGTGTCCAAAAAGAATCCGTTGTTGGGATTTCAATTACCCTGGTGACTCACTTCTTAGTAACTCTTGTGTTTTCTAATTTTGTTAACTTATCTTTTCACTCCCCCTACCCTTGGCTTTATTTTTCGCTTGACTCTCTTAAGAGATCATTTTTCTTGATCTTCTGAATTCTGCTCACTGTATTATTACATCATCAACTTCTCATGTGCATCGAAATTTTATAATTTTGATCTAAAGTAATAATAATAACAATAATGTTGTACAACTTTTGTGTACACATTTTTTTCTTTCATTTGTTTATTTCTTTTTTTTTTTTTGAATAGGTTGTTAATCCAGTTCTTCCACAATTTCATCCACGTCAATTATTAGAATGGATGAATTTAGGACATTTACGTCGGATAAAGGCAATATTAGCTCATTTAACTAGATGTTTGTCTGCTTTTGGTTCACCATCATCGTCATCATCGGGTAAACAGTTACAACATCATGGTACACCAACAAGTAGTCGTAGAATGACAAAGGTATGCGCAACACAGTTCTCTCCTTGAGAAAGATAACCTTATGAAAAAGTTTTTGATGGTATAGTTATTAACAGTTTATTTTTTTGTAATGTTGATTATGGAGCATAGGACTTCAACAGCAAATTGCCACTTTGTACCAACAGCCCCAACGGGCTGATCTCTGACGAAATCTCACCACGAATACAAGGGGCTCGTTTCGCATTTGTTAGTTTACGCCGACTCTGGCGTAGACGAGATGTTCGACTATCGACCAAAGGGCGGGTGTACTGCTCATCAGTCCGCTCCATCCTCCTGTATGGTTGTGAGACCTGGCCACTGAGAGTGGAAGACATGAAAAGACTAGCTGTCTTTGATCATAGGTTCCTGCGTTCTATTTCCCGTGTAAAGTGGCATAATAAGGTGAGCAACATTGAGGTTAGGCGTAGAGTTCTAGGTAAACAGGGGAAATCAATCGACGAAGTCGTGAAGCTACAAAGACTGAGATGTTTAGGACATGTGTTACGTATGCCAAGTCATCGCCTCACTCGACGAGCTATGTTAGCGGATGTAGGGTCAGGCTGGAAAAGAGCTAGACAGCGGCGGTCAAACAAAAACTTGGCCTCACCAGTCAATGAAATCCACAACAGTTGGTCTAAGCCATGTACGAAGGTGTAGACTTCCTGACTGGTTGGGGTCCTCGGGACGGTAAAAATCTATGGTTGTAAACAATTGGTGACATGGCTCAAAATCGTTCTCAATGGCCGGCGAAGATGCATCCACTCCTTGTGACTTATGACTTCCAATGAAACTACATTGTTCTTGATTATTACTATTCTTTTGTCTCATATCTCTGTTTACTGTCGCTATAATGCATTTCTTCTACTTTCTTCTCTTGCTTTGTGTGGTACAAGGAGTGGAGTATGGCGACTTGAACTACCGCACATATGTACAAAGTTCTATGTCGAAAATAGACAGATAGACAGACTTCGTCCTATTCTCTGCATTGTACTCTTTAGCTGGCTAGCTCTACTGTCGCCCATTGTCTTTGATTTCCGTGTCTCACGATCTACTCCATGTCGCCCCAAAATTGACACTCCCAACTCGTTGTTTCCTATTTAGGGTCTACTTGATCAATGTCCTGGTGTGCGATGTTATTCGATGGTCTCCCCAATGTATGTCTAATCCATCCATTTTCGGAATATTTGTTGGAACTTCGATTCTTGATTGGTGGTTCGTTCCCAGACTTTCTTATTGCAAATTTTTTTCTTGTCTGGCTGGCGATCTGGAGACAACGACGACAGTTGTTGATAGAAGTCTATCAGAAATGCTTTTGATGGCCTGAGAACACCAAGTCTCTGACCCATATAGAAGAAAAGGTTGACTTAACATTAATGTTGAAAATCTGAATTTTGTTCTTTATGCTGAGATGGAGTGCAAAAGATGTCTAGACGATTTCAGAGTGATGAAGCTCTGTCTTGCTGTTTCTATTCTGGCTGGTTTGGACATTATCCGTTCTGATTGTCTGGATTGGATTGGAAATGATAGTGACTAGATAAGCGGAGTCAGTGACCTCTTTCAAACTTCTTTCGTTTGTAGTAATTGGTGCTTGCTGTTGTTGTTTTCTGGTTGGGTGGTTATCTTCATCACCTCTGTCTTTTATGTTCACTTGAAGACCTGTTTTCATTGCTTCGTTCGCATTCTTTATTATTGGTTTTCGCCTGTAAGTCTTTGAGTTTGTGTGAGATTAGATATAATTGGTTGGCGAAATTCTGTCTGTCTGTCTGGATTCAACATAGAACTTGGCACCGAAGTGCAGCAGTTCGAGTTGCCACCTTCCAAATAGCACACAGAGGTAGACAAGAAGATGAGTGAAGAGAATCAATACAGTCTGACAAGTATAAGAGTGAAACAGAATGGGTAATGGTAGAAAGGAGGAATATGAAAGATAACAGAAACTGAATACATCTGGGCTGGCCATTGACAACGATTTTGAGCCATGTCACCTATTGTCTCCAGCCATTGATTGATTCCTAGAGTCCCGAGGGCCCCAACCCGGGAGTCTGCATCTCCCTACCTGACTCAGTTTAACTGTCAAGGATTTCATGGATTGATGCCATGTTTTTGTTTGGCCACCACTGGCTCTTTTCCAACCTGAACCTATATCAGCTAACAATGCCCGTCGGGGGAGGCGATGGTTAGGCATCCGCACCACGTGACCTAGCCATCTTAGTCTATGTAACTTTATAGCCTCGTCGATTGATTTTCCCTCTTTGCCCAACACTCTACGCCTAACGTCAACATTACTTACCTAATTATACCACCACCTAACGTGAGAAAGAGATCACAGACATCTATGATCGAAAGCAGTCAACCTTTTCATGTCTTCAACGCGTATTGGCCATGTTTCAGAGCCATAGAGAAGGACGGAGCGAACTGATGAGCAGTACACACGTCCCTTGGTTGATAACCGGATGTCACGCCTACGCCAGAGATGGTGTAAGTCAGCGAAAGCAGCTCGAGCTTTTCGGATCTGTGCTGAGATTTCATCGCCAATCAGTCCGTTGGTGCTGATACAACTTCCCAAGTAGGTGAAGTGGTCAACATGTTCTATCACTTCACTCCCTATCACTAAGTTAGGAGTTGACGTCGTCCAGTCCTGGCGAAATTCAGATCTTCTAGAGTCTTTTTATCGATCAGTTCAACGTATTCCTCCTGTCTTCTCACTCTCTACAAATGGTCCTCAATGTAATTCAGTCCACCACAATTAGGAATATCATCATGGGTGATAATAGACAGTCAAACGTATCTTACTCCTGTCTTCTTCTGAGCTGCAATCTAAGAATGTTTGGCATACGATTCGTTCCCGCCACATGTAAGGTGATGCTACAGGACTGGACTACAATGATTCCTAGTTTAGAAGTGTGTTGGCCGCTTCACTTATTTAAGAAGTACCATCAGTCCAACGGGTTGATCTCTGATGAAATCTCAATACGGATGCAGAGGGATAGTTTCGCATATGCCAGTTTACGCCGTCTCTGGCGTAGACATGATATCTGGCTGACTAACGACCAAAGGGCGTATGTACTGCTCATCAGTCCCCTCCGTCCTCCTTTATGTCTGTAGGACATGGCCGCTGAAAATGGAAGACATGAAAAGATTAGCTGTCTTTGATCATAGGTTCCTGCATTCTATCTCCCGTGTAAAGTGGTATAATAAGGTGAGCAATATTGAGGTTAGGCGTCGAGTGCTAGGTGAGGAGGGGAAATCAATCGACGAAGCTGTGAAGTTACAAAGTCTGAGATGGTTAGGACATGTGTTACGTATGCCTAGTCATCGCCTTCCTCGACGATGGGCAACGTTAGCTCACATAGGGTCAGGCCGAGAAAGAGCTAGCGGCGATCAAACCAAAACATGGCTTCATAAGTCCATGAAATCCACAACAGTTAGTCTAAGCCACGTAGGAAGGCGAAGACTTCCTGACTGGTTGGTGTCCTTGGGACGGTAAAAACCAATGACGGCTGGAAACAATTGGTGATATGGCTGCCTCAAAATCGTTCTCAATGGCTGGCGAAGATGCATCCACTCCTTGTGACTTATGACTTCCAATGAAACTACATTGTTCTTGATTATTACTATTCTTTTGTCTCATATCTCTGTTTACTGTCGCTATAATGCATTTCTTCTACTTTCTTCTCTTGCTTTGTGTGGTACAAGGAGTGGAGTATGGCGACTTGAACTACCGCACATATGTACAAAGTTCTATGTCGAAAACAGACAGACAGACTCCTGTCTTCACTTGAAATGTCTCACTGAGTTTCCTTTTCGTATAGTTGAATTGAACTGACAAGTTTCTTTTTCACAGATGGTTGAGTCGCATGTGTATATTTCAGGATTGTTCGTGTCATAGACTGCTCTCACTTGTAGAACGCATGAGTTGAACAGCTCTGCCAGCGTGGTTCTTGAAACTATTCCTCACTGGGTATTCTAATTCAAGACCATTCTGCAGTGCTTACTCGTTGTTGGTAAACGAATTAAGATGATGATTGTCGTATTACAGTATACACCTTCATCACATATGCCTGTAAAATGAAACAGCTCTTCAAGCGTACCTTCCCTTCAAGTAATGTTGATCAAATAGTTACTCTCGTTATATTTTCGGTGCCTATGAATAATTGCCTACAAATAATCAGAATATTTTTGAATTCAGATGAGAAATTTTATGGAGATTTTGGAATAATTTCAATTGTTTGGATCACCTCGTTCCAAACTGACATCAATTAGAGGGATCATTGGAAAGTTAGGGAACACTCGATGCATAGGTGTTTCTTCCCATTATGGGACTCTTTAACAGTGCGCATTCACGACATCTCTGCAAGGATGAAACTTAGAATCTCTAGTCTACGAGATGAAACTCGTTGAGTATGCAGTCTTACTTACTTTACTTTACTTCGGCTATTTCCTACGGGAGGATGAGCCGGCTTCATGAACCATGAAGTTTCATGGGAATTGGGTACGAGTGATGTCCCCAGAATCGCTCGGCCTTTTGTTTGAGAGTGCAGCTCTAGCATTTACACAACCAAGTGTGACCTACAAGGCAGTAGGAGTGGAGTAGGGAGTTCACTATCCATTGGCAGTCGGTGACCGGAGTCCGGTTCATACGTCTTTTTGAATGGGCCCAGACATCCAGGGCATCCAATAAGCCCTTTGTTCATACGTCTGCCGGTGAGCTCCAGTGAGCTTCATACGCCAGTCGTTGGAGGCTTGGAGTCAGGGTTAAGCCATCTCCCCTAGACTGTCATCCAATGGACAGTCAACCCGGTGAAGAGCGCCGGGAATCCGCTTTTGCCCTCTCACTTCGGTGAAAAACACCTCCGCCACGTGAAGGCAGTGAGTAGGACTTCCTCAGGAGAGGCTATGTAAGACGCCCGGTCATATGGGAGCATTTCGAGAGGTGTACGGAGGGGTGGCCAACCCGCAGCGCAAGGCACCCACCCCCGACCATCCTGAGGCTTTGGAGGCTGAGTATGCAGTCACTTGGTTAGCAATTATGTGTCTCCTGAATTCTAGAAAGCAACAGGTCAAAGCCAAAGTTTACGTAGTCGAATAAAAGGAGAAATAAAGTCATTGAGTTATGGCGGCAAAGAATGCCCTTGATAACTGTTTCTTTCTAAACACATAAATTGGGTGCGTCGATGGCACAGCGGTTATGACGCTCGCCTATCATGCCTATGGTCCGGGGTTCGATCCCCTGCCGACGCACACCTGATATCTATGGTCGGCCTGAAAAATTTGAACTACCGATATCACATGCTAAAAATTCCATACCTGTGTGTAGAAACAAGCTGTAATAAAAAAAATGTTTTTTTTCAGCAGAATTGAGGTGAAATGTGGTCTTTACTTGGCCCAAAGAGCCTGTTGTACGATAAACAGGAACCAAACTGAGCTACAGGATACCTTCTAGTTGTTAAGTATTCAATCGTCTGTATAACCGAGTTGAATTCAGATAGATTTGTTTTCCACTGTTACGGTGTTTGGCATTTAAGCCTTCACATCTTCCGTGCTTGTTAATCCATTCCTCGGAGTAACCTTTAGTTTTCAATATCTTTTCGAGAATCACCTGATTGATAGCTGCTACGTTAACGTGGTGGTCGGGCTTGCACATCGAAATGACCCAACAAGCTAAACTGACTGGAACTATTGTTCCTGCAGGTCCTACCATGCCAGGAAGGTTGTTAGGATAGCGATTAGATTAAAAACAGTTACTGGCATAGTGTGAGAATTTTTCTTACACTATGCTGTGGAGGTCTGTGGGCGAAGTCGCACTCCTGGGGAACAGGGATGTAACAGCAGGAAGGAGATGTTTCTCTCAGATGACCAACACGCCCACCAGCTTTGCTGTCTCATCACTCTTGCGAGAGGGGATTAAAAAAGGTCGACCTACAAAAAGTTTACATCCCGACTTATCCTACGGAACGAATCCCAGAAACCAGTTCATATACACAGTGTGTGACCTGCCTCAAGCAGTTGTGTCCCCGGGTCTCTGCGGTCACGCAACACTAACCCTCTTTCTGTTTGAGGAGAAGAATCAGAACCCGAAGAATCAGTTAACTTCCACGGTGTGGACAACTGCGAAATAACAACCGCCCACACACTTCCAACAGCACACGAAGCCTTCTTAAGCATCTCTTAGGGAATCAGATACATTCTTCATCTATTTTCTCTATGTAGAGTATATCCTTTTAACCGATGCTCGTTGATAGGTAATTGAACAAATGCTTTTGAAATTCGAGTATTGTCCATTCCACATAACCTTGAAGTGAATAGATCTTCCAAGCGGTACCTGGCGATGTCAAACCATCGTTTTCTTTTATTCAAAATTCATTAAAGGGGAATAAGTTTATTGAATTTTCCGATTTGTATTGTTATTACTATTATTATTTAATTTCTTTATTATCCTAACTCTTCTACTACTCACATAGGGTAATTTGAATTCAGAGTTAACCAACCTTGGCATGGGTTCATTCGATACATCCATCAGTGCAGGGAGAACAAGCGGAAAGCCGGGAACATTACAATCCAAGGTGGCTACATCTGCTTCTTCTTCTTCTTCTACTTCAAGTAATCTTTTAGAAGCTCAAGCAATTCCACCACTCCCGTTATATATTCTGCTGGCTGTTGACTCTCTACAAGTAACAGATGTTAGTGCTGATGTTGAGACTAGCAAACAATTTGGTAGGCGTTTTTTTTAAAAAAAATTTTTGTTATTGTTATTCATGTAGGACAACACGTTTAAGCGATCAATATTCAAGTGTTCGTTTGTAGGGATTTGATTGGTTTCAGGATTTCATCATGAGGTGAAATTAGTTAGAGAACCATTGGAAAACCTGCCAGGGAGTACTGGACAGCTGTTTCGTCCTATTTTGGGACTCTTCATCAGTACCCACCCACCGGGATTCGAACCCAGGACATTCCGGTTACAAGGCGAGCTCGTATACCATTCAGCCACTCACTGGGACCCGATCCAATGGTCCTTGAATTCTAACTTCTGCCAATTCACGACATAGCGCGACCGCTAGCCAATGTCTTCGGCGAGTATTTGTCCTCACACCCGACCAGCTGCACCCTACTGGTCACGACTTCCCACTGGAACCCAGGTAGGTAACTACCTATCTGAATAGGGCCAGTCGCCAATGAGCATCTCATTGGTATTCAAATGTTGGTTTGTAGTTACCTGGGTTCCAGTGGGAAGTCGTGACCAGTAGGGTGCAGCTGGTCGGGTGTGAGGACAAATACTCGCCGAAGACATCGGCTAGCGGTCGCGCTATGTCGTGAATTGGCAGAAGTTAGAATTCAAGGACCATTGGATCGGGTCCCAGTGAGTGGCTGAATGGTATACGAGCTCACTGACCTTGTAACCGGAATGTCCTGGGTTCGAATCCCGGTGGGTGTGTACTGATGAAGAGTCCCAAAATAGGACGAAACAGCTGTCTAGTACTCCCTGCAGGTTTTCCAATGGTTCTATAACTAATTTCAGCTCATGATGAAATCCTGAAACCGATCAATATTGTTTGTAGTAATTTGATTGGTTGTAGGATTTCAGCCTGAGTTGACATCTGATGCTTACTAGCAACTGGCCCTTTATTCATGTAGGTAGGTAGTTTACCTGGGTTCCAGTGGGAATTTGTAACCACCAGGGTACAGAAGGTTGGGGTGTGAGGACAGTGACTTGCTAGCGATGACACTGGTTATTGCCAGTCGGGCTCTGTTGTGCGTGAATTATCTGTAGTTGGAATTCATAGACTGATCATTGAGGAGTCGAGTCCCAGTGGCTGAATGGTCTACGAGCTCTAATTGTAACTGGAAGGTCCTAGTTTAGAACCCTGGTATTATTATTATTGTTTCCTTTAATTCCTAAAGGAATATAGTGCTTCAGACTCAGCTTCCGTTTCCATTGCGTTCGGCCCTCTGCTAAACTTTTCACCTGGCTCCAAGTCTGCCCACATGTCCCACTCAGAACCCAAGGGAATTATAATAATAATAATAATAATAAAGGCAGTTGATAGTTTATTTTTCTGTTGCCATTATTATTATCATTATGCATTGTGAATATATATGTACATTCCTTTGATAATTCCTATAGATCCATTAAACGATTGGAATGATGAATTTGGATCAGTAGATGAGTCGAAAATATTTGAAATACAAGTATGTAAATCGATTATGTATACATTCTGTTATTGTGTCATATGTATATATCATTCTTAGAAGGTTTTATTACGTATAACTCTATATTAGATATGTTTATCTGAAAGATCACACACAGTGATGATGCAGTCTTAACAACTGGATGACGAATCCAGTAGAAATTATTGCCACGCATAATCATCATATCAATTTAGTCACATGGCTTCACAAGTTGCCTTTCTCTCCCTCTCTCCGCCTTTCCTTTGTTGTTCGTTGACACTTTCAATATCTATGGTATATGTACATATCCCCCGTGTTGAATCGATAAACAAAGACTTAGTGATGAACCCCTCTATCCACCTTGCTGACAAGTGAGTACCAACTAGCACGAAACTTAGGTCTCGATAATGCTTCATGTCGATTGCATTCAACCATCTAATATCATCAAAATCGGAGTCTTCCGAACACACCTCAAGGAGCAGTGACCTTCGACCGTTTGGCACATGATTTGCTCCTGTCAGATGAAAGATGATACTAGAAGACTGGAATACGTCGACTTCTAGCTTAAAGATAGACAGGAGTGAAGTGTTTGGTGGAGCGAGCGTGTTGACTACTTCACACATTTGGAAAGCCACATCCATCCCAGCGGGTTGATGACTGATGAAATCTCAACATGGATACAAAAGGGTGGTGTGGGATTCCCCAACCTGCATCATCTCTAACGTAGACGTGATATCCGGTTGGTTATCGATCAAAGGACGTGGGTACTTTTCAGCAACACTTCACTCCATCCGCCTTTATGACTGTAAGCGAGACATAACCATTGAAAGTGGAAGATATGAAAAGGCTAAGTGTCTTTGAAGTTACGTAGAGGGGGAAGGGGGAAGCCAATCGACGAGGTTGTGAAGTTACTGATATAAGTATAGAACTTCGGGACCTTGGTGGTAGAATGTAACTCCAAATTAGATAAGTTTACCTGAAATATCGCGTAGTGTTGACGTAGTATTAACAACTGGATGACGTCTCAAGCATAAATTATTGAAACTCAATTTAGCTACATGGCTTCACAATTTGTCCTATACATATACAGTCGCTCTCTCTGTCTCACACACACACTCTCTCTCTCCACCTTCCCCTTGTTGTCTGTTGCCACTATCCATATCTCCGGTATAGGCATTGCATCATTTCGATTGCACATGTGCACTGTGTTGAATCGATAAACAAAGATTCATTAATCAACCCCTCTATCCATCTAACTTTATTACTTTCAAAAACTTTCACTCTGTCCCAATCATCCTTTTGTGTGATTACATGCAAGTGAATGCAATGCAATACAAAACAATGGCTGGGTTTTATTCTGGGTTATATAACTTAGCTGGATCAAACATCATTCTAGGTGTCTAGCTAAATTGTCACGTTTTAATAATCTAATTGACCCCGATCAACACCTAGTTCGACCTATGTGTGATTAATCTCACTAACAGTGAGAATTACATGGTGTTTGGTAAGTTATATTATTTTTTCTGAATTGGATCTACCTGCCTAATTACTACTTATCAATCTTGTCAATAGCATATGCCCTGCAGAACAAGCTGCTGGCAAAAGGAGAAAGACCTCGCAACACTCTACCAAACAATTAGGTTCCTATCGAGGAAAAGTTCGACACAAATTAAGCCGGTGAAGGATGACAGTGGAATGTCAATCACTAAAGAGGTGGAGCAAAGCAAAAACACTGGGATGAACACTTCAAAAGACTTCTAAGTCGATCACTACATGCGACGCCCCAATATTACCAATAGCGGAAGCGGAACTACCAGCGAACATCAACCCTTCGATGAAAACAGAAGTCCTAACGGCAATCAAAATTTTAAAAGCTGGAAAAGCAGCAGGACCAGATGGAATCCCGGAATCGATCACACCACTACATTAGAAGGTGTGGAAGGAGGGCAAGGTACCCGAGGATTGGAAGAAAGGATACTTACTCAAACTGTCAAAGAAAGGAGACTTGAGTCAATGCAAGAAGTGGCGCGGAATTATGCTCCTGTCCATCTCAAGCAGAATACTAAGCCGCATCATCCTCGAGAGAATCAAACACGTCTCCTTGGATGAAAAACTTTGACGAAACAGGCTGGATTCAGGAAAAACATGTCATATATTGATCAAATTGCCACACTCCGGATCATCATTGAACAAAGCTTGCAAAAATGACAGTCACCTCTCTATCTCAACTTCATCGACTTTGAAAAGGCCTTCGACAGCGTCGATCGAGCGGCAAGGCTGTCTACTATCGCCAATGATCTTCCTGATTGCAGTAGATTGAATAATGCGACAGACACAGCGGGCAACGAGGAAACAGGCATAAAATGGACTCACACAAAAAACGTGGAGGATCTGGACTTCGCCGATGTGAAGTTTGTCTGATTTCCCACAAACTGGAAGATATGCAAGTGAAAAGCAACAATTTGGCGATAGAAGAAGCATCCAGAGAAGATAGGACTTCAGGTGAACATAGAGAAAGCTGGGGTAGGTGATGAAGATTCCTGGCCAACAACAACAGACAACAATCAGCCAGCATAAATGGGAGAAATCTGAAAGAAACAACCTCCTTTACCTACCCACCTGGGAAGCATCGTTTCAATTACAGGCGGATGGAACTGACAAGATTATCAAAGCGAGGATCTGGAAAGAAAGACAAGCTTTCATTACTCTTAAGTCTGTTTGGAGATCAACAGCACTCATCCTGAAAAATAGAATCCTGATTTTCAACTTCAATGTGAAGTCAGTACTACCATTCGGATCAGAGACTTGGCCAGCGCGTCATGAAGAGCACCTCAAACAAACTACAGACCTTCATCAACGGTAGCTGTCTTTGCTCAATATTCAAGATCAGATGGCCAGAAAAGATCAGCAACAGAGATCTCTGGTAATGAGCGAACCAACTAGGAACCAATTGTGCAGCAGATACGCAGGAAGAAATGGAGATGGATTGTCCATACTGTGAGGAAACCATCAAGTGACATCACTAGACAAGCAATCGCTCGAGTGGAACTCGGCCGAAAGGGAAGCGGCGAGTTGGTCGTCTCTGTGAGGGTGACTTGGAGGAGGTCATGTGAAATAATATATATAATATATATATATATCTTCTTTCTCTTTCTCTAGGATGATGACTTAAATTTCAATGAAGAAGAAGTCGCTGATGGAGCTTCATTGAAAAGTCACACAGAATCCAAACAATCCTTATCGAATTCATCTACACAAAAAGCATCACAATTTTATGGTTTTAGTATATGGTCGTTGAAACCGGCTGCATTAGCGCGTAGTATCCAGTTTTCTGAAGATGATGCTCGTATACTAGCTGAACAGTATGTGATATTTATTATTATTATTGACTATGTACTCATACGTTTATCTTGAATTGATTTTATTCTGTCTATCACTGTTGATTGTGTTCTTGGTAGAATAGTGAAGTTTTCGTGTCGGTGCATGGGATTCACTCTTTAAGCATCCAATGATTATGATTTGAATGATATCTTCATCCTTGTTATCACTTGTAGTTGAAACAATACTACCTAGATAGATAGGTGGACGTAGTGATCTCGTTGAGATTTCCTCCATTGATAGTGATTGGTGCTTCTTCTTGTTGTTGTTGTTGTTGGTGGTGGTGGTGCTAATGGGGTGTTTACCTCCAACTCCTCCGTCTTCTTCATGTTCACTTGCAACCCGCTCTTCTCTGACTGATCCTTCTTCTTCCAACTTGTTGGTTTTCGCCTGTGAGTAAATCTTCGAGGATGTATGACATTAGACATAAACTAGTCGGCCAAATCTATATCTTTTAGATTCCTCTTGTTGGTCAGTTCAACGCATCCTTTTCTTCTTTCTTCCTGGGTAGAGTTTGATGCATAATCCAGTCCACCACAATTAGAAATGTCATCGGTGATAATAGGTCAAAAGAGGAAGAAGAAATCAGCAGAGACAAAACTCCAAGTGAGCATAGAGAAGACAAAGGTGACAAACCAATAAGAACTACAAGCACCAGCTGTGTTTGATCATAGGTGCCTGCGCTCTATTTCCCGTGTAAAGTGGCATAATAAGGCTAGCAACATTGAGATTAGGCATCGGTCGAGTTCTAGGTAAACAGGGGAAATCAATCGACGAAGTCGTGAAGCTACAAAGACTGAGATGGTTAGGACATGTGTTACGTATGCCAAGCCATCGCCTCCCTCGACGAGCTATGTTAGCGGATATAGAGTCAGGCTGGAAAAAAGCTAGACAGCGGCGGTCAAACAAAAACTTGGCCTCACCAGTCAATGAAATCCACAACAGTTGGTCTAAGCCATGTAGGAAGGTGTAGACTTCTTAACTGGTTGGGATCCTCGGGACGGTAAAAATCAATGGTTGGAAACAATTGGTGACATGGCTCAAAATCAATCTCAGTGGCGCAGATGCATCCACTCCTTGTGACTTATGATCTCCAATGAAACTGTTTTGTTCTTCGTTATTACTCCTCCTTTGTCTCACACCTCTGTTTACTGTCTCTATTATGCTTTTCTTGTACTTTCTTCTCTTGCTTCGCGTGCTACTTGGTGTGTGGCGACTTGAACTTCCGCACATTTGTGCAAAGTTCTATGTCGAAAACAGACAGAACAGACAGACCATCAACGGGAGAGATTCGATTGAGGTTCCTTCCTTCACTTTCCCCGCCAGGAAACATGCCTTCAACCTTAGGCGGGTAGAATGGATGAAGATGTTAAAGCTAGCCATTCAGAGAGACGATTGGAAGGGTGAGATACGGCTTTCATCAACCTGTAACCAGTTTGGAAATCTTCTGCTTCACTCATTCAGTCAGCATAAGCAGCAACAAGGTGAGGATTTTACAACACAAATGTGAAGTCAGACAATCAGTCAGAAACTTACACTGTGGGGTGCGTCACGAAAAGGATTTTCAACAAGTTGTAGACTCTTATCAACAGTTGTCCAATCGGGTGGCTCTATACTGAAGATCTAATGGCCAGCCGGTTGGCCAGAAACTCTGGGAGGTGACGAACCAACAAATACCCCCCCCCCCGATTGCTCAACAAATATGTGTAGGAGAAAATGGCAATGGGGATTGGGCATACTTTCAGGACAACAGAACTGTTGATTGAAATCGTGCTCAGTGTAGGCTATTGTTCGAGTGGAATTCCATTGACGAGCGATGGGTGGGTCATCGGTGCGAGGGTGACATGGAGGAGAGATCGTGCAGGGAAGAAGAGATGCTAGATTATGGGCAGTCGTGTAGCTAGCCAGGTGAATAGGACAGCGGAAATTAGAAGAAAGTGAAGATGTGTGGTTGAAGCTCTATGTTCCACTTGGAACCCAAGGGAATAATAATAATAATAATAGGTCACTTCTGAATGTTAATATATGTGTAAAACTTGGGCACTGTGGTGGTAGTAAGTAATTCCATATTAGTTTGTGTAATAGATGTATCAAACAGTTAGTGAAACAGTATTATTTACTCAATGACAGGGTTTCTAACAAAATTTATTGTTCATAATCATGCCATCAATTATAATCAAACGACTTTGAAACTTGAGCTTTATAGTTTTCTTTGATCTCTCCTATTTGTCGTCGTAGAGGTAGTCGAATTTTCCAGATGTCTGCGTGGACAAGTGTTGAATCATTCCTATTACACGTATTCTCTCTCAGTTGATTCGATAAACAAAGCTTCTGTTATCAATCTGTCCCTCCCTCCACCCTGTGACATTAGATTTTAAAACTGTCATCCTATCCCATCCCATCCTATTGTATGGTTGTGTGTGTAACTACATGTAGTGAGTGGTATAGCTGAACTATTCTCTAGATTTCTTATTTTATTCAGGTCAATCAACCTAGATTTTTCTAGGTTTTCATGCTCGGCTAGTCTGACTGACTGCCCCTGTTCTACTAGTATGACTTATGTATTTGACCTAACAATCATTCCAGCAGGCAGGGTATTAGATAAACTAAATTGTTTTGCTTTAAAGGCTCCACAGGATCCACCATTTAACCGACAAAGCTTGTTTCTAATTGAGTTTTTGGGTGACTTGAGTGCCAGTAATTTTTATTCCTGCCTTGTTACTAATTCTGCGTAAGCTGGTTTCCGAGGTTCCTTCCTTGTATGGAATTACTACTGATGATTTAGATTCCTTATTGTTGGTGTCGTCATTAATATTATTATTATTATTGTCACTATCACTACTGTCATTATTTATTTTATTTTTACATTTCCTTACATATTTCCTGACTTATTTATCCGGATAATTATTAAATTTCAAGGCTTCTTCTATGTGTATCACTTCTTGTCTTAGATTTTCCTTGTTACTACTTAGTTTTTGTGCTCTGTCACTTAAACTTTTCACCAATCCTATTTTTACTGACATAAGATGGAGTGATCGGAAGTCCAAATATCTGTTTGAATGTGTGGGTCTCCTGTAAACACACACTAGTGTGTTTAACTTCCCATCTTCTTTCCTTTTTACGTTGCAATCTAACATCGGAAGCTACCTCTTTTGACTTTCCAATTCATAAATGAATTGAATTGTCTCCAACTCTGAGTGAATGTGTTCGAAAAATCTATCTATATCCTGTGTTCTGAGTACAGTACCTTCATCATACTTTTAGGGTGAGGGTGGGTGAAAACTATAAAACCTAAGTTTCGAAGTTGTGTGGTTATAATTGATGGCATGATTATGAACAATAATAATTTTTTTTCCGAAACCTTGTCATCCAGTAAATAGTACTGTTTGCCTAACTGTGTGATACATCTAATAAACAAACTAATATGGAATCATTGAATTGAATTTTTTGATTTTCCCGTCGATTGATTGGACCCAAGTGCTCGGTCTCAGGTCGACATGTCGGCTTCTTGTGCAGATGCTTCGACGATGTCCGGACATTTCATTTCAGTCCGGGGAAAATCAAAAATTCAATTCAATAATTAATATAACCGGTTGCACAAGAGGTGGCTCTCGTGGCCTAAGTGGTCTAGTGGATAACGCTTTAGCGTTTGAAACTATCGGTACTGGGTTCGAGCCTCGGTGGGAACATCATCATTCACTGAGAAATGCAGGTACATCCAGATGACGAGTCCCAAATAGGACGAAATGCGCTTTTTCCTGGATTCCACTGCTAGCCACCATCCCCACCAATTGTATACTAATATGGAATCATTTCTGAATGAATAATAGGAGTCTATTGGTGTTGAGGTAACTTCTTGAAGCTGGAGAAGCTAATGCATCCCATTTCACCTTCTCTGTGTCTTTTGTTTTACTCTTCCCGCTTAATTTCCTTTGCATCAACAACATCAACAGTCTATCCACTCAACAACTACCTGGTCTATCACCATTAGATCAAATGTATTTACTTGGCATAGCTGATTTAATGGCTAAAACACATTCAGATATTACGGATTGTTTATCAGTGGGCAATTATACAAGACGTGATAGTAAACAGCATCATACTTCATCATCATTACCAAAACAAGCATCAATTAAGGATAGTTCTACTAAACAAGGTTAGTTATTATGTGGATTATTCTTTATTTTTTTTTAAATTTATACTACTTATTTTCACTGAATTTGGGAAATGTGTGCTTTTCGTTGTGCTTTTTAAAATATATGCCGAAGTAAATGGATTGGATTTACTCTGCAGTGACTGTTGTGACTGACGTCATGCCCTGTCTGTCTGTCTGGATTCAACATAGAACTTGGCACCGAAGTGCATCAGTTCGAGTTGCCACATTTCAAATAGCACACAAAGGTAGGTAGACAAGAAGATGAGTGAAGAGAATCAATAGAGTTTGACAAGTATAAAGAGTGAAACAGAAAATGGGTAATGGTAGAAAGGAGGAATATGATTACAGAGATTACAGAGACTGAATACATCTGCGTTGGCCATTGACAACGATTTTGAGCCATGTATCACCTATTGTCTCCAGTCGATTTTTCCAACCTCCTTTAGGAAGTGACTCTGTAACATTACGCTCCCAATCGTTCGGGAATGAAATCTGGCAACCCTCCTTTATGGTTAAGATCTCTGTTCTACTCCTGTTTCTCCACGAATTTTATTTATCTAGTAACATACGCTTTTCATTCACAGATTATTGAAGAATAGTCGACGACCTGTTGGTGATTATATTCTCCATTTAAGTCTTTACACCAAGATCACTTACATTAAGAAGTATACTTATTTTTGTGATTGGTGGATTACGGTTATCAACTTAGATTTGTCCTTGTTCTTGAAATTCAATGAGGAGTGTTGATTATAAAACTTTTGGGCCCTGTAGTAGAGTATAATTTCATTATGGATAAGATTTCATTTTGATAAATCACACAGTGTGTGTTCTACAGTAATATTAACTGATGCGACCACGTTTCGAGCACAAATTATCGCCACTCATAATCATATCAAAGAGTACTGCACACAGAGGTTTCGTTCTAGTTGTTGACTCTTCAGTGGTACGCACCTGGTCATAGGCATTCGAACCCAGTACCTTCAGGTTACAAGTCATGCTCGTAGATTATTTATTCAACTAATGGGACCCGATCCAATGACCATCCCGTGAATTCCAACTGCATACCAATTCGTGACCTTAGCGTAAAAACCAGTCAATATCATCGACTACTTACTTACTTTACTTCGGCTATCTCCTACGGGAGGATGAACCGGCTTCATGAACATCTCGAATGTTTGTAAGAGAGTTGATGAAGTTTCATGGGAATTGGGTACGAGTGATGTCCCAGAATCGCTCGGCCTTTTGTTTGAGAGTGCAGCTCTAGCCTTTACACAACTAAGTGTGACCTACAAGGCAGTAGGAGTGGAGTAGGGAGTCCACTATCCATTGGTAGCAGGTGACCGGAGTCCGGTTCATACGTCTTTTTGAATGGGCCCAGACATCCAGGGCATCCAATAAGCCCTTTGTTCATACGTCTGCCGGTGAGCTCCAGTGAGCTTCATACGCCAGTCGTTGGAGGCTTGGAGTCAGGGTTTAGCCATCTCCCCTAGACTGTCATCCGAAGGACAGTCAACCCGGTGAAGAGCGGCGGGAATCCGCTTTTGCCCTCTCACTTCGGTGAAATAAACACCTCCGCCACGTGAAGGCAGTAAGTAGGACTTCCTCAGGAGAGGCTATGTAAGACGCCCGGCCATATGGGAGCATTTCAAGAAGTGTACGGAGGGGTGGCCAACCCGCAGCGCAAGACACCCACCCCCGACCATCCTGAGGCTTTGGAGGCAATATCATCGACGAGTCTAACTGACTGGTTTCAGCGTAGAACTTTGGATAGATGTACAGCAGTTAAACTAGCTGCTCCTTCTCCATGTAGCACACAAAACAAGAGAAGAGAGTGAAGAGAGATAATAAACTAGGATGTAAGTGAGGTAAAAAGATGAGTAATATGGAAGACCAAAAAAACGATTTTCGGATATTATGAATTACAAAGAGTGAATTCATCTTCACCAGCCTTTGGGAACAAGCCATACCACCAACAGTAGGTTTTTAGCCTTCATTGGTTTTTACCATCCGGAGAACCCTAATCAATCAGTCAGGAAGTCTACACCTCACTACTTACCTGGCGGGCTTGAACTAACTGTTTTTGATTGACGACTGATGATGCCATGTTTTGGTTTGAACACCATTAGTGATCTTTTACCAACCTGATTCGTGCTATGTCAGCTAACATTGCCTGCCAGCAGGTATTTGTCCTCACGTCCGACATGGTGAACCCGGTTGACTAATCCTAATCACGTTTTTTGTCATTAGACAATTATCATGAAATGCACTCATTTATTCATGAGTAATGAGGAACACAGTTTTCTTCAGTGAAGAAATGTTCCTCTGTTCGACGACTCGATTGTGGAACCATTATGGATAAATTTTGTTTTGATAAAGTCTCACAGTGTTATACACTAATGTTTACTGATGACCACGTTTCGAGCACAATTTATTGCCACTCATAATCATATCAAGGTAATTACACGACTTCCTAAATTCATTTATATAGTTCCATTGTTGTTTTTCTCTTGATTTTCACTTGATTTGATTGGTAATAGTATTTTCCATATTTCAGGTATGAGTGATGACTCATTCCCTATTGCATGTGTTGGGTGTAGACTCAATGAACCGGGCAGGATTCAGTAATCAACTATCCTTTAAAATTCATTAGGAAGATTGAAAAAGGCCAAAAGTAAAATAAAAATAACTGTGGAACTAGTAATGATAACACAGGTAACAGAGAATATAAGTCATCTACAGTTATACCATATAAAGAAGGGATATGTGAGACCCTACGTAGGATTCTCAATAAAGCAGGAATTAGGGTGGCATTCAAACTAAGAAATTCACTAAGGTAGGACAAACTCTGTAGGCTAAAAGACCCGGTGGATCCAATTAAACAAAGTAATATAATACACAAAATACCCTGTAATGACTGTGAGTTAAGTCAACTATATAGGTCAAACTAGTAGATCGGGTGGGGATAATCAGATTGTCGGGAGATAAACATTTAGCTAAGGTAAGAATGGTCGACCCCGAGAATATGAGTAATTTAGAAAAAAGCTCAGCAATTGCACTTCACGGATTAACACACAACCAAACAATAGGGTGGTGGGAGAGGGTTAAAATTCTAAAAAGTAATCTAGATAGGTGGAGAGCGAGAGAGGTTAGTCACTGAATCCAACACATGCAATAGGAATGATTCATCACTCATACCTGAAATATGGAAAATACTATTGCCAATCAAATCAAGTGAAAATCAAGAGAAAAACGACAATGGAACTATATAAATGAATTTAGGAAGTCGTGTGATTACCTTGATATGGTTAGGAGCTACAGTAATAAACTGTGCTCGAAACGCCATTAGTAAACATTACTGTATAACTAACACTGTGAGACTTTATCAAAACAAAATTTACCCTTAATGGAATTACACTCTACCACAGTACACAAGTTTTATTCTTGTATCACTGACTAGATTGTGAAGTTGTACAGTTGTATTTATATTACGGATAACAGGCATTATATATATAGCTTCTTCATTCTTTCCTATTCATCGTCTTAGGGGTAGTAGAATTCCCTAGATGTCCAGGTAGACAGGAGTTGAATCATTTCTATTACACATATTTTCAGTTCATTCCATAAATGAAGATTCCGTTATTAATCTCTTCCTCCACCTTGTTATATTACATTTTAAGAATTTTCAAATTGTCCCATCCCCATATTGTACGATTGTGTGTGTGTGTGTGTGTGTGTGTGTGTAGTTGCATGCATTGCCATATAACTGAGCTATTCTCTAGATTTCTTATTCTATTAGGGTCAACTAATCTAGATTTTGCTAGGCTTTTGTGATCCGTGACTCCATTCAGCTACTTTGACGGGGGTGTATTTGACCTGACAATCATTGCAGAGGATTGGTTAAAAAGTAAATTGTTTTATTTACTGGGCTCCACAGCTTCTCTTACTCATACATGATTAGTGTGATTTGTCTAGTCTTTCGTTTCTTTGTGCAGACTGAATTCTATCAGTCATTTTTGCAATATGGCTACCAGTCTAGGTAGCTTGGCGTCACCCACCAGTTCTACACAAGGTCAATCTTCAGCCTGAATACCTACCTCAGTGATAACGTCTACTGACTGTGCGGTTAGCACCGGGTGACGCGTGTTCGAATCTCAGAAAAAAAGGGGGTCATGAGTTCATTCAAAGTGATTGCAAATACGCCTTACTGACCGACTGGCGAGTGACAACTAGCACGAAACCTAGGTAGGTGGTGGTGTCCAAGGCTTCCTGTGGTCGATTGCTTCCAACCATCTAACATTAATAAATAGCATTACTATGACCTGACCAACGTGATGGTGAAACAGATTTTCAACAAAACCTTGCTTTTGAATTCTCAGTTTAGGTGTTTTTGCTCATGTGTATAGCTAGTGTGTTTCGGCGAAACATAAGTACAAAAAGAAAAATACAAAAACTTTCAAAGCGACTGAATTTAGCCTTATACAATAACTTTAAAGCTTAAATCACTTTCAGCTGAATGACAATATTTTATAATGGTTAGATTGGGACTCCTGACTATTATCATCCAAGAGGCCTTGTTTAAACAAAGGGATGAAAAGTTGTCCAATGAGAGAGATTATTTCCAGACCAATAAACGTGAACTATGCAATCCAGATTTAATGAATAAACAATTTTACCGTTGCAGTTATTGATCTTAAATGTTAATTTTAGTTCTTTTTTTAGCCACTTTCTATGAATCTGCATCTACACAGCACACACCGTATATATATATATATATATATATATATATATATATATATATATATATATTCATCTAATTATACAATGCATCTTCCTTTTCCTATCAAGGCTTAGATGAATGCGGTCTACGATTCCTATTGACTGTTCAACTCTACTCGTATTTGAGTAAAACACTCCCGCCGGCTCGTAGAGCTCAACTCCTTGTAAGTGTTAGCCATTATTATTATGATAAGTATTTTGAAGAATATTCTCCGTCAATTCCCTTGATTTAATCCTACTAAAGTAGTTACAAATAATTTTGAATCAATAGAACTGTCTTCTTTGGAGGGGAGGGGTCACTGAATAGGTATGAATTTGAGCTTATGCTAGGGTCTTGAACTACTTTGAAATGGATTATTTTACCCCAGTGAATCAATGTAGACACATTCAAAGGCGGTTACGTACTGCTATTATTATTGTTATTTTATTCCTTCACATTCCCAGTAGAACGAGTAGGGCTTCAAGCTAGAGCTCATAAGTTTCGGTAGTAGTGATTTCGACTACTTTTTTTATGGGTTGCAGGGGTTGCTATAGTTTCACGTCCAACCTTCCTTCTTTGCCAGTTCTATACTACCGACTTAACACTAGGTTTAGGAGTGCGTTGGCCACGGAGGATTGAACCCCCCTGAACCAGGTGAGGCATGGTTGGCTAGCCTCCTACCTCTGAATCGCCGACTCACGATGTGATATATCAATAGAAAAGTTGAAATCCCGAAGATTATTATCAATGAAAGAAATTATGTTAGCTCACAAGTGTTAGGTAGGCAAATTAATTACCGAACAATGAATGGATCTTGGGTTCGAACCATGCTGTTCGCCTACAAGTATTTGGAGGCAACCAAGCCGTATCAGTAGCTTTTATACAACATGAGATATATATATATATATATATATATGCCTAACTACCAGATGGTCGGTTACAAGATTTCATCATGAGCTGACATCGGTTAGAAAATTATTGAAAAACCTACCAAGCAGTACAGGTCAGCTGTCTCGTCCTACGTTTTTGAAACTCTTCATCAGTACGTACCTACTGGCAGAGTTCGAATCCAAGAGCTTTCAGTTACACAAGACAAGGTCATAAGCTCGCACCCAGTCCAATGGGCAGTCCATTAAATATTCCAACTTTTGCCAATTCACTCATGATTATAGCGTGACTGGCACTAGCCAATGTCATCTGTGGCGAGTATATCTATCCTCATACCTGACCTGTTATACCCCACTGGTCACGACTTCTCACTAGAATCCAGATAAAACTGCCTTTCTGATGAAGAGAGTCCAAGACTAGGAGGAAAAATCTTCCTGACACTACTGTCAGGTTTTTCAGTGGTTCTCTAACTGATAACAGGCTCATGAAAGTATTTATTTTATTTTATTTTTTATTTTTGATTTGCAGCTTGATTCCACACTGTATTTTTGGTACAAGTATGGAATTTTCAGCGTGGATATCGGTAGTCCGAATTTCGCAGGCCGACCATAGATATCAGTTGTGCGTCGGCGTGCGCTCGAACCCCGAACCATATGCATGGTCGGCGAGAGTCCTAACCACTGTGCCCCCCCCCTATCTGTTATCATCACAAAGACTTTAACAAATTTCTTTGGATGTCCCTTCTCGTATATAATAAGTTTTCTATTTTCATTATTTCATGGTTAAGATTGCCAGTTGTGCAGGTTTTTCTGACATGAAACAACACCAAGGTACTGATGAGATTCCGTCTGTATGCAAGGGGAACAAATGCCTTGAAATATGTATGTATTGATGTCTTTCCGGAACATACCTAGCTTAGTACTGCCATTTCGCTTTCTTGAATTGCCAAGACATCAATAAAGAGATACACTGTTGTCGTATTCTGTGGCGTATGTGAACTCAGTTTGTGGATGAGCCAACCTTATTTGAGACTTTTAAGAAAAGGACCTCGGTATCGATTAGTCAGGAGTTCCATATTATTGTCACACTGTGTATACGGATCACAAGATTGATAAAAAAAAAATTCCGCCTTCACAATTCTATGTAGGATGCCATCTCAATTCCCTGAGTTTGTAATTTTCTTCAACTGCTAAGCATAACTTGGGCAGTTGTCATAGAATCATTTCAACCTAATCTCTTGTTATGTACCCGTCGAGTAATCAGTATTCCTGACGCAAGAAAGGCGGAAATCAGAAAACCACCAGGTTCACGATGATATTTGTATTTTCCAGACAAGGGAAATCAATGTCACACAAGTGTATGAGCGAATGTTCAAAAAACGAACGAATCAATAGCCAGTCTTAACATGATTGGTTGTAATGTCATGTCTGACAACAAGGTCATACATTGTTTATTTAGTTAGTGGACAGACAAAAGCATATTGTCAGTTATAATGGAATATCGATCCATATACATACACACAGCAAAATATAATAGACTGTCAACAACAAAACACACACACATCATGTGGATACATATCATCTATGTATTGAGAAGTTTGTTCAATCCTCTCCTTCGCATCGCCTTCAACCTCAACCCAAAATATTTATCTTTCCCAGTGACAGAGGGAGGATAACCGTAAATATTGTTTTTATTTATACTGCTAACTGCATAATCAACGGTATATTGATTGCGCAATTATAGTTAGCATATTTCAATCACTTTTTCACAATTTATGATTATTATTATTATTATTATTCTGCTTACATTTTCCGTGATTCTATTTGATTCTGCTGATTGATCCACATTGTTTTTTAAATTGTCTAGGATAGAAACAAAATTTAATATTACCTAATTGTATGTGTGAGTGAGGCAAAAAGAATAGTGGTAATACGGAAGAATAGTAGAGTTTTATTGGATATCAAAAATCACAAAGAGTGAATGCATCTGTACCAGCAGCCATTCACAACTACTTTGAGCCATGTCACTATTTGTCTCCAGTCATCATTGGTTTTCTTTTTTTTTTTTTTACCATCTCGAGGACACCAACAAAGAGGTCTACACCTTCCTGTTTTGCTGGCCGTCTTGAACTGACTGTTTTGGATTTCAGTGATTTATGAAGCGATGTTTTGGTTTGACCACCACTACCGATCTTTTCCAACCTGATCAATTCTATGTCAGCTAATATATCCCCGTTGAGGAAGATGGCGGCTAGAGATGATGCATGCGTAACACATGTCCTAACCATGTCAATCGATGTAATTTCACTACCTCGTCGATTGATTTACCCCCTCACACCCCCCCACCTACCTAGCGCACTCGACAAAAGCCTACCTTCAATATTATTCGACCTATTATACTACTTAACACAGGAAACAGAGGACAGGTACCTATGATCAAAGACAGCTAGCTAGCCCGTTTCATGTCTTCCACTTTAGGAAAGGCCTGATTGTAGGTGATGGCATGTTCCAATACATGAGATCACTGGGTCACAAAATGTACTTCTGATCATCTTACAATTGGTTTTCAACTAGATATCGTGAATGTCGTGAAGGAGATAAAATAGATATATCACTTAATAGAAGAGTTTGTGCTTCATCAGCTCAAAGACCATTTTGTGTGTCACAGGATATACTTCCATCAGTTAATATTTTAACTTAAAAATATCGTACTAAAGGGAAAATATCATGCAATAAACTCTTGAATTGAATTTTTGATTTTCCTGTCGATTGATTGGACCGAAGTGCTCGGTCTCAGGTTGACATGTCGGCTTCTTGTGCAGATGCTTCGACGATGTCTGGAGATTTGATTTGTATACAATTGGCGGGGATGGTGGCTAGCAGTGGAATCCAGGATAAAGCGCATTTCGTCCTATTTGGGACTCGTCAGCTGGATGTACCTGCATTTCTCGTGGCCCAAGTGGTCTAGTGGATAACTCTTTGGCGTTTGAAACTATGGGTACTGAGTTCGAGCCTCGGTGGAAACATCATCACTCACTGAGAAATGCAGGTACATCCAGCTGACGAGTCCCAAATAGGACGAAATGCGCTTTATCCTGGATTCCACTGCTAGCCACCATCCACCAATTGTATACAATGCAATAAACTCCTGAAACTTCTGTGCACACGAAGAGACAGTACTTGAAACAAAAACAAAGTGACAATAAATACACATCCTAAAATGTTTTACTATTTCTTTTTTAATCGATTTGTGAGTTGTAATGTAAAGAGATGTGTAAATGTACTACTTATATTTGTCTCTATTCGTTTGCTCTAATGCCTTATGATGATTTCTCTGTGTGATCCGATCATTGTTTTACTCTCTTTCACTTTATATCATTTCAGTCGTCTGGTTTAACTAATTCTAGTCTTGTATGGGCTTATCATTCTGATTCACAAGAAGAGTTGTTATCACGTTTACCAATTGCTGCTGCGACAACAACAACTACTACTAATACTACTACAGGCGGTTTCAGTAGTATAGATGCTTTAGAGCTAAATTGGCCTGATTTTAAACGATATGGTTGTGGTTGGTGGATTCGAAGTGAAAGTTTGCTAATCCGATGTGCTGAAAAGGTAAATATATGCTTGGTTCTTATTTTTGCTTTGTTGTTCCCTTATGTCTTTTAATGAGAGTTAAAACATTTCTTTCCCTACATGGCTAGTTCAAATTTACCCGTAAAGATTGCATGGAATAATTCCAAGTCCTATCTTCGGTGCAGACTGAATTCTATCAGTCAGGCAACAATTCATAGTGCACCATGATGTCGAGCAGGGCACCTAGTGGCGCATGGTGGCCACATTTCAGGCTTGACTGACTGATGGAATTCAGTCTGCACCGAAGATAGGCGACTAGACACATTACACTAGTTACTGACTAGTGTCCAATCAAAAAGATATATCCAGTACAATCCTATAGGAGGTTGATCGGGAGCCTGAATAGCTGCTCAGTTGTATACATCTCTGACTGCAGGCGGTCACTGGGTGACGTGGGTTTGAATCTCAGACACAGGGGATATGAGTTCCTTCAAGGTTGCAGATTACGCCTTGCTGACTGACTGACTGACTGGTGAGTGCCAACTAGCACGAAACCTAGGTCAGACTGGGCTTCCTGTGGCCGATTGCCTCCAACCATCTAATACCAACAATTCCAAGTTTTTGTTTAATCATTACTAGAGATCTTTTCCAACCTGACCAATCCTATGTCAGTTAACATTTCCTGTCAAGGAAGCTGATTGCAAGGCGTTATGCGTAACACATATTCTAACCATTTGTCAATACAATGTAACTTCACAATGTATTACTCGTTGAATAACAACCCACCAAAATTTATTCAAAAATTTACGAAGAACAATAGAAAAACTAAGACTGGTAATAAAAGTGACGAAAATAATATAGAGTTCAAAACGTCTGTAGCAGTACTACCGTAACAACAGATGACAAGGAACAGGCAACAGCTTGTTTATTGAGAAAATCAAGAGGTATTTATAGATTTTTTTTTTTGACCATTATTATTATTAGCGTTATTGTTAGCAGAGAGGCAACCTCTTCTGATTGGCTGTTTTCCTGCTGAAGGTTATTCTGTCATCTCTTTTGTGGCCGTTTCTCAGAAAGTCAAGTCAGATATATTTGTGAATCGTATTTCCACACTTTAACGCCTCCGTGACTGGCTGATGATGATGTTTTCAAGGTTAAGTTTTGTTATTGTTCTTTTTCCTCATGACCATGATTCGGGATGTGAACATTGACGTAAATTATTGTCTACAATTTTGGCTTGTAGACAGCTCTCACCATACTACTTACTACCTTATAAAAAAGGAACGATAGAGGCCCTACGTAAATTTCTCAATGAGGCTGGAATTAAGGTGGTATTTAAACCAACCAACCAAACAACTCTCCAAGAGATAATCTTTTTCGATTGAAGTACTCAATAAATCCAATTAAGAAAAATAATATAATTTACTAAATGCCCATGTAATTCTCACTGTTAGTGAGATTAATCATGCATAGGTCAAACTAGGTGTTGATCCGGGGTCAATTAGATTATGAGAACGTGATTGACCCAGCTAAGTTAAATGACCTAATATAAAACCCAGTCATTGGATTGTATTGCATTACATGCACTTGCATGTAATCACACAAAAGGATGATTGGGACAGAGTGAAAGTATTCAAAAGTAATACAGTTAGATGGATAGAGGGGTTGATTAGTGAGTCTTTTGTTTATCGATTCAACACGATGCACATGTGCAATCGAAATGATGCAACACGTATACCGGAGATATGGATAGTGGCAACAGACAACAAGGGGAAGGTGGAGAGAGAGAGTGTGTGTGTGTGTGTGTGAGACAGAGAGAGTGACTGTATATGTATAGGACAAATTGTGAAGCCATGTAGCTAAATTGAGTTTCAATAATTTATGCTTGAGACGTCATCCAGTTGTTAATACTACGTCAACACTATGCGATATTTCAGGTAAACTTATCTAATTTGGAGTTACATTCTACCACCAAAGTGCTGAAGTTCTACACTTACATCAGTAATCTCACAACCTCGTCGACTGGCTTCCCCCTCCCCCACTATGTAACCTCAAAGACACTTAGCTTTTTCATATCTTCCACTTTCAATGGTTATATCTCGCTTACAGTCATAAAGGCGGACTGAGCGAAGTGTTGCTGAACAGTACCCACGTTCATTGATCGATAGTCAGCGGATATCACGTCTAGGTGAGAGATGATGCAGGTTGGCGAATCCCACACCACCTTTTTATATGCATGTTGAGATTTCATCAGTGATCAACCAGCTGGGATTGATGTGGCTTCCCAAATGTGTGAAGTAGTCAACACTCTCGCTCCACCAACCACTTCACTCCTGTCTATCTTTAAGCTAGAAGTCGACGTATTCCAGTCGTCTAGTATCATCTTTCATCTGACAGGAGCAAATCGCATTCCAAGCATTCGAAAATCACTGATCCTTGAGGTGTGTTCACAAGACTCCGCATTTTGATGGTATTAGATAGTTGGAAGCAATCGGCCACAGGAAGCCCAGTCTGACCTAGGTTTCGTGCTAGTTGGCATTCACCAGTCAGCAAGGCGTATCTCCAACCTTGAAGGAACTCATATCCCCTGTGTCTGAGATTCGAACCCACATCACCATTTCTGCAGTCAGAGACGTTACCATTGAGTCTTGCTGACGAGTGCCAACCAGCAGGAAACCTAGGTCTAAGGCTTTTCTACTGATTGCTTCCAACTATCTAATATCATCAAATCAATGTACACCGTGATAGCTAGCAAACCTGACTGACAGAATTCAGTCTGCTCCAAAGAAACAACCACACACGTCAGACTGGTTACTAGTATCCAATCAGAAAGTAATTCACATTTTAAGTCAGTGTCTTCACGTAGTGTGTGAATCTAACACAATTGTTAATCAAAGTATGTCCAAAACTTCACTATTTCAAAAGTGAATAATTTCTTGTTTATTTTTAAGTGTGAATCATTAAGTCCCACCAACGACAATGGTTGGGATCGCGCTAAATTACGAATTAGTAGAAGTTAGAATTCACGAGCCATTGAATCGGGTCCCAGTGGCTGAATGGTATACCAGCCAGCTTGCCTTGTAACCAGAAGGTCCCGGGTTCGAATCCCAGTGGGTGCGTACTGCCGATGATTCCCAAACTAGGATGAAACAGCAGCTGTCCAGTACTGCAGTGCTGGTTTTCAATGGTTCTCTAACTGATATCAATCCGTGATCAACCCGTAAAACACAACTAATCATTAAGTTGTCGAATCCTTTAATCTTGCTTTATTTTATCTTGTAGATGGCGCGTACCGCATTTCAAACCACTAAAGATCCAATGGATGCTGCCGTGTTCTACTTAGCTATGCGTAAAGCTAAAATGGTAGCTGCACTATTCAAGTAAGCTTGCATGCACACACATGCACGACATATATATTTTCTGACACCATCCACAATTTAAACATGTCCAACATGTAATTAAATGACGCTTGGAAATGTTGTTTTTCTTACCAGCATGGTTAGTTTCCTCTCCTCTTTTTGTTATTGTGTGAAGCTTTGAGAAAGTCGAAATAGGTAATTTGGTTCACCTTTTGTAGGTGAAGTACAAGCCTCCTAAATAAGCATTGTTGAAATGACTCAAAATTGAGTTATGACACCGATATTTATCATAGAAAATAAAAGTCTCATTGACTGGAGGACTTCATCATCAGCTAACATCAGTTAGAGAACTATTGGAAAACCTGCCAGGGAGTACTGGAAAGCTATTTTGAGACTCTTCACCACAGGGGTTTGAACTTAGCACTTTCTCGTTACAAGGCTATCTCGTAGACCATTATGCCACTGGGGCCCGCCCGATCCAATAGCTCATGATCCCTAGCTTCTACCAATTCACGACATAGCGCGGGACCAGTGGCTCAATGGTCTACAAGCTCGCTAGCACTGTAATCAGGTGCTAGGTAGGCTCAAACCCCTGTGGAGAGTGCGTACTGCTGAAGAATTCTAAACTACTAGGTTGAAGAAACGGCTGCTCAATATTCCCAGGTTTTCCGATGCTTCTGTAACTGATGTCAGCTCATGATAAAACCCTTCAATCACTCAAATACATCGCTACAAAACCAATACTTGAAAATAAGGGTTTTCACCTATGGAATACACCTGAGTTTGGTGTCTGAAACGATGGTTGCAAGCTGTGAGTCTCAGTGGGGAAACACTAGCACTTACTGAGGCTTGTAGGTAGATTTTAATTGACAAGTGCCATATGCAACAAACCTCTCATCAGGGATTTGACTGTCAGTTGCTATCAACCAGCAATAACTTCTCGTTAATCCTTAAATCATCATTGAAGCGTTTGGTACCAGGTGTTGACATGTTAACAGACACTGAGCATTTCAATCAAGCAGCAATCATACAACCGGTTCCTTTGATTACTTTTGACGATGACCATCCATGGTTTGGTGTTTACAGTTTCTCTTTGCATATAGTATTGATATATGCCTATTCTCACTGGAGATGTTCGGAGACCATCGCCACTTACACAGAACTGTGTATAAATGGTTTTATATTATAAAGTAATCAGTTCTAAAGTACGATGGTGTGTGTATATAGACATGGTGGAAATCGTTTTTCAGTAATTGGTTTTTCTCTCTGGATACTGGCTTGCGTTCGATGGCATCATCGTGTTAGTGAGTAATTCTGAGGTTCAGCGGCGTGTGTTTGAACACAGTGGAGATCACCACCCATTGAGTGTCGTCATTTGGAAACAACGGCTCCGGTGGTTTGGACATGTGCTGCGAATTTCATCCCAGAGGCTTCCGTACAGGTCGCTGTTCGCTAGCCAGCCCTAGGACGGGATGGAAAAGGCGGAGGAGTGGTCAGTCCATGACGTGGCGTCGTGGGATGAAGGATTTTTGTGCTAGATTAGCGTCGGTTGGTGTGTCACGACTCTTTCGTGGTTGGGGTCCGCTTGATAGCTCGAATCGTTATTGAATATGGCCAAGAATCGTGATCTTCAATGGCGAACGTGTTGCAATTTCCTTCTTTCTTCTCTTCTTGATGATAGTTAACGAATACTGTTTTAACTTGTTAAGCATGACTGTTTTCCTTCCAGATGAAGTTCTTTATCTGTTGTCTACTTATATTTTTTACTTTTGATCTATGTTGTTTTATTATTATTGCGTGGCACATCTTTCTCAGTGCCATATTGTACCAAGTTTCTTCTGCGTTTAAATAGAAATAAATAAAAATAATGGCTTTCATGTCTTGGACATGTATTATGCTTGAATTCCCAGCGGCTCCCATACTGCTCACTATTTGCTGTAGCCCTTCGAATGATTGGAAGAAATGGAGTAGTGTTTAGCTCATAACAACAACGTTACCCTGTGACATAAAGGATAATTGTGTTAGATTGGAACCTGCTGATGAATCACAACTTTCTCGGTAGATGTTCAAGTGTTGGTTTGTAGGGATTTGATTGATTTCAGGATTTCATCATGAGCTGACATTAGTTAGAGAACCATTGGAGTTTGAAGGATAGGTTAGGACTCTCGCTGTCCATGCACATGGTCTAAGGTTCGATCCCCTGCCGACGCACACCTGATATCTATAGTCGGCCTGCAAAATTTGGGCTACCAGTATCACATGCTGAAAATTTCATACACCTTGCTGACCTGTTTGTCTGCCAAGTAGCACGAAATCTAAGTTAGACTGGGGGGCTTCCTACCTATTGTCTTCAACCATCTAACATCAACTATTCAAAGTGTAATCATGATGATAGCGAGCCACCTAGTGCCGTGTTGGCCAGATTGCAAACTTGACTGATTGATAGAATTCAGTCTGCACTGAACAAACAAAGGAGAAGAAGACACGTATTACACTAGTTGCCAAATAGTGTCCAGTTAGATTTTCTATTACTTTATGATTGATTCACTCGACCTTTCATTTCATCGATGTTTCTATTTTTCTATTAACATGTAAAATATCTCCTCGAGTAATCACATTATTTAAAAATGTATGTACTCATCACATCACGCTTTTTAAAAAAAATTTAATTAGAATTATGCAAATTTATTTTAAGATTTACATAACATTTTTTTCGATATTAGAGTGCAGTTCAACAAAGTAACTGAAAGTTATAATAAGTATGCAAGATAATCAGTACATCCAAACAGTTGAACCATGTGCTTTGCGCTGTCTAAATACAAAGTACTGTCGTCAGATTGTCAGGAGCCTGTACCTACACTCCCCCTTGAAGGTGCACCGCATGAAGTTGTTGATAAGTTCGTGTATATAGTTAGTTGTGTGAGTGATGTTGGTATGGGAGACGGGGTTTCTAACTGTATGGTGAAAGCTAGGGTAGCAGTCAAAGATCGGGTGTACAATGCTTCGATGCGCGCAACTACGGTGTACGCCGTTGAAACTTGACCTCTCCCAGATGAGAATGTGTGAGGCGACTCTGCATATTCCATCATCGCAATCTCTGTAGAATTGATTGGGTCTAATGGGATCATTTTCTGAGTAATTCTGGGGTCCGGCAGCGTGGAAGTCACCATCCACTGAGTGTCGTCATCTAGAAATTTCCACCTTATTGGTTTGTCGGTGAACACATGCTATGAATGTCATCCCAGAGGCTTCCGTACCGTTCTGTGTTCGTCAAACCTGCGACTGGATGGGAAAAGCAGAGACATGGTGTCAGCCTTATGACCTAGAGTAGCATTGATTGGTACATAACGGCTCCCTGGTTGGTATACCAAAGATAGTTAAGATCGGTGGCTCAAAATCGCAGTGAATGACAAGCAAGCTGCCAGTTTCCTTCTAACCCCCCCCCTTAGTGACAGTAATACGACGAATGATGTTTGCGAAGATAGATCCACTGTTTGTGACTTATAATATTCAATAAAACTCTATTGTTTTTCGTTATTACTATTCTTTTTGCCTCATATCTCTGTTTATTATCCGTGTTTTACTTTTTTTTTACTTTCTTCTCTTGCTTTGTGTGCTACATGGAATGTATCGCCACTCGAACTGTTGCACACTGGTGCAAAGTGTTCTGTGTTGTAACCTCTTAGACTACTTGATTCTATTAAGCAGGTAACCAGGAAAGCAAACATGTTTTTCATAAACTGTTATTTCTTATCTTACTTTCTTCTTTTCCCCTCTTTTTTTATCAGAACTACTGGAAATAAAACATTGGAGAATTTCTTCCGTTCAGATTTTACACCTGGTCAACCAGCCTGTCGACAGGCAAAGTTGAATGCCTTTCGTCTACTTAGTCAGCATAAATATCTTCAAGCGGCTGGATTATTTCTGTTAGCTGGTTGTCTAGAAGATGCTGTACGCGTGTGTTTAGATACTTTGAAGGACTTACAATTAGGTGTTCTGATAGTACGGTATGTTATTTGAGTTTTTAGTACCTTTATTATTATAATATTGTTATTATTATCATTAGTTTTTTTTAATGCTTCTGCTATTGATATGATGGAGGAGATTTGTAGCTCAGGTGGATGCTTTTCATGTAGTTGTGTTCGACTATCGACCAAAGGGCGGGTGTACTGCTCATCAGTCCGCTCCGTCCTCCTTTATGGTTGTGAGACCTGGCCACTGAGAGTGGAAGACATGAAAAGACTAGCTGTGTTTGATCATAGGTGCCTGCGTTCTATTTCCTGTGTAAAGTGGCATAATAAGGTGAGCAACATTGAGGTTAGGCGTAGAGTTCTAGGTAAACAGGGGAAATCAATCGACGAAGTCGTGAAGTTACAAAGACTGAGATGGTTAAGACATGTGTTACGTGTGCCTAATCATTGCCTCCCTCGACGAGCAATGTTAGCGGATATAGGGTCAGTCTGGAAAAAAGCTAGACAGCGGCGGTCAAACAAAAACTTGGCTTCACCAGTCAATGAAATCCACAACAGTTGGTCGAAGCCACGTAGGAAGGTGTAGACTTCCTAACTGGTTGGGATCCTCGGGACGGTAAAAATCTATGGTTGGAAACAATTGGTGACATGGCTCAAAATCGTTCTCAGTGGCCAGGGCAGATGCATCCACTCCTTGTGACTTATGATCTCCAATGAAACTGTTTTGTTCTTCGTTATTACTCCTCCTTTGTCTCACACCTCTGCTCACTGTTTCTATTATGCTTTTCTTGTACTTTCTTCTCTTGCTTCGCGTGCTACACGGAGTGTGGCGACTTGAACTTCCGCACATTTGTGCAAAGTTCTATGTCGAAAACAGAGAGACAGACAGACAGTTGTGTCGTCTGAGCTGGAGTATCCGCTGAAAATGTTTGCCTAGTAGGGCAATGATAGCTTCGCAAATAAACCATCCAGCGCAGTAAACACAATTACATCAAAAACTTCTCCTATTGAACAATGGGTTATGCTCGATGATGAAGCTCAGCCCTACCTCATGACTGTTTGTCAGAATTCGTCTTAGTAGTCTCAACTAAACACACCTGTCAAGTTTGACCACATACTGATATCAGTTCTAGAACCATTACAAATGAATAGGGAGTACTGCGCAAAGCTTTTTCATTCTAGTTCAGGACTCTTCACCAGTTCGCACCCGCGACCTTATGGCCAAAAGTCAAGGTCGTACACCATTCACTGCCACCCTACTTCCCAATGGCCATTGCATGAATTTTAAACTTCCACCAAGTTGTGAATTTAGCGCGACTGGCACCAGCCATCAATATCATCACTGAAGAGTGTTTGTCCCCATTTTTTCAACCAGATGAAACCTGCTGGTCATGACTTCTCACTAGAAGCATACCGTTTTCCCCACTGAATTTATCTCAAATGGAAACAAAAGGGCGAATTTCTTGTTGAAGAAACACCCAAAGCAGAATGAGTATTAGTGTTGCATTATATTCGCCCATTGTACTACAACTCCTTGCGGCCAGTCATACAGTGGCTAGGACTCTCGCCGACCATGCACATGGTCAGGGGTTCGAGCCCTCGACGACGCACATCTGATATCTATGGTCTGCCTGCGAAATTTGGGCTACCGATATCCAAGCAGAAAATTCCATACTTGTACCAAAAATACAGTGTGGAATCAAGCTGTAATCAAAAATAAAAAATAAAAAAATAAATAAAAAAAATACACGCATAGCCTGTTTGAAGCTGTTTTCAGAATTCCGGCCATATGAAAACCTTACCTCTTCAGCTACGGGGGCTGATTCGAGACAAGTTGGAATGTACAATTTCAGAGATCTATCTTTAGCCCCCCCCTCCCCCATCCTCTTCCGTACAGCATAACTAACTTGCTAGTCATCTGAAGGAAACAGCTTTCAGCCGACTATCAATATCCTATCATTATATTTGGCATGAAAAGACGAGATGTGCAGGAATATTCCTTCCGGTCAGTGTAGCTTATTAAGCCACTGTGATAGGCATTACGGCAAAATACTCAGTGCATATATATATAGCGTATACTTTTGACAGTCAACACTCATACTTTGATCATGTTATCATTCATCAATATTCCTTAAGATATGTCAATTCTACGGTGTGCTTCTAAATTCTAACTTTTGGAATCAGGTGACTTCAGTCAATTGAGCACTAATCATTTCGTATGCAGTTGGATATCTCTTGGACAATTGACAGAATGTTGTACCTCAACAGTCACAGCTTCTCGCTACAGTGTCAGGATCTCCATATCAAAGGTTGATTAGTCAATCTTCAGAACTGTGCGCGTCAGTTGTTCCAATGCTAACCCAGTCCTAGGATCGATACCTGATCCATCCACTCTAAGTATTCACCGAGTTGAAAAGAAGATAGTAGGCTAGAGCGGTGGCTGGTTAAGCTTATGGCAAGCAATGCCACGTATCCTGAAAATTCAGAAGGTGTTGAAGCCCTTATATTTCACTAGGGAGGCAAGGAATAAAGGTGAAGATTTAAAGTTTGGAATTTGGAAGAGTTTGTTTAATATGTAAGGATATATTACGTTGTCAATCCATACTCATTTTCCATATCGGAGTGGAATAATACTTACTCACCGACAGTATCGGTGAATATTGTCTTGAACTGAAAGAGGTTAAAGTTTAATATAGATCGTTGAACTCTTTACTCAAAAGTTGGATGGTAAAATTGCTCCCTCCAAAACACTATGGAGTGCCTTTAATCTTTATCAACGTAATTCACCAACTATATATATAATGACAATGCTACATTTCAAGTAAATCTACAACAGAAAGCTGAGAAAAACCTTTGAAGTGATAACAGGATTAGGACAAGACTGACTACTATTATCGATAACATTCTTAATTGTGGTGGACTGGAAATTATGCATCAGACTGTGAGGAGCAAGAAGACAGGAACTGGACTTCTCAGACTATTTATGTTCATTGTCACATAAATTTGAATACTTACAAGTGAAACTAATAGGTGGCGAGAAGAGATATGCAGTAAAGACAGGACTTCAGGTGAACATAGAGAAGACAGAGTTGATGCAGATAACCAACCAACCAACCAGGCAGCACGTCGTTTCAACTACAGGCGATCGGTACAGATATATAGATGTCAAAAACCAGAATTAGAAGGACGAGACAAACCACCTTCATCATTCAGCATAAAGAACAACATTCGGATTTTCAACGCCAATGCTAAGCCAATCACTTCTTCTCTTTTGTATGATTTAGAAACTTGACCATTCGCATTGTGAATAACATTTCCAACAGGCTACACTTCAGAATTGCATCAACAGTCTTTCCTCATTGACTCCATACTAAAGATCAGATGAGTGGTCCGAAAAAACATTCAGGAACAAGAAACTGTGGGATCTAGTAAATCAAGGACCTATTGTGGTGAGAGCAGGCTGCTAGCCGATTGGTTGACACTAATCTACGTTAATTTCCAGGTCACTAATATGGGCCGTGAGAAAATATGAACAAGGCTGTTTCAACAACCAATCACAGCAAACTTAAATGTGGACAAATATGATTCGCAAATAGATGGCTCTACTTTCCGAGAAATATCGAAAACAACCAATCATAAGACTGTGTTTGTCTGCTTAACTTCTGAGAAACAACCAATCAGAAGACTGCCTTTTTCTGCTTGCATAAGCCTTATTAATGCACATAAAATATATATAAATACGTGTTGATTTTCGTAATAAAACGATCTGTTGCCAGCCCTTGTCTTCTGTTGTTACACTATTACTCAAACAACAAATATACGTAGACAGATGTGACACACGTTGAGACATGGAGCAGTTCGTATGTGAAGGGAGGAGATGAAAGGGATTAGTAAAACTAGTAATATCATGATTCTTTAGGATTACTACGCTACATTTACTTAGTTACAAAAAAAAACTCATGTTTCTGTGGAATTTCTTGCCAAGAGTTTGTGGAAATCACTGTAATTATTTGCCTTTCAAACACACTGAATCTGTGGATATAATCTTGTTGACCGATAATACCTATAACCTATCTGCTTGCCATTTTGTGACTGTCTAACACTAATTAATATCTATCTAATATCTATAACCTGAAAGAAACAACCTCCTTTACCTACCCACCTGAGAAGCATCGTTGCAACTACAGCCGGACGGAACTGGCGAGAATATCAAAGCAAGGACTATCGGGAAAGCAAGACAATCTTTCATTACTCTCAAGTAAGTCTGTGTGGAGTTCAACAGCACTCAGCATCAAAAATAAGATCCAGGTTTTCAACTCCAATGTGACGTCAGTGTTACTTGCTATACGGATCAGAGATTTAGCCAGCGCGTCATAAAGAGCATCTCAAACAAACTATAGACCTTCATTAACAGCTGTCTTTGCTCAATACTCAGGATTTGATGGCCGGCCAGGAAAGATCAGCGACAAGGATCTCAGGCAACGGACGAACCAACCAGGAACTGATTATGCAACAAATAAGCAGGAAGAAATGGAGGTGGATTGGCCATACGCTGAGGAACCAACAAGTGACATCACTAGACAAGCCATTGCTCGAGTGGAACCCGAAAGGGAAGCGACGAGTTGGTCATCCAAGGATGACTTGGAGGAGGTCATGTGAAGAGGAGATGAAAGCATGTGGGCAGACGTGGAGCCAGGTGAAAACTTTAGCAGAGAACCGAATGCAATGGAGACGTTCGGCTGAAGCCCTATTTTCCTCTAAGAATTAAAGGAAATAATAATAATATAATACATGATTGTTTCGGCCTTGTTTTGTAGTTAGATCTTAAACGCGCACTGTTGATTATTCCCTGGATGAGACGAAACAATGCTGCAGTGTTCTTAAGTTATCATTCGAAGTTTCTTTTTTTATTGTCTGATTTTTGGTGTGTGAACTAAGCGTACTTCAAAATACCACTTTTGCCTTGCCTATTAAATTTTACGTGTATATATATTTTCTTCCATTTTAGACTGTATACATCATCGTCACCTGGAATATCAGGACATACAACAGTATCTGCTTATCATGATTTCCTTAGACAACATTTAATCAAACATGAGGATCCATTTTTAAGAAGTATGGCTTTTTGGAGTTTAGTAAGTTGATCATTGTGTTAATATCTTCATAGATCAATCAGAATAAACATGTATTCATCTTGAATTTATTATTCACGTAGAGATTAATAAAAAAAAAAGCTTTAGGGAGATACTGTTCATGGGAGTTTGTTTTGTCTGAGATTGGCAAATTCAGCTTCAACCGCAGCATCTTCCGTGCTAATCTATTCTGCGCAATCACTTTCAATTTTTTCTTCACGATTGCCCATAGTCTTCTTCTTTCCTCCTCATATTACTCCCTCCCTGGGGTTCACTCCCAACTCCTCGTTGCTGGTATTTCTGGCATGGGAGACATCAACTGGAGGCCTATTGATATAAGTAAAAAAAAAACTTGGCCACTGTGCTGGTAGAGCATAACTCCATTATGTATAAGGTTTTATTTTGAATGAAATCGCGGTCAAAGCGGTTAGGATTTCTGGCTCTCAGCCAGACGGCCCGGGTTCGACTCCCGGCGTGGAGGCGATATCAGGGCGTCGATGACACAGCGGTTAGGACTCTCGCTGACCATGCACATGGTCTGGGGTTTGATCGCCTGCCGATGCATACCTGATATCTATAGTCGGCCTTCAAAATTTAGGCTACCGATATCATATGCTGAAAATTTCATACTTGTATCAAAAATACTGTGTGGAATTAAGCTATAATCTAAAAAAAAATCATTCGAGTAGAACCAGAGTGGGAAACGATGATCAGGTTGCTAGCGCAAGGGCGACATGGAGGAGGAGATGAGAGATAATGGACAGTCATCGACTCAGAGGATGGCAGAAAGTAGAAAAGAGGGGAGATGTGTTATTGAAGCTTTATGTTCCACTTGTGGAACCCAAGGGAATAATAATCATAATATTAATGTGCTAAGAGTTACTGGCTGCAGACTGTTAATGACACTGATGTATTCAATCTTTCTCATCAACTGGGTCCTTCAAATCTTTTCACTGTTTACTTCGGGTTCACAAGTCACACGTAATCCTTGGAGACCAAACAGAAAATAATTATCGTATATTGGATATCGTATTCGTTCGTATTCGTTACTCATTACAGTAAATTGGTTGATAGTGACTAGCAGTTGTGGTGGAATCCACGATGCACATTTCATCCTATTTGAGACTTCAAGTTAAAGAATCATACGTCGTCGAAGCATCGACAGCACAGGAAGCCGATATTTCAACACTTGAGGTCAAGTACTTCAGTCCAATCAAATCAGTGATGCCTGTAGTCTGATTTGGTATAGGGTCCTAACGTTAAATGCTCCTATATGAAGTTGGCAATGTGGCTTTAAAAGGCTATCTGGGGTGTTTCTATGGCTCTCACCGTTGTTTGTGGTCACAGAGTAAAGTGGAGATGACTCACTAGCCTGCAGAATAGTACTAACTGTAGTAGAGAAGCAAGATGAAGAAGGTGTAACTGAGAATGATGTTCAGAAAGACTTCGTGTGCTTTTGGAAGTGTGTAGGCAGTTGTTACTACCCGGCTGCTCACATACTGTGGAAGTTGACTGATTCTTCGGGTACTCGAAACAGAAAGAGGGTTAGTGTTGTGTGACGGCAGAGCCCAGGGGACAGTTGCTTGAGGCCGGTCACACACGGCCTGTATGAACTGGTTTCTTGGTTTGGTTCCGTATTAGTAAACTTACCACCGGTTACGGACCACCGTAGGTAGGGTAAGTCGGGATGTACAATTTTTGGGGTCGGCCTTTTCTAACCCCCTCTCTCTCTCCAGAGTGGAGAGACAGCATAGCTGGCTGCGTGGTATGCTGGTTATACGAGGGAAACATCCCCTTCCTGCCGTTACATCTCTGTTCCCCAGCAGTACGACTCCGCCAACAGACCCCCAGGATATTGTAAGAAAGATTCTTGTACAGTGCCAGTAACTGCATTAAGTCGAATTGCTATCCTAACAACCTTCCTGGCATGATAGGACCTGCAGGAACATTGGTTCCAGCCAGTGTAGCTTGTTGGGTCATCGCGATGTGCAAGCCCGACCACCACGCCAAGGTAGCAGTTATCGGTTGGGTTAAATCAAGAGATCAATGAACAAAGACCGAATTAAATTAAACTTTTTTTAGCAGTTTTTATTTATTTTCCTTAATAATTTTTTGTTTTTTCAAAAATTATTTAGGGTGATCCATTAGCTGCTTTACAGACTTTACTGGAAGGTCCTGGAATCCTAGTGAATACTGATAATTCAGGTATTCCAGTCAAAAGAGACAGCATAGTCCAATCGGTTCAACAGAGTCCACAACATCCACGACATTTATCTGGTAATACTAATCTAACTCCTGGCACTGGTTCTTCTTCTTCTTCTTCAACAACAACAACACCAACAAAATCTGTCTGTCCAAGTGTCTTTAAATTCTACACCTATTTACAATCACATCCACTGGTTTTACGTCAACAACGTATAGAAGCAGCGAGTCTTATCGATTCTGGTACTGTATATCGTGTGAAGAGTTTAGAGAGACGTTTATACTTTCGAACTGCTCATCATTATTTTGTGTTGGGATGTCCAACATTAGCACTTGAAGTGCTTACGAAACTACCACCTCTTGAATTAGTGACTTTTTCATCAAATATGGATCCTATGCGTAGAATGTCAACTGGTGGTGGCGCTGTGACTACTCCATCTTCAACAACATCTAGACGTCAATCAGAAATATTGTCGGGACATGTTGTTGCCCAATCGGAAATTTCTACAAAGAAGGAAAGGTATGTGCCGCTATCTTTGGTGTTTTTGAATTGATCGAGCACTTTTTATTGTAATATTGTAACAAGAGAAGACAAGGAGCCAGGCAACAGCTCGTTTATTAAGGAAATCAACACATATTTATACATTTTCATGTACATTAATATAGATTATTGTTAGCAGACAAACACAGTTTTCTGTTTGGTTGTTTCCCTGTGAAAGTTAATCTTAAATCTCTTAGTGATTGTTTCTTGAATGTCAGATCATCTATCTGCTATATGTATCCGCCTACGCAAAGTGTGCTGTTGTTGGTTGTTGAATCAGTCTTTGTTCTTATTTTTCTCACGACCAATATTTGGAACATAAACATTGACGTAAATTACTGTCTACCAATTCTAGCTAGCAGACAGCTTTCACCATACTCGTCCCCCCCATCAAAGACTTGCGACTGAAGTTGGTTGGGTCTTCTTGGTTCTAGGGGCTTTATTCGTTTGCCTTGCTGTCTGGAATCTCAGCGCTCGCTGATGTTCACCTGTTTCTCTTTGTTTACCATTGCGATTGTATCTGTGTAACCCCATCTCAAAGTGACCATATGTAATCCTTCCCACTTTGGAAAGTGTTTGCCTGACCCTGTCGAACATTCGTCAGTATTTTGTCTTACACTTTTATGTGCTGCTTCATCTTTGTGGCTGTTTCTTGAAGGTCAGATCATTTATATGCTAACTGTAGCCGCCTACGCAAAGTCTGCCGTGATTGGTTGTTGAGTCAGTCTTTGTTCTTGTTTTCACATGATCAATATTTGGTAAGTAAGCATTGATGTAAATTACTGTCTGCCAATTCGGCTAGCAGACAGCTGTCACCACAATATTAGCAGGTATAGAAAAGAATAGGCGACACTTGTGGCCTAACAGAATATTTTACTTTTATGACTGACTGACTAACTAACTGGTTTCAACGTATAACTTTGCATAGAGATGCGCACTGTAGTTCGAGTTGCCACACTGCGTCTTTGTAACCCACAAAACGCGAGAGGAGAAAATAAAGAGAGATATTAAATAGAAATAATAAGCAAAATGAATGGTATAATATGGAAGAACAGTATAATTTTATTGGATATAACACACCACAAAGAGTGAATGCATCTGTGCCAGCGTTATGCGAGACGTCGTGAAAGGAACACAAAGACACACAATATGAAGTACAGAAGTGCCACTACACAGAGATCTATGCAAATGGTGCGTTGAAGATAAGGCATACAGAATTTGGCTTTGTGGAGATACCAATTTCCAAGTAAACATTCTTTTACCAAGTCTTCGTCTTCTATTGTTTCACTGTGAATTGAAAAAAAAACGAAACATTTCCAACAGTTGGTGTGATCGCTGGTAGTCATTTTGCTCGAAATATTAACAGAAGTTGGAATTCATAGGCGCTGGCCAATCGAGGAGTCAGATCCCAGTGACTTAATGTAGGAAGGATCTAAGAGTGATCACCTTGTAACCCAAATATCCTGGGTTCAAACCCCTGTGGTAGGTGTTTACTGTGCTCTAGAGGAGTTCCAAAGTAGGCTGACGTAACAGATGTGTGCAGTACTCCCTGACAGGTTTGTTCTCTAATTGTTCTCTAATTGATGCCTGCTCATGATGACAGAATATTGAATGGTATTAATTATCTAATTTTGCTTTCATATTTCTTTATCATTTGATCCGTAGTGTGGAAGAGGATGACGATAATCTGTTCACCTTGTCATATGATGATCCTATTCAAAAGTATGAATCAGCAAAATCACAAGATCAATTCACTCTTCAATGGAGTGATGATGATGAGGATAAGGAAGACGACAAGGATAATGGTCATAAGGATAAAATTGAAGGTGCTGTTGATAAGTCTACAAGAAATAATTCTATTTCTCAACAGCAACAGCAACAACAGACCACATCTCAATCACTGGATGATTTCACTATTGAAGGTGAGGAAAACCTTTAACCCCCTTGTTTTCCTAATTGTGTTTCTCTTCTTTGAGATATCTGAAGAAAGAAGGTGGTAAGGAATTTCCTAGTTGGTTGGGTTTTGTAATGAGATGGATGACCTGACTTACAGCGGTTACCTTGACAATGATCGTGTGGCTTGCATAATCGGAACGACATCCAAACAGCTACACTTGTTGGGACTAGTGTTTTTTCAGGTACCTGCGTACCTAAAATGCCGCCTGAAAGGTTGTTTAGATAGTTGATAGACCAGAAGCATGTTGAAGGGTTTATTGATAAATATGGATGTAAAAGCAGTATAGTGTTTTTTCTTCAGATGGTCAGCATGTAGTTGTGCTGTTTCTCTGTTCTAGAGAGGTTAGGGGATTTAGAAAAGGCGTATACCGAAAATTGTACATCCTACCTTACCTTTTGTTGGTTCGTAGTTGACGGTAAAGTGTTTATATGGATGCAACTTCGGAAATCACTCCAAACAGGCAATGGTTCCTCCAGGCTCTGTGATGACGTTTCATTTAACCCAAGAAGGAATCAACTTCCATGATGTGAGCATGTGGAAACATATTACCGCCCCCGACGCACACACACACACACACACACTTCCATAAGAGCACAAAACTTTCCTGACCATTACTCATCTTCACCACCTTAGTTATAAGCCGACATCAGCTAGGGGACCAAACACAACACATTATATGATCTACTTAATACCCGCTGAAGTGTTTACATTAAAAAATTGCGAATTAGATTTATGGTGTCTTGAGTTTACCCAAGTAGATAGCCAGAAGTTAATTGGTTTGAATGGATTCAGCCCTATGATCTGAGGCAAACTAGTGGCGTACTGCCGATGAGGAGGTCGACTCTTAAACGAGAGATACGGCCATCCTGTGGTGTTTAGGTCACTTCAATCTGGCTGGTTGGCTAGCATGATATGAGTGGTGTAGTACTCATCTCAATCAATCAATCAATCAATCAATCAATAGAATATAGTTTCATACAAATTTGTTTAACAATTCTCTATGGAGGTCCACTTCGATTTCTAAGTGTTGTTCACAATCTCACAGCCTCCGATTTCATGATATACCGATCTGTTAAGTAACTTAAATGGAATCTTCAGATATACTTCCTACTGTGGACTGATTGATTTACCAACATTGTAAATCTCTCTGACTGACTGACTGGTTGCAACGTATAACTTTTCACAGACGTGCAACTGTTCTGATTGCCACAATCCCTCCACGTACCACCCAAAGCCAGAGAAGACAGCAAAGAGAGATAATAAACAGAAAAGTCTGTCTGTCTGTTTTCGACATAGAACTTGCGCAGATGTGCGGCAGTTCAAGTCGCCACACTCTATGCAGCACACAACGCAAGAGAAGAAAGTAGAAGAAATGCATATTTGAGACAGTAGATAGGGATACGAGATGAAAGGAATGATAATATCAGAGAACAATACAGTTTCATTGGAAATCATAAGCCACAAGGATTGGATGCATCTGTGCTGTCATTGAGAACGATTTCGAGCCATATCATCGATTATCTCCAGCCATTGGTTTTTACCGTCCCGAGGATCCCAACCAGGAAGTCAACGCCTTCCTACGTGGCTTAAACTAACTGTTGTAGATTTCATTGAATGGTGAAGCCATGTTTTGGTTTGACCGCCGCTAACTGGCTCTTTTTCAGCCTGACCCTATATCAGCTAACATTTTATTTTATTTTGTTTTTGATTATAGCTTGATTCCACACCGTATTTTGGTACAAGTATGGAATTTTCAGCATGGATATCGGTGGCCCAAATTTTGCAGGCCGACCATAGATATCGGATGTGCGTCGGCAGGGGATCGAACCCCGAGCCATGTGCATGGTTGGTGAGAGTTCTAACCACTGTGCCCGTTGTCGAGGAAGGCGATGACTAGGCATACGTAACACATGTCCTAACCATCTCAGTCGATGTAGCTTCACAGATGGTTGACACGACGTATTCACTCACAGAAGCGTGAGTGAAAGGAAAAGAATAGTAGTAATATTGAAGAACAGTACATTTTTATTGCGTATATTATAAATCTCAAGGAGTAAATGCACCTGCACCAGCGATTGAAATCGATGTTTAGCTATATCAGCGATTGTCTCCAGCCTTCATTGGTTCTTACTATCGCGAGAACCACAGCCACAGTGACAGTCCACACGCCCCTTACGTTTCTGGCTGGCTTAAGCTAACTGTTGTGGGTTTCACTGACTAAATGAAGCCATGTTTTAGTTTAATCACCATTTGCTCTTTTCCAACCTGATCGAGCCGATGTCAGCTATCATTGCTCGGGTAATTACGAGGTCATCAGTATATAGTAATTTTTCTCATATTCTTATTACTCAAGAGAGATTCAGTCACCTATTTAAAATCCCGGTACTTTACATACATCACTTCATCTGAGTACTAATCAATTATTTCAGCTAAATAGTTCTTTTTTTTTAACTGTTCTGAATAGTCTGTCGATATGTGTATATTTATACTAAGATTGTTTCATTTCTTTTTTGACATTAACTAAATTGGTCAATGGATTCAATTTGTTTCATTATTAAAGTGCATCCTTGAAATTATAATTTCACTTTCCATTTGTGTACCCGTCACCGGCTTAACTAATAAGGTTTTCAGGCAGTTTGTCACAGATTCAAAAACCTCTTTTTCGTTTATCTAGTCTTGAAAACACGTGTGATGAACGCATGTATGTTTCATTAGTGATTGATCACAGGACAGATCAGTGTGTCGGGTCTTCTAGGTGTCTGGGTATGAGAGTGAGAGTACCTGCTGATGATAAAGTTGCTATAAATCAAGAATTTACAAGGGTTAGAATTCACAGGCTCATCATAAGATTCCATTCCTGTGGTTGGATGGCCCATCAGCTTGTCCTCGGTTTGAATTCCTTGTAGAATTTCAAACTAGGATGACACAGTTGTTGATATTTACACGGTTGAAGGCAATTGACAGGAAGCCACACCTGACACATAGGTTTCGTGCTAGTTGGCACTCACCAGTCAGTCAGTCAGTCAGTCAGCAAGGTGTATCTGCAATCACCTTGAAGGAACTCCTGTCCTCTGTCTGAGATTTGAACCTGCCTAATTGTAATATCAGCAATTCAAAGTGTACCATGATGGCGAGCAGCCACCTAGTGGCATTGGTGGCCACATTGCAATACCTGACTGATTGATAGAATTCAGTCTATACTAAACAGAGAACTAGACACATTACACTAGTTACACTGACTAGTGTCCAATCGTAGTATCCAGTACAATCCTACAAGAGGTCAATCGTCAGCCTGAATAGCTACTTAGTGGCAACTTCTTTGACTGCACGCGGCACTGGATGACGTGGATCTGAATTTCAGGATTGGAATGAATTCCTTCAAGGTGATTACAGATACGCCTTGCTGACTGGTAGAACTTCCTACCGATTGCCTCCAACCATTTAATATCACGGTAATTCAAAGTTTACCATGATAACGAGTCACCTTGTGGCATGGTGGCCACATTGCCAACTTTACTGATAGAATTCAGTCTGCACTGAACAAATAAAGGAGTAAACATATATTACGCTAGTTGCCAACTAGTGTCCAATCAAAAGTATGACAGAGTTGTCTAGTGCCCCTTGGTTTTCAATGGTTATCTATTAATATTATTATTATTTTCCTTTAATTCCTAGTGGAACATAGGGCTTCAGCCGAACGTCTCCATTGCGTTCGGTTCACTGCTAGAGTTTTCACTTGACTCCAGTTCTGTCCACATGTTTTCATCTCCTCTTCACATGACCTCCTCCAAGTCACCATCGCACTGGAGACCAACTCGCCGCTTCCCACTCGGGTTCCACTCGAACAATGGCCTGCCTAGTGATGTCACTTGATAGTTTCCTCAGAGTATAGCCTCCAATCCACCTCCATTTCTTCCTCTTTATTTGTTGCACAGTCGGTTGCTGGTTGGTTCGTTCATTGCCAGAGATCCCTTTCGCTGATCTTTTCTGATCTTGGGTAGTATTGAGCGAAGACAGCTGTTGATAAAGGTCTGAGGTGCTCTTTATGACGCGTCAAGTCTCTGATCCGTATAGCAAGTAACACTGACGTCACATTGGAGTTGGAAATCCGAATCTTATTTTTGATGCTGAGTAGTGCTGTTGACCTCCACATAGACTTCATAGTAATGAAAACTTGTCTTCCTCTTCCGATAAGCTAGGTTCTCTAAAATGATGTTAATCTGTGTGGAAACTTTCAACTGATCACAATCCCTGTGAACCGATACCCCGTATTTTTCTATAAGGTTGATTTCATATTTTCATTTCGTGTTTTCTTTCTTCATTTGCTAATAATAATAATAATAATAAAACTAATCTTACATCCTGTGTGTCTGTCTGTCTGTCTGTCTGTCTATAGGTCGAGGAGTTGTTGATTTAATAGCCAATCAACTGAAGTTTATTGCTTGTTTAAAAATACTGGCTGAAGAATTGAGTACACTGGCAGCTGGAGCTGAGGTAAGGTGGTTATATTGTCTTATGGTTACCTTTCTTTCTTTCTTTTTTATTCAAATATCTGTATGATATGCTTGAGTTCACTGTCTGAAGGAAGTAACTAGACTCTTATCTTATGGGTCTTGGGTTCGAATCCTTCTCAAGCACTCCCCGTTAAAGTTTGACCGGCCCACCGGTGTTACCATCTCTTGACAGTATGTTAACATACAGTACTGACTGACTGATTGATTGCTATTCAATGTGGAACTTTGCACCGATGTGCACCAGTTCCAGTTGCCATTCTTTCTTCATGTAGCACACATAAAGCAAGAGGACAGAGTAAAGAGAGACTTATCAAAGCAGAGATAATCAAAAGAAATATGAGCCAAGCGAATAGTAATATAGAAGAACAATATAGTTTCATTGGAAATCATAAGTCACAAGGAGTAGATGCATCTGCACCAACCATTGACAACGATTTTGAGTCATGTTACCAATTGTCTTCAGCATTTATTGGTGTTTACTGTCCCAAGGATCCTAACCAGACTGGTTGTCTATACCTCCCTCCTTGTCTGGTTGGCTTAAACTAACTTTTGTGGATTTCATACATTTATTCCCCTTAATGAATTTGAACAAAGCAAGAACTGCAGTTCTTGCAGAATGAAGTAGTAGGCAATGTTTTGGTTTGACCACTGTTGCCTCTTTTCCAACCTCATCTGTCCTATGTCAGTCAGCTAACATTGCCCATCGAGGAAGGTGATGGCTAGGATAGGTATGCATAACACATATCCTAACCAAGCAGCTCCATCGATGTTACTCCACAACTTCGTCGACTGAATTCCTTCCGTAACCTTCCTATTGTGGATTCCTTGGCATGCAACATAATCGTCCAACTGTTGAATGAGGTATATAATTGTCGGCGACATCCCGTAGTTGCGAATTCGTTTTCAAATCATCTCTCGATTGAAGCTGTCTGCTAAAGGCCTTTTCAAAGTCAATGAAGCTGACGTAGAAAGCTGACTGTCATAGACATCACACATGAAAACGAATAATTTCTTTATGCTGTTGTATGCAGTTGATTGAAAAGTCAATGAAACCAACAATGAGATGGTATACCATGTTATTCTGCCCATAGCAACGTTTTTCTTGCACTTTTCAAACTGGTTACTTAGTTTATTGAATATTTGTATTTTTAAAGAGAATCTCTTTAATAATAATAATAATAATAATAATAGCTTTTATTTTCTTACTGTTATAGTCTGAAGGTGTATCTCTTCGTCAACATGTATGGCAATGGCTTGAAAATGAATTGGCTGTTGTAAATTCTTTAACTGGTCTAAGCAAGTCTTCTACTTCCACACCTACTGGTGAAAGAATAACAGAACACAATACAAGTAAGTTCGTTAGTTAGTTATCGTTTAGATGATTGATATTAGTGAACAAGTCTAATTTTGATATGTATCCACATATATATATATATTTATGTGTGTGTGTATGTTGGTCTCTCTTTCTGTTTGCTCGCTTAGTCTGTGACTATTTCACTTTGATGAACTTGTCTCCTTTAACAATGTATATTCCCCTTATATTATATATAATATGAGTGTTTGTTGACAGTCCGTCGCATGGTGACATATATCCATATATGGTGGTTGTTGACATGTCTGCTATATTTTGCTATGTATATATGGATCGATACTCCATTATAATTAGCCATTCATATATATTTCGCTCTCACAATCTTGTGTGACACTTTTGGTGTGATACCACATATATTGATTCTCCTTGTGTTTGGAATATAGAAGTATCATCGCAAACCTAGTGGTCTTCTGATTTCTACGCCTTCTTGCGTCAGGACTATAAATTCTCGACCAGTACATAGCAATAATTTGGCAACGAGTACATAACAAATTCTAATTAAGAACACAATATTCAGCGAGGAGACTCACTCCAACAACGAATTTATTGTCAAGCTGTACAATCACATATATATATGGTTATTTTAAGAAATTATATCCAGTGTGGGAATTAGGTCAAAGGTGTGAATACATGAAATAATAATTATGTGAAATGCAATTGAAATATTTGTGATTATAATCCTAATTTAATGTCAAGTGCCAAATAATTAATGTCACATATAGAGAATAATACATAAGGTGTATAGATTTTGGAAAGGGATACATAATTATAAGATTAGTAGACGAATATAAAATGTTACATAACATGGTGTGAAATTAGATGAAACGGAATTCAATAGTGTAAAAATAAAAAATATAAAAATTAATAATTTTGAGTTTAGAATGACAAGTGGGTCAAGTGGAAAAGATTCAGAGTGAGAATAGTAATAATAATAATGATAATAATAATAGTTAAAATAATCGAAGTAACAAAAGTACATAGAATAAGTAAATAAACAAAATAAATAAATATCTATCCTTCTACAGCCAAGGCAGAAGTAGGGATTGTACATACTTCTATTGTACACAAACGTCTGGCTTAAAGTCATGAATTACCAAGGCCTCAGTTGTTTCTAGAAGTTTGTGCGAAGCTGTATTCTGGAACACCTGATCGACTCCTATCACCCGACCAACCGTGACCATGATTTTAAGATCATCTATCGAATCCATGCTAACTTAATGACCGCGTTTTCTTCGTTACAGACTTCTAAAGACATCTGAGGCCTCGGCAATTCATGACTTTAAACCACAAATATTTTAATTACATTTCATACTATTATTATTATTATTTCATGTATTCATACCTTTGACCTAATTCCTTCACCGGATATAATTTCTTTGAGTAAACCATATATATATACGGTTGTACAGCTGAATGATAAATTCGTTGAAAAGAGTCTCTTCGCTGAATATTTTATTCCCAATGCTACAATGGGAATTATTTAATCTCTAATTCCCTAGGGTGAAAAATGAAATTTTTACAGCGAAAGCTGATGTTAACAGGATTAGTTAAACTGATAGACACAAGAAGAGATGACTACTCTGGGTACTTTGTCTTATTATTAGTAAACGAAGGTAAACAAAGCGATGGATCATAATTCTTCTTCGGAGTACTGAGATCACGTTTTCTGGTCTGATGAATCCTACCGTTTTTGGCTCAACCACGTCTTCTATCAATTGTATTCGTATGTTTTCACACTTTACTGAGTATAACATAGTACTAATGCTATTGTGCATGGTAAAATAACTGGAGGAATTTACTGAAACAACAATTGTTCGCTCTAAATGCGTTCTTGCTCTGCATCCATTTCAATCAGATTCTGTAGTTAAACGAAAGCCAATTTTGGGTATCACTTTTTATTGATTTGATTTTGATATGCTCTGAATCTGGTGGCCTACTTAAATCACTTGGGGCGTCCATCCATTCATTCCATCCAATGAAATCTACACGAGGAATGGATGAAGATGTCATTGCTAGAATCTGAAAGCAAGAGTACACACCCTCGTCCCTCTGAAATCACTTCGAACATCTTCTGCTGTCATTCAGCATAAAACAACAAAATTCGAATTATCAGCACCTCATGTCAAGTCAGTGATTTCTTCTGTATGGGTCATCAGCTTGACGTTAGTGTCACAGAAAGCATTTCCAACAGATTACTGCTGTCTTGAAGAAACTCTGGAAATGAACCATTCAAGAACCTGTTGCTCAATAAATATGTAGAAGAAAATGGAGATAGATTAAGCACACCTTCAGGAGACAGTCGAATGATATCGCGCTCAATTCGGGTGGAATCATTCGAGTGGAATCTGAATGACAACCGATGATTGAGGCGCAGGTCTGAGGGTGATATGAAGGAGGAGGTCGTTCGAGGAGGAGATGAGAGGACTATGATCGATCGTCGGCTCCAGATAAAGAGGAACTCGGAAATTAGGATCAAATGGAGACGTGCTGTTGAAGCTCTATGTTCCACTCGGAACCCAAGAAAATAATAATATTTCATCGTGAACTGACGTCGGTAAGAGGACCACTGAAAAACCTGAGAGTAATGGAACAGCTGTTTCGTCCTGGCATTTTGGGACTCTTCAGCAAATAGACTAAATTGCTGCAAACCAACACTTGAATGTTTTCAAAGGAATGGATACTGAACAAAGAGTACACTGTTTTCGATAACTCCTTCATCATCAGGCTCTATAGTTATGCATGCATTATAGTGAATGAATGAATGAATTACTGTTATGAACAACAATAATGTTGCTGTTTAAATAACATCGAATCAATAATGCTGATAGATTACAGCTCAATGACATCAACATAAAATAACAAGCTGAATGTCAGAGAAAATTAGGAAAGATAATATTACAAATTCATGAATTTGTAGTCTCTACTGAAGGCCAGGGCAGTAGTAGTGGCTGGACTTGCTTCTTTTGCACACAGAGCACTGGTCGTTTCAGGCGAATCGCAATATCCTCTGCTGTTTGAAGCATGAGGTGCTTCGATGTTTTTGGCAATATATTTGGCACCCGGTATAATATAGAGAAGGATTTATCTACGCTGGCTTTGTGGCCGGTTTGCACCAGATGTTCCAACATCGAGCTGTTAATAGTTTTCACTACACCTTTACTTAGCCATAGTGGGAGATGTTCTCGAGTGAGCACGAAAAATCAAGTTCCTAGAGCAACGGCCTATAAAACTGGCTCCACAGGCACAGTTGAATTGGTAGATACAATTAGAAGTGGCTAGTCTAGTCTAGGTGTAACAACAGAAGACAAGGGCCAGGCAACAGATCGTTTTATTACGAAAATCAACGCGTATTTATATATATTTTCTGTACATTAATAAGGCTTATGCAAGCAGAAAAAGGCAGTCTTCTAATTGGTTGTTTCTCGGAAGACTAACACAGTCTCCTGATTGGTTGTTTTCGATATTTCTCGGAAAGTAGAGCCATTTATCTGCGAATCATATTTGCCCACGTTTAAGTCTGCTGTGATTGGTTGTTGAATCAGCCTAAATTAATATCTACCAATCAGCGTCGATTAATGTCTACCAATTGGCTAGCAGCCTGCTCTCGCCACATAGGTACTTCATCTTTCAGTCGAGGTAGCACCATCGGTCGTGTAGAGAATAAGACGTGTAGTTCGCCAGCATTAAAAGTTCTTTAAACTGATTTTTACTTAATTTCCTCATAATTATCTCACTTGCTATATCGCCCATGAATGGGCATTTTTAATCACTTGAATATTAATTTCATGTTCACTAGTGACTGGTCCTATGTTCAGGTAAATAGTAGTTACCTCGGTTTTAGTGAGAAGTTATGACCAGTGGGGCATAGCAGGTCAGGTATGAGGACAAGTACTCGCCAATAATGACATTCGCTAGTGGTCGTACCATATCACGAATTGTCAGAAGTTGGAATTCATAGACTGGGTCATTGAAAAGTCGTATCCCAGTGGCTGAATGAATGGTCTACGAGCTCGCCTTGTAACCAGAAGGTCGTGGGTCCGACCTCTAGCGCTGGGTGCGTACTGTGAAGAGTCGGAAACTAGATGTTGATGTTCCACTCAGAACCCAAGGATATAATAATGATCATATGTGATAAGCTTTTCTCTATTTCTGATTGTTTTAATCATCTAAGTGTGTGTCTCTGGGTCGCTGCAGGAACTCGCACACAGTTTCAGTATTTTACTGTAATACTGAGTACTTCTTGAACGGAAATGAGGAGGAAAACATCCTAGAGATTTGGATATCGCTTTAGATGGAATACGGCACACCGTCACATAAAATACACTGCCGAACACCATTTTACTTGGGGATTCTGTATGAAGAATAGTTATTTGACTGCAGTTTAAATACACTGAAAATTCTGTACATATTATCTAGAATAAATCTATCATTATTGTTATTATTTATTTTCTCCCTGTAGGCGTCATTTCTTCAGATAATTCTGAATACTCTGGTCCGTTAACTTCAACATCGTATTTATTAACAACTAGAAATACTGGTTCTGTTTTAGCTGGTATATTTATGAGTCTATCGAATGTTTCATCAGAGATACGGGAGGCAGAATTGAAACGATTGAAAACACGTTATGATTGGATAAAAGTAGGTGTTACTTTTTCTCTCTCTCTCTCTCCCCGTGTCTCTGTCCTTCTTTTTCCCCTCTTCTTCTGCCTGTTTTTGTGGTTTATATTTTGCCTGTTTACCGCTTTGGTTTTATTGATTTTCAAAATTGTATCAGCGCCCCCCCGCCCCCGCCTATTGGAACTGGTTGGTCATAAACCCTCAGCATAGGTCATTTTGTGCCATCATCCCTGATGTGTGTCTGTAAGTGTGGTCTGTGCTTTACGCCATCTAATTGCAAAGTTATGTTACAACATGAGCAGGAGCCTGTGTACCTAACTCACTCTTGCAGGCGAACCGCTTGAAGTTGTCCATAATTTTATGTATCTGGGTAGTTGTGTGAATGCTGGTGAAAGAGTGACGGATGATGCTTCCAACAGTATCACGAGAGGTAAGGTAGCACACGCCGTCGTGACGTTCACCTTTCTGTTGGGTTTACAATACTTCGGTCCAAGCAGTCTTGCTCTAGACCTGTCGAAACCTGATCTCTCCAAGCTGAGGATGTGTGAAGATTCTGTGTATTCGACTATCTCTGTCTGCATAGTAGAATTGCTTGCGTCCGGTGTGGCATCATCGTGTGAGTAAGTGATTCTGAGATCCCATAGTGAAGATGACCATTCGTTGAGTGTTGTCTTCTGAAAACACCTGCCTCGGTGGTTTGAACATGTACTAGGAATGTCATCCCAGAGGCTTTCATACAGGATGAAAAGAACGGGAGATGGTCAGCCTATGACGTGGCGCTGTGGGATGAAGGATATTTGTGTTAGGTTAGCAGCGGCTGGCGCGTCATCACTCCCTGGTCGGAGTCTGAGAGATAGTTCAAGAATTGTAATCATCAATGGTAAACGTGCTGCAATTTCCTTCTTTCTTCCCTTTCCGATGATAATCGACAATAATCACTGAGATGGTTAGTAGTACATCCAGCTGACAAGTCTCGAATAGAGCTGAACACACATCGTGGATTCTACTGTTAGTATAAGCGCAATATCGCTTGAAATGAAGTCACGCGTAGATAAAGGCTATCCCGATCCAGAACAAACAAGAAGCCGGTCACTGTTTCTACGGTACTATTAATAAACAAATCAATAATTACATACACAACAAACCTTAACGGTTTCAAAAGTACAAGGCACAACGCTTTACAGAAAGCAAGGTACCGCTATCAGAGCGGAATAACGTTAAAGTCAAAATTGCGAACTAGCCGGAATCAGACACGACCGTTCAGGTAAGCAGTTAGTAGAAGAACGAACCCAAGTAAGGCAGATTAAAAGATAGATAGAGCATAGGCACAAAGATAGAATTTAATTGGCTACTTAACCAGGTAGGCTGACACAGATGATGATCAATAAATAAGATAAACTCGACAGAATAGTACAAAGTAATTATTGAATTGAATTTTTGATTTTCCCGTCGATTGATTGGACCGAAGTGCTCGGTCTCAGGTTGACATGTCGGCTTCTTGTGCAGATGCTTCGACGATGTCTGGGGATTTGATTTGTATACAATTGGTGGATGGTGGCTAGTAGTGGTGTTTGAAACTATGGGTACTGGGTTCGAGCCTCGGTGGGAACATCATCACTGACTGAGAAATGCAGGTACATCCAGCTGATGAGTCCCAAATAGGACGAAATGCGCTTTATCCTGGATTCCACTGCTAGCCACCATCCACCAATTGTAGTACAAAGTAAGACTATGGGTCAGCAAATATAACAGTTCACAAAATACTCTGATTAGTTCATGAGTTCAACTGTCTGACTAAACGGATCGAGGTAAAAACACATACATACAGTTCATTAAACAAGGGGGGATAGACACGTTAGGCATGCATAATTGGGTTGCAACAACGCTAGGCTGATCCCGGGGGGACAGGTTGATTTGATTCAAGGATGGGAATTGAATTGATGTTACAGTTGGTAAAGAAAGGACTAGACACATCGCACTAGTAACTAGGTCCAATCAAAGTAGTGTGTTAGTAACCGTTAGCCTGAATAATATCATATTAATCTTCGGATATATCAATCGACCGGGAAATTCAAAAATAACTCTAGAATAAATCCTTCTTCATTAGATTAATTTTTTTTTTACATTATCATCCTTATAACACCACAATTTTTTTTGACGCCTTTCCTCCACCCACCCCCTGAATTTTCCCCTACCCCTATTTAGACTCATGAAACCTTTTTAACATCATTAATTAATTTCTGTGATTTATACGGATCAAGTGGTATGCGACTGCCAGCTGTACGTATTGAATTATCCCTCTTGTTGAATGAATTGTATTCATCAGCATCATCACCATCATCTTGTCTACCCGCTAATCAATCAACTGGACAATATTCAGCTTACAAATCCGACAGTAATCTTGTTGCGCATAATGGTGCTGGTATCGGTGGGGGTTATTCTCCTTCACCACTGAATTCATGTTGGCCTATGTCAGCTGTAGCCTTAATCGATGGTATTCCATTGCTACGTACAGTGATGCGTTTACCGCCTGGTGTATTACTGTTGCCTGATTCAGTGAAGCGAATCAAGGTAAGTAAGTGTTGAAGTGTGTGTGTGTGTGTGTTTATTCGTTTTTATTAAACTTATTATTATGATTAATTATTACTGCTGTTCTCTTTGGTTCCTAGTGGAACATAGGGCTTCAACTGCACGTCTCCACTTGCTTCTGTCTTCCTTCTGCTGTACTTTTCACCTGCATCCATGTTAGTGCATACTCTTTCAACTCTTCTTCACACGATCTCCTCCTCCATGTCACCCTTACACCGACATCCCATTTGCCGCTTCCCTTTCGGTCGGGTTCCACTCGAGTGATGGCCTGACGCGCGCGCTATGTCACTCAGCGGCCTCTTCAGCGAGTGTCCAATCCATCTTCACTTTCTCCTGCATATTTGTTGGCTGGCGATTGATTGGTTCTTGTTTTGTTTGTTTGTTCCCATAGTTTCTTGTTGGTGATTCTTTCCGGCCCCCCGGCCATCTGATCTTCATTCAATATAGAGCGATAGTTGACAGTTGTTGATAAAAGTAACGTCTGCAACAGGCTGTTGGAAATATTCTTTGTGACCCGCCCGCCAAGTTTGTGATCCGTATAGAAGAGCTGACTGACTGACTTGACGTATTGTATTGTATTGAAAATCCGACCGAATTTTGTTGTTGATGCTGACTGAGTGACGAAGATTTCTAGATTGGTTTCAGGTTGATGAACAACGTGTTTCTCGCCTTCCTGATTCTCGCTCGATTTGATATCCTCGTCCGTTCCGACTACCTGTAGTTGAGACAATGCTCCCCATATAACTTACGTTAAATTACCTACGATTTTCTTCACATATATATATATATATATATATATATATACGTACATGGGAAAGCGCCTCTGAATAATAGTAGGTTATAACATGTTGCTTACTTTGATTGGTGACTAATAACTAACTAGTGTGATGTGTCTAGTGTCCTTTTTGTTTGGTGCAGACTGAATTTCATGAGTCAGTCAGGTTTACAATGTGGTCATCATTCTAGACAGCTTGCCATCATGGTGCACGTTGTATTGATGATATTAGATGGTTAGATGCAATCGCCAGGAGGAAGCCTTGCTCTTGACCCTAGGTTTCGTGCTAGTTGGCTAGTTGCCATGATAAAGCGATCTGGTTTATATGTATAAACTCATTTGAACTGCTGAGGTGCACTTACTTCATTGATAAAATTTATAAACAAAAAGATGGAGTGGGTTATATACTTGCAAATGGCTTCATAGTAAATGTATAAAATTAAGACATCGTTATTATTACTACTATTATTATTATTGTTCCCTTTGGTTTCAAGTGGGACATACGGCTTGAACAACACCAAATTCTCTTCCCCCAGCTGGCCCTACAATTGCTCATAAGCTCTCACACTCTAGCGATGGCTTACACTGTGATGTCATTCGACCAGCCCCTCAAAGTATTGAACAATAGATCCCTTCCAAGAGTGTCTTGCTGTTGTCTTCCTTCTGATCAACCATTTCATCTTCAGTAGGCAACCAGCAAAACCTGTTGTTGATAAAATTCTGTAATCTGTTAGTAATGCTCTTCATATCAAGTTTCTCACTCACATAGAAGAAGTGACTGACTAAACATTGGTATTGAATATCCGAATATTGTTGTTTTCGACATCCTCATCTTCATAAACCTTAAACCAATTATTGAATTGAATTTTTGATTTTCCCGTCGATTGATTGGACCGAAGTGCTCTGTCTCAGGTTGACATGTCGGCTTCTTGTGCAGATGCTTGGACGATGTCTGGGTATTTAATTAGTATACAATTGGTGGGGATGGTGGCTAGCAGTAGAATCCAGGATAAAGCGCATTTCGTCCTATTTGGGACTCGTCAGCTGGATGTACCTGCATTTCTCAGTGAGTGATGATGTTCCCACCGTGGCTCTCGTGGCCCAAGTGGTCTAGTGGCTAACGCTTTGGCGTTTGAAACTATGGGTACTGGGTTCGAGCCTCGGTGGGAACATCATCACTGACTGAGAAATGCAGGTACATCCAGCTGACGAGTCCCAAATAGGACGAAATGCGCTTTATCCTGGATTCCACTGCTAGCCACCATCCACTAATTGTAAACCTTAAACCAATTTGGAAATCTTGTGCTTCACTTACTCCAGTATAAAAAACGAGATTCAGATTTGCAAAATAACTGTAAAGTCAGTTATTCTTTTATGGGTCAGAAACTTGGCCAGCATGTCACGGAAAGTATTTCCAACAGCCAGTTAAAAACTTTTATCCACAGCTTCCGTACACCGTAGAGCTTCTCTTCGACCACCAAGAAATCCAGTTGAACTAGAAAAACTTCAAAAATCATCAGCCGTAGCTTGTCTACACGCTATGGAATCAGGCCACAAAATTGATTTTGACAATATTGAAATCATCATCCAGAAAAACTTCAGAAACCACAAAGAACGTCTAATATCAGAAGCACTTCATATGAAGTGGAATCCAAATTACCTGAATAGGAATGATGGACTAAAACAGAATCTAACCTGGCTACAACAACCCCCTCCCCCATGAAGTAGCAAAATCAACGCAAATGTGGTGAGCAAATTTCACTACGTAAACGCGCACTACTTTCATAATTCTACACACTGACAAAATCCAACAATCTACACTTGGTTTTACTATCTTTACCAGTTCGCTAACTTGACAACAAAAAACGACCCAGACTGACGAACGATAATCAAGTATTTCACAGCCTACACTTAGTTTAGTTACCTTTACCTATTCTCGAACTTGACAACCAAAAATAACCCCAGACTAACGAACGATAGATGATCAAGTTAGTAAACTTTATTTGGTTTGAACGATCTTCATTGTTATTTTGACTTTCAATATGTCCTTTTAAGTTGAACTAAGTCTATACTTTTTTTCTCACCCCCTAACTCTTTGTTATATATATGCTGAGTGGATTTTGTAAATTCTGGATTAATAATACTTTGATAAAGCAGCTATTAGCAGCAGCATTTAAGATAGCGAAACGTCAGTAAAAACGACAATATCGTTTTGTTTTTCATTCATTCATTGGGAAATACGAAAGAAACCTTTATTATAATGAATATCATATACCACCCAATGCTCAAATTTTTTCAAACTGTTAAAAAGTGAACTTGGTTTGGATATATATAATTCCTCCTTCTCTGTCTCCATAGTGAAGACCAGATGGCCGACCGGCCAAAAAAAAAAGAAAGCAGCAACAAGAAATTCTGGCTGGCTGGCTGGCAACAAACCAACCGAGAACCAGTTGCTCAACAAATATGTTGTGGTAGAAAATGGAGATGGATCGATCGAGCATATATATACGTTAAGGAGGTCATCAAATGTGACATCGCGCGTTAGGCCGTCGAGTGGAATCCCGATGGGATGCGACAAGTGAGTCGTCAGTGTTGAGGGTGACATCGAGGAGATTGTGTGATATGGAGGAGGAGAAGAAGAAGAAGAGACGAGATTATGGTTGATCGTGGAGCTGAAGAGGAGCCGGCTCTGAAGAGGATGACCAAAAATAGAAGAAAGTAAAAAGAGATGTAAATATCATTTGTACTTGTTTTCGAAACTATGAAGCTAAGTTCTTGGGCTTCTTAATTATTAAAGCATATGTGTATGTTCTCCTTAGGTTGAAATGTACACTATTATTCACTTCCAAGCTTATTGGCTTCACCACTAAGGTATGCAAATAATGTATACAATTGGTGGATGGTGGCTAGCAGTGGAATCCAGGATAAAGCGCATTTCGTCCTATTTGGGACTCGTCAGCTGGATGTACCTGCATTTCTCAGTCAATGATGATGTTCCTACTGGGGCTCGAACCCAGTGCCCATAGTGTCAAACACCATCCACCAATTGTATACAAATCAAATCCCCAGACATCGTCGAAGCATCTGCACAAGAAGCCGACATGTCAACCTGAGACCGAGCACTTCGGTCCAATCAATCGACGGGAAAATCAAAAATTCAATTCAATAATTAATATGACCCGTTGCACAAGAGGTGGCTCTCGTGGCCTAAGTGGTCTAGTGGATAACGCTTTGGCGTTTGAAACTATGGGTACTGGGTTGGAGCTTCGGTGGGAACATCATCACTCACTGAGAAATGCAGGTACATCCAGCTGACGAGTCCTAAATGGGACGAAACGCGCTTTATCCTAGATTCCACTGCTAGCCACCATCTACCAATTGTATACATATCAAATCCCCAGACATCGTCCAAGCATCTGCACAAGAAGCCGTCATGTCAACCTGAGACCCAGCACTTCGGTCCAATCAATCGACGAGAAAATCAAAAATTCAATTCAATGCAAATAGTGACTTTAATATTGCATCATTGTAATCTTCAGTGTGTTTGTAGCTTTGAGTCTATTAAGCTTCAGCCTTCAATAATGATAGAATCCTGCCTCACCTACTATTTCTCAACCTGATAATACGATAGTACTCTCAGCCTTCACACAGTGCTCATAGATTTCTCACTTGTCAGGTTAAGTTCAACACATACATTGTCACTTAGCTACTCAGACTGAAGTAGATCAGGTAGGACTCGAACCCGCCATAACCCCATTGTTTGGAAGTTGACTGATGATTACCAATGAGCCACTTCTTCACCAAACTTTGACTTGGTGTTAGGTTAGGTGGTGGGATACAGTCGACAGAATTCGTTATTGTTGGCTTCAGCTTGAAAGGAACTAATATCTCCTTGGAGATTCGAACCCACATCAGTCTAGGAGTGAAATGGATAATAATTACAACGTTACTTGGAGTGCTATATCGTTAGACTTGTCGCTTGACTGCCTAATTCTTGATAGGTGGAGAACGGGTTTCGAACTCACTACTTAATGGTTGGAAGTTAATTATTTAGACCAATCAATAATGGCCTACTGTTTTCATATTATCTATTCATTATATACCGATTGTTATTATTGATTTTGTGCTGTTGTGTTTCTCTTCTTCTTTTTTGTTCACAGTATATGGTTCATGATTTGATCACATGTTTGGAACTTTTGCCTCCACCATTTCTGGTTAGTGTTCTCCTTCCCTATCCATATCGTTCACCACATGCACATCACCATCATAAATCTACTACTGGTAAAAAGTTGAAATCACATACTTCTGGAAAAGCGTCTACCACGTCAGCCTCTCAATTATCTACTTATTATTGTCCTGATTGTATTTGGACGCCAACAGCTGATCGTCAGCGCAGAGTGTACCTTTTGCGTAATTTATGCGCTGCATTATCTGCATGTATTCATCAGTGCCTATCTGTTGGTGGTTGGCTTGGTCTTGGTTACCTGCTGGATGAAAATTCAATGATGAATAATTCGTCGTTGACAAAAGTATTCGCTCTACCAGCGACAAGTTCTATCAATGCTCGTTCAGGTGAGTTCAGTTTGTGTGTCTACGTGTGTGTGTGTGTGTGTGTGTGTGTGTGATCCCATTATATTATTGTGGACCAGTTCGTTGTTGTTAACATAGAAGAGAGATTTATTATACACGCGATTTGGAAAAAGCCATTTTGTCCCGATTTGGGGTTCATCAGAAGTGCGCACCCACCATAGGGATTTAGACCCAGGCTACTTCGGTCATAAGACGAGGTCGTGGACCATTTGCCTCATGAATTCTAACTTCTACCAATTTGTAATTTTATCACGACTGGCACCAGCCAATGTCATCTGTCGTGAGTATTTGCCCTCATGACCGACTTTAAGGACCTGACTGGTCACGACATCTCAGTAGGAGTACAGGCAGGCAACTTCGACCTACAGGCAGTCACTAGGGAGCATCATATTAATTTTGAAAAGTTAATTTCCAGGAATTTCAAGATCGACCATACACGGATTGATTTCAGTTAGAGAACCAATGAAAACTGCCAAGGAGTACTGGGAAGCTGTTTTTCGTCCTAGTTTGGAACTCATTGGCGGTACTCATGCACTGAATAATGGTCTACGAGCTCGCCTTGTATTTGGAGGGTCTTGTCTGAGTTTGGACCCCTGTAATGAAGAGTCGCAAACTGTGACAAAACAGCTGGCCAGTACTCTCCATGCTGGTTTTCAATGCTTCTTTAGCTGATCTTAATCCTTGAGAAAAATCCAATCCCTACAGAGAAACTCTTTGAAAATACTCATTTGTCGAAACGAAGCAATCTGATGCACTCAGATGCATTCAAGTGTTAGAACGGACAACCTTTTGGTCTTTGTTAGCTGTGAAGTCATGATTTATGCATGCATGCATTGACATGGTGGTATCTGATTGGACAGTTTTTCATCATTTTATATTTGTGCTATAGTTTCCGAGGTCTTCCAACGTCATTCAACCAATCAGATCTGTTTATTTATGAATTGAATTCGCTAGGTATATTTTGTATAAAAAAAAGGTTGTCGACCATTTAGAAAGAATAAACAACGGGGAACTCCGGGAGATAGTGAACTGCCTAGCCTATGCTAAGCTTAAGAGATTGCAACTAGCTGTCGTTTCCTCTTTGGCAAACCGTAGCACTTCAACTATGGATTTGTTTATAGTCATCTTTTATCCAACCCTAGCACAATATGAGCACTAAGGAATGAGTCTCAAAAAGCAGTAAAACACTGTCTATGAAAAGAAGATAGAATTGTAGCAGGAAAAGACAAGAGACTTGGTAATAAACTCACTTTTTATTGAGGAAAATTACACCATATTTACACATTTTTAGCCGCATTTATAATTGCCTAGGTCACTGGATAATAGACTGTTCTGATTGGCTATCAACTTTTCGAAAGTTAAAACTCTTCTGATTGGTTGTTGATTTCATGAAGGTTAAACTTTGAGATTATTACCTGATCACCTTCTACTTTTGTAACCAGCTACTCAAAATGTAGTTAACAATGTTGGCTGTTTCCTATCAATGTGTGTGTGTGTGTGTGTATGTTACGACAGAAGACAAGAGACCCTGGCAACAGATCCTTTATTGAGGAATCAAGAGATATACATAGATTTTTATTTACATTATTATTCGTTATTACTAGCAGAGAAACAGCGTCTTCTGATTGCTTGTCTTCTTGCTGAATCTTAATCTGTCATCTCTTTGTGGCCATTTCTCTGAAGGTCAGACCATATACCTGCTAATCGTATCCGCCTACGCAAACAAAGTCTGCTGTGATTGGTTGTTGAGTTAGTCTTTGTTCTTGTCTTTTTTTTCTCATGACGAAGATTTGGGATGTAAACATTGACGTAAATTGCTGTCTATCAATTTTGGCTAGCAGACAGCTCTCACCACATGTATATACTATGGATAGATTTTGTCAACAGCACACGTCATAGAATAATTGATGAACAGGATCACGAAAAAGAGGAAAGCATACTCATCATCAACCACATCTAAGAAGTGTTCATAGTTTCACATTACTTTCAGAAAGACAGGAAATGAGGAAACGACAGTATGTTTACCGCTGTCTACGATTTTCCATCGTATCCTATGACGTGTCAAACGACCGATTCAAATGATCTCTCTGACTGTCATCCAGGGAGTTGTAAGGCATCAACAGATGATAACGTCATCTAAGTATCCTTCATCTCACGGTCACTTCATGGTAGACTCAGCACCTCACTGCTTTTTCTACCCAGTGCCAAGTTCAGAAAATAAATTGACGGTATAGGAGACACTAAGGTGACAATCATAGTACACTTACAAGTCAGAGAAGCCAGCCTGGATGTCGATCTTCACCATTTCCAAACAAACACCATGCGAATGATGATGATGCGGTTGAATGCAAGATATTCTACAAAGAAAACGATTACTGAGCGCGCAAAGTTATCTCACATTCTTAACTTCAAGATGTTGGGTTTCACAGGTGTAATGCAAGACTGCACTCAAAGAAAAAATTATAAAGCCGATCCTTGATAGAGTCAGGCTACTAATGCGATTGCATCAAAGATAGTCGAAGTAGGCAAGTACCACCCACCCTAGCCTTTAGTAAGAGAATCTCATCCGTCACATTCCCTCCAGCATACATAAAACTAACTAGAAACACTCAGATATCAACTAATTCTAATTTTTCACCTATGGCGTTAAGTTCAGGTAATAACTCCTACCAGTCTGGAAGCGTACCTTTCTACTAAAACATGTTTCACTTGTGGACACTGAAGGCTAATTGACTACTTGGGACCTGTATTCCATCTCACCTTGGATACATTAGTGCTTATCAATTCGTATATATTTTGACTAATTTTAAAAATACGAGTAGACATCTTTTTTTTTGTTGAGGGATCTATGCGAATGAAATTACTCTGCATTATTTGTTGTGTCGTACTGCAATACAACCCACCACCACACTACCCTCATATTCTGTAATTCCTGTTTGTTTGAATAAGGCATTTAGAAGACAAATTTCGCTGCGAGATGATATCGTCATTTCGCAGTTTCCGCTTTACAACCGCTTTACAACTAACATGGTTAACAATGATAATAAAATAACATGCATGACAATTACTCACTTATATAAAACAAAACAAAAGTACATACTAATGACCAATCATACTTAGATAGGTCATGTAGTCCAGGGTTGGGCGAAGATTGAAGTCTCTTGATTTGACTGTACACACAGTTTAGGCTGTATGTGATTCATCCTGAAAGTTCTTCCATCACCTTCAGTAATCAACCTTGAATTAGAGTTATATGATGAAATAATTGTGAAACAGTCATTAATATTGATTTTGTGATCTGATATTAATAAGTGTTTTGCAATGGATGATGATGATGATGGATTTCTATTCAGATTCATCACATTGGGATTTTCTATATGACTTAGTAGCCATTTTGGAACATGTTCTTTTCGACGACGACATTGGAACATTCTGTTGGCTCTAACTATTATATAGGTGTCACTGCAGCTGTAGGCGAACTTGTAGATACAGTTTGAAGTAGAGTCTACAGAATTTCGTCCTTTAATCATAGGTGGGTACAGGGATTGAAAATGTTCGGCAAGTGAGAAAAAGAGAAGCCGGGGTAGAATGATATGCGTCTGATAGCTGACCGAAGTATCCTTGAGCTAGCTGTCACAACTGCATAATCTGGTGGTCACCCTTGAACGGTCGGTAGGTTAATAAAGACAGATAGCTTTCTCTGGTACAGAAGCTGTCTTTTTGAGATGTGGTCTTTCTTTACTGTCGTGAAATTTATCTTCTAAATGCCTTATTTAAATTTATCAAAGGGACTAATTTTTTTAATTCCCTCCTGTTGGTTTGTATGTTTTCTTGTAGTTGATCGCCTATGCGTTTCTGGTCAAGTATTTAGACCAAACACAGAACCTGCTAAGTGGCCTGGTAAGTCTAATACTCTCAATTATACGTTGAATATCATTCCTATTTTCTGTTGATTGATAATATATATATATATATACATATATATATATATATATATATATATATATATATATATGTATACGTACATGGGAAAGCGCCTCTGAATAATAGTGGGTTATAACATGTTGCTTACTTTGATTGGTGACTAGTAACTAACTAGTGTGATGTGTCTAGTGTCCTTTTTGTTTGGTGCAGACTGAATTCCATGAGTCAGTCAGGTTTACAATGTGGTCATCATTCTAGACAGCTTGCCATCATGGTGCACGTTGTATTGATGATATTAGGTGGTTAGATGCAATTGCCAGGAGGAAGCCTTGCTCATGCCCCTAGGTTTCGTGCTAGTTGGCTAGTTGCCATGATAAAGCGATCTGGTTTATATGTATAAACTCATTTGAACTGCTGAGGTGCACTTACTTCATTGATAAAATTTATAAACAAAAAGATGGAGTGGGTTATATACTTGCAAATGGCTTCATGGTAAATGTATAAAATTAAGACATCGTTATTATTACTACTATTATTATTATTGTTCCCTTTGGTTTCAAGTGGGACATACGGCTTGAACAACACCAAATTCTCTTCCCCCAGCTGGCCCTACAATTGCTCATAAGCTCTCACACTCTAGCGATGGCTTACACTGTGATGTCATTCTACCAGCGCCTCAAAGTATTGAACAATAGATCCCTTCCAAGAGTGTCTTGCTGTTGTCTTCCTTCTGATCAACCATTTCATCTTCAGTAGGCAACCAGCAAAACCTGTTGTTGATAAAATTCTGTAATCTGTTAGTAATGCTCTTCATATCAAGTTTCTCAATGATATGTATATATATGTGTATGGTGGTCTCTCTTTCTGTTTGCTCGCTTAGTCTGTGACTATTTCACTTTGATGAATATGCTTTTAAGGATATTATCAGCTGTATAAAGATTTATTATTATTAAATTCTTTAATTCCTAAAGAAACGTAGGGCTTCAGCTGCACGTCTTCATTCCGTTTGGTTCTCCGTAAACGTTTTCACCTGGCTCCACGTCTGCAACCCACATGCTTTCATCTCCTCTCCACATAACCTCCTCCAACACACCCTTGCACTGACGACCAACTTACTACTTCCCTTTCGGGTTCCACTTGAGCAATGGCTTGTCTAGCGATCTCACTTGATGGTTTCTTCAGAGTATGGCCAACCCATCTCCATTTCTTCCTGCTTATTTGTTTTACAATTGGTTCCTGGTTGGTTCACCAATTGCCAGAGATCCCTGTTGCTGATCTTTACTGACCGGCCATCTGATCTTGAGTATTGAGTGAAGACAGCTGTAGATGAAGGTCTGTAGTTTGTTCGAAGTGTCCTTCGTAACGCGGCGTGGCGCCAAGTCTCTCGTCCGTATACCGAGTAGCACTGACTGACTTCACATTGGAGTTGAAAATCCCGATGTTATTTTTAGATGCTGAGTGCTGCTGACCTCCACACAGACTTAAGAGTAGTGAAAGCTTGTCTTGTTTTCCCGATGCTCCTTGCTTTGATATCCTCGTTAGTTCCTCCTGTAGTTGAAATGATGCTTCTCAGGTAGGTAAAGGAGATTGTTTCTTTCAGGTTCCTCCCATTTATGGTGATTGTTGTCTGTTGTTTTTGCCGTTGTTGTTGGCCAGTTTTCTCTGTTTTCTCTATGTTCACCTAAAGGAAGTCCTATCTTTGATGCTTCTTCTATCGCCAACTTGTTACTTTTCACTTGCATATATTCCAGTGTTTGTGGGAAATCAGACATATATATCACATTAGCGAAGTTCAGATCCTCCAAGTTTTTTGTGTGAGTCCATTTTATGCCTCTTTCCTCATTGCCCGTTGTCTGTCTGTCGCATTATTCAATCTACTGCAATCAGGAAGATTATTGGCGATAGTAGACAACCAGCCTTGCCTCACTCCCGTCCTCACTTCGAAGGTTTCTGTAAGTTTCCTGTTGTGGATTACCTGGCATGCGTCGGTGGCACACTGGTTAGGACTCTCGCCGACCATGCACATGGTCCGGAGTTCGAGCCCTCGCCGACGCACACCTGATATCTATAGTCGGCCTGCAAAATTTGGGCTACCGATATCCATGCTGAAAATTCCATACTTGTACCAAAAATACAGTGTGGAATCAAGCTGTAATCAAAAATAAAAAAAATAAAAATTTTATTACTAGTGCATTTCTTTTGTTTTGACTAGCCTCTATATGGATTTCCTTACTGTGTAGAACCTTATTATTATTGTTGTTATTATTATTGCTTACTTTGGTTCCGAGTGGAACATGGAGCTTCAACAGTGCATCTCCACTGTGTCCTATTCTTTACATTCCCCACGACAGGTTCTTGGTTTTTTATTTGCTCCCATAGTTTCTTGTTACTTGCTTATTCTTTCTGACCGGCCATTTGATCTTCAGTATAAAGCAAGCGACGAAGGCAGATGTTGATGAAAGCCGTCATTCACCTGTTGAAAATGCTTTTTGTGTTGGCGCGTGTATCAAGCTTTTGACCTTCAATAAAAGACGTTACTGACTGACTTATCATTGGTGCAGAAAATCATGTGTGGACTAAGCGGTCCATGGGAGGAACAAATACAAGGGAATCAGGCAGGCTTTATATCAGGAAGAGGGTGTATTCATCATATCTTCACTCTTCGACAGATTCTGGAAGATAGGCATTCCTACCGGCGTCCAACAATCATTATATTTCTTGACCTTAAGGCGGAATTCGATTCCGTCGACCGCGAGGTAGTATTGAGATGCTTAGCTGTGAAGGGAAGGGAGGCCGAGAAAATACATTGCACTGATTATAGCACTCACTCCACTCGAACTCAAGCAGCCAGGTTAGGGGGCTTATGGCGAGTTGTCATCTGAAGTGTGACGACAACTAGTGGTGTCTATAAGGGATGCCCATTATCCCCATTCCTATTCAACTTCATCATAGGTGTACTAATGAACTTAATCCCTACTGACTTCAACGACTCAGGGATTGACTTGTTACCATCAGGGAATAATCTCGTTGACTTAGAATATGCAGATGATATAGTCTTGCTCCTAGTTGAAGACGCTGACAAAATACGGAGTCTTCTGAATGAATGTTTAGCATGTGATTCGCTCTCGCCAAATATAAGATGATGTTACAGGACTGAACTACATTGACGCCTAGCTTGCAGATAAGTAGGAGTGAAGTGGTAGAGCGTGTTAACCATTTCACTTATTTAAGAAGTTGAATCAGCCAACGCCAGCGGGTTGATTGTTGACGAAATCTCAGCACAATTACAGAAGGATCGATTCGCATATACCAGTTTACGCCGTCACTGGCTTAGTAGACGTGATATCCGGTTGTCTATCGATCAAAGGACCTGTGTACTGCTAAGGAGTCCGCCTCATCCTCATTTAAGGCTGTGAGACCTGGCCATTGAAAGTGGAAGGTATGAAAACCTTGCTTGTTCTTCCACACTCGTTATACCTTTTTTTGACTATGTTTAATGTTGATACTGATTTCACTAACGAAGTTCTTTAGTTTGTTATTTTTGTTGTTCGGGATCGTTGTTTCGTCCTAGTTTGAAACTCATCAACAGTACTCACCCAAAACTGTGGGTTCGAGCCTCTGGGCCTACTAGGGAAGCTCGTAGACCGCCCAGCCACATTAAGACCCGACTCAATGGCTATTTCGTGATTCATTTCTTTAAAAGTTAGTAATGGTTAGAATAAATTAATTTTACAAGGATAACACGTAATTAAAGATGAAGTGGTCGGAAAAAAATAATAAAATAATTTGGACAGTTATAATTTTTAAATGTTTAGAGGGAGGGGGGCGATGATGTAGTCCTATTTATACTTTCATGTCACGATGGCCAAGGAAGGTAAGGAAAGTGAATGTACAAATTTCTCCTGAACAGACACAGGTTTGGCTTGTTCTTCAGGTGGATTCCTATGGTTTCAGCTGTCGTATGTAGAAGACGAACTCGTAGAGCAAAATTAAGATTAGTAAGAATGCGATAAATAATTTTAAATGTGCTGTATTAACGTCAACCTTATGCTCACTATCTACAAGGTGTGCTATAACAGAGCTAGCTACGAATAGATCTTGTTTGTCTTTTGCTTAACCATGTTGGATGATGTTCGGAAATACGATGATGAACCTGCCTAATTGTGCACCCAATGTAGCTGGTAGTAGATACACACAGAAGAGGCAAATTTAGGTAGTTTATCTTTATTTCTCGAACGTAGTATAGGAGTGGTTGGTTGTGAAGAGACAACGTATCTCTGCTGCATAATAATAAGCTCTTTTAACTGCATTCTTCAGTCGTTGTGTTATTATTTCGCTGATATTGTCACTAAGGAGCTGCAGTTTTATGAATATTGGTTTTTTCGGAACTGTAGCCATACTGACTGTCCTAAGTTGCTGAATTCATATTTTTCTCAACGAATTTGTCTAGATAACCATGTTTTTTCTAAGTAATTCTCTAATAATCTTAAGCTCCTCATTCAGGCAGTCGTCTGAACATTTGAACATTCATTTCTTTGTACGACTGGCTCCAGCCAATGTCACCGGCGAGTAATTTGTCCTCACTTCCGACAGGGTGAAATCCTACTGGTCATGACTGACTTCTCAGTAGAACTACAGTCAACTTCGTCGTGCAACAACTGGTCACTAGCAAACATCAGATAAATTTTCAAGATTGTATGGAGGATTTCATCATGAGCTGACATCAGTTAGAGAACCATTGAAAAACCTGCCAGAGGACTGGACAGCTGTTTCATCAGCCTAGTTTGGGAGTCTTTACAGTACGCACACACTGGAGTTGAACCAAGGACCTTCTGGTTACAAGGCCAGTGAGCTTGTAGACCATTCAGCCACTGGGACCCGATCCAATGGTCCTTGAATTCTAACTTCTGCCAATTCATGACATAGCGCGATCATTTCGAAATGTCTTCTTCGATGAGTTGCTGCCTCATCTTCAACCTGCTGTACCCTACTGGTCACGGCTTCCCACTAGAACCCCAGGTTAACTGCCTGAATAGGGCCAGTCACTAGTGAGCACCAGATGAATTTTTTTTAAGTATTGGTTTGTTGTAGGGATTTTGTTTGATTGCATGGAGGATTTGATCATGAGCTGGTTAATAAAGTAGTTAATAGGTGAGAAAATAGACTACTTAGGTCAAGTTAAAAGGACACACAGAAGGTGAAAATAACAATGCAGGTCACTAAACCAATAAAGAGAGGTAATAGGACATCTACCGTGGGTAGTATCAAAACAAAGTTTGCCAAAGAAGGTTTTAGTGTGAGGACGAATTGTTGCTTTGATCGCATATAACTTCCTAATTGCCAGCTAGGGCTTCTACAAACTTTAGATTGCTGTTCAAACACATTTTATAGATAGGTTTAAAAGACGTGTGGTGACATCAATTTTATGTCCTGTCTCCATAGTATGTTTCACAATAGAGGAGCTAGACTGTCGTCTGTTCTGACCATTAATGGGTTCTGGAGATTCTATTTGCTTCTGGAGCCATTTAGGAATATACTTGCTAACTGATGTCAGCTCATGATGAAATCCTCCATGCGACCAAACAAAAATCCCTACAAATCCAATACTTGAAAACTTTTCAAGAGTTTATCGAATGCTTTATGAGCTGGCCTTGTAACCGTAAGGTCCGATGTTCGATTCCCTGTGGTAGATGCGTACTTACAATGAGTCTCAGGAGTCGATGACGACATATCTGTCCAGTAATCCGTGACCTTTTTTCAATGGTTCTCCAACTGATATAAATCCTTGCTCAAACTTCAAAGAAATAAAATCTCTACAAGCTTACTTTTGTTAAATTATTATTATTATTTGATCCACAAACTCACGGTCATTGGTTAAATTATTTTTTATGTATAACCCCTTAAGAAGATCTTATTGAAAACAACAATATTGTTCACTTTTATGCCCTGTTTTAATCAGAAAATATCTTAATTCCATTCCTACTGTGTAATGCTTCCATTGTGGTTAGGACTCTCGCCGACCATGCACATGGTCCGGAGTTCGAGCCCTCGCCGACGCACACCTGATATCAATGGTCAGCCTGCAAAATTTGGGCTACCGATATCCATGCTGAAAATTCCATACTTGTACCAAAAATACAGTGTGGAATCAAGCTGTAATCAAAAAATTTAAAAAATATATATATATATTCTCGTTATACTTTTTTGTTGTTTTGTTTTAGGTCTTACATGCTTGAAGAGTTATACTGATCCACAGATACAAACCAGTGCCATCCATCCGAGTCATATGATGCGTATTGCATCATCAGCACAAAATTTATCCGAACGTGGGGAATCTGCTATGCTATCAACACCTCCAGTAGTCATTCAGTCGGTTGACCGGCGTCGATTAATTGGCCTGCTAGCTCAAGCTTTAGCTGCCTCCTATTTTGGTCTACTTGTTTATGCTTTATACACTCGTGATACATCTATCCTCTACCGGTTGGCATGTGCACGTTTAGACTCCAAAACATGGAGTCGTGTATTCGGTGGAACATACAGAGCTAAACCTTATCGTCCACCAACACAACCACCCGGCAGCAATATTAGTAGTAGCTCGGTAACATTCAATTTAAAGACACCAACGACAACAGCAACAGATAAGAAGGGTGTTGCTCCGCCTCCACCGAAACCACCAAGTCGACCTAAACGGTAAGATATTTTACTTTGTGGAAACTTTTTGAGATTATTTAGAAGCGATGAGTTACTTTGTGTCTTGTCTGATATCTATTCGGTAGCTGGAGAACTGATACCCATCTTTAAGATAGCTGTGTTTTTCCCTTTGATTTCATTCTTATAAATATGTAACTGTCGGATGTCACTGTCTATGTAAAGAGATCTGACTTAGAGTTAGTATAACAGTAAAAGTGTGCTTTTGGAAGTGTGTGAGCGGTTGTTACTTCCCGGCTGCCCACACCGTGAAAGTTGCTTGATTCTTCGGGTACCTGAAACAGAAACAGGATTAGTGTTGCGTGACCGCAGAGTCCAGGGGACAACTGCTTGAGGCCGCTCACATACGACCTGTATGAACTGGTTTCTGGAATTGGTTCCGTATTAGTAAACTTACCACCGTAGGTAGGGTAATTCGGGATGTACAATTTTTGGGGTCGACCTTTTTTCAACCACCTGTCTTCAGAGTGGAGAGGACAGCATAGCCGACTGGCATGCTGGTCGTTTGAGGGAGACAAACACCTTATTGCTGTTACACCCCTCTTCCCCAGCAGTACAACTTTGCCCAAAGACCCCAGTATGATGGGAAAAAATTCTTACATTGTGCCGGTAACTGCTTTTAGTCTAATCGCTATCCTAACAACCTTCCTGACATGATAGGACCTGCAGGAACATTGGTTCCAGCCAGTGCAGCTTGTTGGGTCACCGCGATGTGCAAGCCCGACCACCACGCCAAGGTAGCAGTTGTTGGTCGGGAGAGTTAGTGTAACAAGGGAAACGAATTCACAATTATGAAAAAGAGAAGTCGTTCAGTGAAGGGACTCTTCTCCGCGGCGAACTCATTCACATAGCTTTACAATTGCATTTATAAATCATTATTTTTGTGAATTTGTGTGTACATGAGGTTTGTCAAGTTTAGATAATTGATCAGGTAATAAAAGAATGATCTAATATAGAAACAAGGTTAATTAGACAGTAACTAAAGTAAGATTGAGTTAGTTTGTAAGTTAGATGACGTAATATAATTGACTAAAATGTTTCGACTTAGGTCAGGGTAGCAACAGAGGTAATTACAGGTAGAGAGAGACTAAGTAGAAGTGGGGTAGGGAATAATGCCATTTAAATTAGAACTGAAATTGAGCAAACACATTGAATGATGTAAGGTAAATGACTAGAAATTGAGCATTGGTCAAGTCAGTAACATTGGGGTAATGAGGTACAGAAATTAAATCGAGTGGGGGTGGAGAACAATTCATGATCGATAAGTTGTGAGTGATCATTATCTGTTAACGTCATCATTAAGTGAATAATATTCATCGTAGTACTACATACATAAACACATAAACTGGGGTTATTGTAGTGTGTAGAATTAAGACGATTATAAACATCTAGGTTCAGTAATTATATTAAAACACACAAGGAAACTCCGGTTAAAACACAAATAAATAAATTTAACATACTCAACTATCCGAAGAAATAAAAGTGAAACGGATAAAGCTCAGACAAAGTAGCATCATAATAACTGAGAAGACCGACACTGATTGTGCAATTAGGGGTTCGGATAAGAAAACTAATGTGACGAATAATTGTCTATGCAGTTAGGGATTAAATATGTAGAAATAATAAAAATGGCAAAATAGACAGGAAGTTCAAATATGAAAATATGGTAGTGTAAATAGGGATTAAGAAAAACTTAAAAATAGCACGAATAAACAGGAAGATTGGATTAAAAAGGTAATGGAATAGTAGTAGTCACTATTAATACAATTACCTGTTTATTGTGACCATGGCAGGGATAAGGGTTGGACATATTTCTTTTGGATACATAACGTAGGTTTGAGCTTTTGGATGGCTATTGCCCCTCGGCTATGCCTAGATGTCTTTATTTCACTCCCTTTGATAGGTTTGATCAAATATTTTATGTTATATAATTATATTCGTCACATTAATTATGATCCCACTAGATTTTGTTATCCAAATATTCTGTCGATTGTTGTTATTTCTACATGTCTAACCCTTAATTGCACAATCAGTGTCAATCTTCCCAGTAATTGTGATTCTACTTTGTCTGAGCTTTATTCATCCCCCTGTTTCTCAAGGCATTTTATTTCTCAATTGTAATTTTGTTAATTTGACCCTTGACCAAAAATTATTCTGTAACTTCCTCATCCATTTATTATAAATATCCGAAGAAAACTAACGGTGTAACAACAGAAGACAAGGGCCGGCAACAGATCGTTTTATTACGAAAATCAGCACGTATTTATATATATTTCATGTACATTATTATAGCTTATTCGAGATTTCTCGGAAAGTGGGGCCATATATCTGCGAATCGTATTTACCCACGTTAAGTCTGCTGTGATTGGTTGTTGAATCAGCCTTGTTCATATTTTCTCACGGCGAATATTAATGACCTAGACATTGACGTAAATTGGTGTCTACCAATTGGCTAACAGTCTGCTCTCACCACAACAGTATGTCAGATAAAATAATATTGATAACAATGGAAGGGAAGAAAACTTATAAAAGTAAAATATAAAAAACTGCGCTACCAAGGTAGATTTAAGCCGAACTACTGTCTCCTTGTGTACACATAGCCGACTTATTTAATCTGATTGCGTTGGTTTCAGAGAAATCGAAACCTGTTTCTTTTTTATTACCTTGTTTAGTAATAATTATATAAAGCTTTTACTCAACGTCACCGTGTGATTTTACAGTCCAATAAATGTTGTGTGATGATAGTAGCGCTCCTTGGAATGTCATCATGAGTAACTAAGAATGATTTGATGAAATATCATGGCGGTGAACCAGGACGCTTATCGATCGTATTATTAATTAGCAATTGAGCTCTCTTGCACCCTGGAGGCATTCATGCATCATTGAAGACCATTAACCAAGTAAGATTGAATGGCCAATGAACCGGCTTCGTATACCGATGATATTGTGGTTTTCTTCAATTGGCGAATAACTCCAATATGGGACAAAACGGATATCCAGTGTTAATATATGTTTAAAACTTGGGCACTGTGGTAGTAAGTAATTCCATATTAGTTTATTTATTAGATATATCACACAGTCAGTGAAACAGTGTTATTTACTGGATAACGTTTCAAAATGTTTAGGTGACAGAGCCCATAAACCAAGTAGTACCAAGGAAAATCTAAGACAGGAAATGATACACATAAAATAAGCTTTGAAACTTAATTATTACCCGGATAAATTAGTCAAGAAATATGTAAGTAAATGTAAAAATAAAATAAATAATGATAATAGCGATAGTGATAATAATAATAATATTAATGTCGACATGTATGTCAAATGAGCGCAAGACAACACCAACAATAAGGAATCTAAATCATCAGTAGTAATTCCATACAAGGAAGGAACCTCGAAAACCACCCACAAACTCAATTAGAAACAAGCTTTGTCGGTTAAAGGATCAATCCTGTGGAGCCTTTAAAGCAAAACAATTTAGTTTATCGAATATCCTGCCTGCTGGAATGATTGTCAGTCAGGTCAAATACATAGGTTAAACTAGTAGAACAGGGTCAGTGAATCAGACTAGCCGGACATAAAAACCTATCAGCAAAATCTAGATTGGTTGACCCAAATAAGATAAGAATTCTAGCGAATAGTTCAGCCGTAGATAGCACTACATGCAATTACACACACAACCATACAATAGGATGGGATGGGATAGGATGACAGTTTTAAAGTCTAATGTCACAGGGTGGATGGAGGAATAGATTGATAACAGAAGCTTTGTTTATCGAATACATGTAATAGGAATGATTCAACACCTGTCCACCCAGATATCTGGAAAATTCTACTACCCCAACGACGACAAATAGGAGAGGACAAAGAAAACTATAAACCTCAAGTTTCAAAGTCGTGTGATTATAATTGATGGCATGATTATGAACAATAATAAATTTTGCTCGAAAGAGTGTCATCCAGTAAATACTAATACTGTTTCACTCACTGTGTGATATATCTAATAAACAAACTAATATGGGATATCCAGTGTTCCCGGGGTTTCTATGGTTCTCTGAATACATATATATATATATATATATATATATCCTCTAAGTTTCTCTACCAACACCTTTTCTGTAATTTACCTGCAAAATCACTTTGTTTTACAAAAATATATAGTAATCTAGGTATGGCTATGCGGAAATTTCATTTCCCTCATATTGTGTAAGTTGATGACAAAATAAAAACTAATCATAAAACAATTCATGCATTGTGTGTTTATTGTTTATATGCTCGCTAATGCTGTTTAGAAGCAAAGACGGTTGGCTGGGGTGTTGTTCATAACATGTGGCGGATGGCTTGCTTTTTTCTTACCTTTTCTCTTACTGCTTAACACACTATTGTTGATTACTATTATTATTATTGTTCCTTTGGGTTCCCTCCCCATTGGAATATAGGACTTTGCCAGTACATCTCCTCCATGTCACCCTCGGATGTCTACTTTCTAAGACCTAGCGTCGTATATCCAATCCATTTCCTGTTACCAGGGTATTATCTTGTTGGCTTAGAATATTATTATATTATTATTTCCTTTAATTCCTAGAGGAACATAGGGCTTCAGCTGCGCGTCTACATTGCGTTCGGTTCTCTGCTAGAGTTTTCACCTGACTCCAAGTCTGCAACCCACATGCTTTCATCTCCTCTTCTATGCATAACCTCCTCCAAGTCACCCCACCATGGGACGACCAACTCACCGCTTCCCTTTTGGGGTTCCACTCGAGCAATGGCTTGTCTAGTGATGTCATTCACTTGATGGTTTCCTCAGAGTATGGCCAATCCATCTCCATTTCTTCCTGTAGATTTGTTTCACAATTGGTTCCTGGTTGGTTCGCTCATTGCCAGAGATCCCTGTTGCTGATCTTTACTGGCCGGCCATCTGATCTTGAGTATTGAGTGAAGACAGCTGTTGATGAAGGTCTGTGATTTGTTTGAGATGCTCATTA